GGGCGCAAAGCCGGAGTGACTGGCAGGAGGTGAGCGCAGAGCGCACAGCGCTCCCTCCTGCCAGGCACTCTGTGTAGCGTGGCCGAGCGCGCCGCGGTATTTCCTGTACCCGGGCGGACGGAAATGAAGTGCTCACAGAGAGAGCACTTCCTGTCCGCCGGGTACAGGAACCTGAGCTCCGCGGCGCTCGGCCACGCTACAAGGTAGGAGACTGAGGGAGAGGAGGGGGGGACTGAGGGAGAGATTGGGGGGGAGAGACTGAGGGAGAGATGGGGGGAAGGAGACTGGGGGAGACTGAGGGAAGGAGACTGAGGGAGAGGGGGGAAGGAGACTGAGGGAGAGATGGGGGAGGGAGAAGGAGACTGAGGGAGAGATGGGGGGAGGGGAAGGAGACTGAGGGAGAGATGGGGGGAGAAAACTGAGTGTGGGATGGGAGAAAAAAATGAGGGAGGGATGGGGGGAGAGGGGGGACGACATACACACAGCACCCTGCCCTACACATATCACCCCACACAAAGACACACACACATCACCCCACACACACACACACACACCACCCCCCACACACAACACACAGTACCCCTCAATACAGTCTGTCTGTGGCCTTGTACCTTTCACTGTCTGTATGCTGTGTGCCTCCTTAATCTGTCTGTGTGTAGCCCAGCACACTCAACAATCCTAGCCATGCACAATGTGTGTATGCCACACTCCCAACAATCTGCTCTGTGTATGCCCACACTCCTTAGTCTGTCTGTGTGTACACTCAGCAGTCTGTCTGTGTGTGTGTACACTCAACTTGTCTGTCTGTGTGTGCCTTTACACTCTCCTTGTCTGTCTGTATTATGTACCTCCAACTTGATACAGCCAATGTATTTAGCAATCTGTGTGTATTCAGCAGACTGTGTACTCAGCAGTCTGCTACAGACTGCTACGTACACAGACAGACTGCTAAATACACAGACAGACTGCTAAATACACAGACTGCTAAATACACAGACAGACTGCTAAATACACAGACAGACTGCTAAATACACAGACAGACTGCTAAATACACAGACAGACTGCTAAATACACAGACAGACTGCTAAATACACAGACAGACTGCTAAATACACAGACAGACTGCTAAATACACAGACAGACTGCCAAATACACATACAGACTGCCGAGCACACACACAAACTGCTTAATACACACACAGAGATGTTAATTAGTTCGTACAACTGTATGAGTTGTTTTTTCTAAACTTAAACCTCAGTATTCAGGTTTAAATGCCGTTTTGGCACTTGGAGGGAAAAAAATTGGCATGTATTACGGTTTGGGCACTCGGGCTCAAAAAGGTTCGCCATCACTGGTCTATATAAACATCTCCATTTAAAAAGTGCCATAATGAAGATCTCAGGCATGTATTGGTGCTAATTAGAGTAACATTTTTATTTTACTTATTGCGAGACATTTTAAAATCTACTTTGGTAAAGGCAGCATTGCTCAGTCTGCTACTTGCATTCTTAGCTTTAATTCAGTAGATTGAGAGCATCAACTCCTAAATAAGTGAAAATGTTACATGGTCCAGGGAATTTGTAAAGTCAGTCCCTAATAGAGAAATAGGACCCTTTCTCCATTAGTGCCTTATTTATTATCTCCCATTCCCTCAAATCGAAGCAGTATGGCCAAAAACGAATAAATGTAGTCCAAAGAGATATCTAGGAAACTTATTGTATCAAAAATCTAGGGTTACAATAAGCAGCCAGTCTTCAAAATGCAGGAATTGGCAAGTTTAGCTAAATAATATGATCAATACATTGTGCTAGAAAGCACTAACAAATGTAGAACAAAAGGCAGTCAAAAGTAAATCTCTAGCTTTACTACTATTTAGTCAGCCATGGATAAAATATAATGAGTTCTCCATATTCTGCTCCCAAGTGCATTATTTACAAGAATTCACCGTCGTATCTGCACGTGACTCTTAGAAACTGCAGTTATTACATAGTATCATCAGGTTTAAACTAGATTGCTTAACAAGAAATAAAATGTCACCAACATAGTAGCAGTTTAGATCGTATTATGTGTCACAGTTTTATTTTTATAGACACTTCAACAAATAAGACATTTCATATAACCTTACACTGTGACTGAAAATAATAGTGATTATATACTTATTAGACACCAGACTAACCTTTGTGACATTCCTTGTCAGTCGCCCAATGTACACTTTTGTGGGTCGAGGACTTGGGCTCCGTCTCTTCCTTTCCTTCTCCTCACGCTTGGGCTGTTTGGATCTTACGGTAAACAAAAATAAATAAATCAGGTCACTTCAGCCCAGAATGCCTCTTTAAACCTTGTATATAAAAAACACAGAAATTAACTTACTTGGATCGAGAGCGCCTGCGGTTGTCATGGCGGCGGCGTGATGGGCTTGGGGATCCCGATGAGCTGCTGGAACTGGAACTCCGCGAGGAGCTGGAACTTCCTGACCGGCTCGAGGCAGAGGAGGAACTAGAGCCAGAGCTAGAACCTGAACTGGATCCAGACGAAGAACTGGAGGACGAGCTGGACCGCGAGCGGCTGGAAGGAAGAGAGCGTATAGACGAAATGTTATAATCCACCAATAGCAATTCTTATCTGTGTTTTGTTAACTTTCTAATGCACTTTGTTAGTGTTTATAGCAATGGTTCCAAAACCTTTTAGATTCAAGGCGCCCTTAATATTTCAGTATTTTTCCAAGGCACCCCAAGTCAAAATTGCTAGGCTGTATATCTGTACAGTGCTGCAGCATTTACTGGCGCTATAGTGTAATGTACAGTGTTCGTGTTTGAAGGGGTGCTTGTATATAGTTATTTTGTTTTAATACAGGGGTGTGTTTGTAATGTTTGCGTTTTATTGCAGGGGTGTGTCTGAATTTAATGTTCACTTTTAAATGTGGATGTACATTTGTGTGAAGTATTTGTATGTAATATTTGTGTAAGATTGCAGGAGTGTGCTTGAATGTTGTGCTGGTGTTTGACTGCTTCGATGTATGCACATACATACACCGACACAGATTCATATGGACACCGACACACACTGATACATGCCCAACCATAACACAGATACACACCCTGACACATATGCACACTGACATATCTATCTGTATACATACACACACACACACCTCAAAAAAATAAAGGGAACACAAAAATAACACATCATAGATCACAATGAATTAAAGGACCACTATAGGCACCCAGACCACTTCAGCTTAATGAAGTGGTCTGGGTGCCAAGTCTAGCTAGATTTAACCTTTGTTTTCTATAAACATAGCAGTTTCAGAGAAACTGCTATGTTTATAATAGGGTTAATCCAGCCTCTAGTGGCCGACTCATTGACAGCCGCTAGAGGCGCTTCCCACTGTGATTTTCACAGTGAGAAGACACCAGTGTGCATAGCAAAGCATCGTGAATGCTTTCCTATGGACTGGCTGAATGCGCGCGTGGCTCGTGCTGCGCATACGCATTCAGCCGGCGCTGGAGAAAGAGGTAAATTTAACCCCTTCCACTCCCTAGAGCCCGGCGGGAGGGGGGCCCTGAGTGTGGGGGCACCCTCAGGGTACTATAGTGCCAGGAAAACAAGTGTTTTCCTGGCACTATAGTGGTCCTTTAAATATTCTTCTGAAATACTTTGTTCTTTACATAGTTGAATGTGCGGACAACACAATCACACAAAAATTAAAAAAAGGCTTACCAACTTTGATGTAATGTCCATAAAAAAAGTCAAAATGAGGCTCAGTAGTGTGTGTGGCCTCCACGTGCCTGTATGACCTCCCTACAACGCCTGTGCATACTCCTGAAGATTTGGCGGATGGTCTCCTGAGGGATCTCCTCCCAGGCCTGGACCAAAGCATCTGCCAACTCCTGGATAGTCTGTGGTGCAACGTGACGTCGGTGGATGGAGCGAGACATGATGTGCTCAATTGGATTCAGGTCTGGGGAACGGGCGGGCCAGTCCATAGCATCAATGCCTTAGTCTTGCAGGAACTGCTGACACACTCCAGCCACATGAGGTCTAGCATTGTCTTGCATTAGGAGAAACCCAGGGCCAACCGTACCAGCATATGGTCTCATAAGGGGTCTGAGGATCTCATCTTGATAACTAATGGCAGTCAGGCTACCTCTGGCGAGCACATGGAGGGCTGTGCGGCCCCCCAAAGAAATGCCACCTCACACCATTACTGACCCACTGCCAAACCGGTCATGCTGGAGGATGTTGCAGGCAGCAGAACGTTCTCTATGGCGTCTCCGGATTCTGTTCCGTCTGTCACATGTGCTCAGTGTGAACCTGCTTTCATCTGTGAAGAGCACAGGGCGCCAGTGACGAATTTGCCAATCTTGGTGTTCTCTGGCAAATGCCCTGCACGGTGTGGGCCTGTAAGCACAACCCCCACCTGTGGACGTCGGGCCCTCATACCACCCTCATGGAGTCTGTTTCTGACCGTTTGAGCAGACGCATGCACATGCTGGAGGTCATTTTGCAGGGCTCTGGCAGTGCTCCTCCTGTTCCTCCTTACACAAAGGCAGAGGTAGCGGTCCTGCTGCTGGGTTGTTGCCCTTCTACGGCTTCCTCCACGTCTCCTGATGTACTGGCCTGTCTCATGGTAGCGCCTCCATGCTCTGGACACTACGCTGACAGACACAGCAAGCCTTCTTGCCACAGCTCGCATTGATGTGCCATCCTGGATAAACTGCACTACCTGAGCCACTTGTGTGGGTTGTAGACTCCGTCTCATGCTACCACTAGAGTGAAAGCACCGCCAGCATTCAAAAGTGACCAAAACATCAGCCAGGAAGCATAGGAACTGAGAAGTGGTCTGTGGTCACCACCTGCAGAATCACTCCTTTATTGGGGGTGTCTTGCTAATTGCCTATAATTTCCACCTGTTGTCTATCCCATTTGCACAACAGCCTGTGAAATTGAGTGTCACTCAATGTGGACAGTTTGATAGACTTGGAGTTGCATTGTGTTGTTTAAGTGTTCCCATTATTTTTTTGAGGGGTTGTGGTATATATATATATATATATATATATATATATATATATACATACATACATATACATACACACACACTGCTCAAAAAAATAAAGGGAACACTTAAACAACACAATGCAACTCCAAGTCTATCAAACTGTCCACATTGAGGGACAATCAATTTCACAGGCTGTTATACACACACACACACACAGATATATATACACACACAGATGTACACCCTCACACAAGTGAAAAATATTATATATATATATATATATATATATATATATATATATATATATATATATATGAAATAGTGAGTGGAGCAAAATACCACTATATATATATTTCCAGCCACCTTCCGTCTTACCTTATGTGCCAGGAGGGTGGCTTGGAGTCCTGCTGCTGTGGGAGTGAGGGGTCTGGAGCTCTTCGTGCTCCTCTACTCTCCCCTAATGCTGCGGCTGCCTCTTCCCACGCTGTCTCCCTGTAGGATGCTGGGAGGAGGTGACAGGCTGTCACTTCCTCCCAGCCGGCCATTACAGGTACCCAATCGCGGTCTTAAATGACCACAGCACCCGACCGGGCCTCTGTTCAGAAGTAATGTTTCCCCGGTGCTACAATCATAGCACCGGGAAAACATTCTGTGGCACCCCTGAGCTCCACAGCACACAGTTTGGGAACCGCTGATTTATAGCATTCTTCATGCACTTTTAGAACTTTAGATTCTTTGTAGAATTATACTCAGTTGGCACTTTATCATATTTCTGTATGGCACTTTATTATTACATGTGACACTATGTTGCATTTCCCATTATTGATACACTATAATGCATTATTTTAATCCTGCATTATTTCACATTTACGTGAACTTAAAACTATTCTTATTACTACTTACATGACAGTTTAAACATATATTGTTTTTTGCATGCCATGTGGATTAAGATTTATTTCTATTCTGTTTATATTGTTTAATTAACCTCTATCTCGGTAGTTGCTCTTTCCCATGAACACTTCCACTAAGTGGAGATATGAGTTCAGGCTTGGTGGTTTTTGCGGCTTGGTCTTAAGCATTGGAGCTTTTTTTGCGGAGCTCTTGCAAGGTTGTGTGTTTCCCGGAAGCCTCCCTCACACAGGCTTTCCTTTTGTATGTTATGATTGGCTTTTTATTATAGCACATACCTGCTACTGCTGCTTCCGCTTGATGCACTGCGTCTCTTCCTTGCCTTATCACGGCCTCGGTCTTTTTCTGTGGCTTCTTTGCCTGGTGCCTTTTCTTTAGTCCGTTCCTTGGTACGGTCTTCTGATCGCTCTTTGCGCTTTGTCGGAGAAGGAGCCCTGGTAGAAACAGAAAATATAAAGGCAATGAAAACACGCTTTTAAACATCAAGGGTCATTCCAAGTACAAAACATTTATGCTTAGATTATCATGCAAACTGTAGTGCAAAGACAGTGGATCTCCACGCAGTCAAAGTTCCACAAGAGAATCACGTTTAAAGGGACACTATAGCCAGCAGAACAACTACAGCTTATTGTGTGTTCTGGTGAGTAAAATTATTTCCTTTAGGATTTTTGCAGTCAACACTGTCTTTTCAGAGAAAATGCAGTATTTACATTACAGCCTGGGGATAACTCCACTGGCCACTCCTAAGATGGCTACTAGAGGTGCTTCCGGGGGCAGTGCTGCACAGTATGACTGACATTCAGTATCTCCACTCTCTGCATGGAGACACTGAATTTTCCTCACAGAAATGCATTGATTCAATACATTTCTCTGAGGAGATGTGGATTGGCCAGGACTGTGTTTGGCTTGTGTTGGCCCTGCCCCTGATCCACATCCATGACAATCTAGGAGCCAATCCAATGCTTTCCTATGGGAAAAGATTGTCATTAGCTCAGATCACACCATTTTTGTGGTCAACAAAGCAGACGGGACAGATAGTGTTTTTGACACTCTAGGGTGAAGAATGCAGGTTTGTGTTCCTTTAAAAGGTTCCTTAATTGTTTTCCAACAGAATATAACCTGAATGTTAGAAAGAGGACTTTGAGGAATACTTGAAGTAGGACTAGCACAAGGATACAATTATAGGTAATTTTATAGCAGACCAGCTTTAACACAGATAACGCAGAAAGCATACATTTAGCTTTTACAACCACTTGACACCAACCTTGTATTTCAAATATGTAGGATTTAAATTGCTTTATTGCCGCCAAATTTTTCATAAAGATAAAATTTTATAAAAATCCAGACGTGAACTGCATTGGAATGTCACTAAAATCCCAAAGACTCCAGAAGCAATACATGAGACAAAGCAAGCAATAAAATTACATCAAAACGTAGCAATCGGTAGAGATTTATGTAAATTCCGCCACATCTTGCCATGTCCAATCTGCATCACAAGCTATAGCCAATGATATAATCATCAAGCATCGATACTTACGGCATATCATTGCACATTCATAAGGTCCTCCACAAAATGGTGCAAACTTTCACAGGACAGTAAACCATGTTTGTCACAGATTACAGAGCACTGAAAACCAGTTGTTTCTAACTGCAACAATTTGCAGAAAATACAGCAACCATAAGCCTCACTTTATAAGAAATCTATATAACACCCCTTTGAGCACAGGTTGCCAACACTGATATTTCCACAGTAAAGTGAAGACCATAAGGTAAGTTGCCAATTCTACACTGTACTAAATACAAGCAGAATAAAGAAATAAAAATATACAAATAGAATGACCTATCGAACACAAATAACATCCGACCAAACAGTTTAAAAGGGCATTCATTAAAAGGGGCCATTTTGCACTGCTGGGAACAGATTTCACCAATGGATTCTTCCAAAAACAATATTTATATGTTACAAGCACCTCCTACATCCACATAAATAAAAGGTAGTTTTACACATTACAATCTCAGAGCCCCCACCCCCCCACAATCAGGAAGGGAAAACAAACATTTTCATAGTGTCTGCACTGAACAAGTCATTCATTGCCAACAATGCACAAAATCCACTTTATATCAAATGCTTTGTTTACCCACAACATATAGAATTACAAGAGACACAGGACATTATTTACTCATTATTAAACAGACAACCAAGTTCAACACCTGGCTTAAGGAAATAAACTAATACCTCCCTATCCCAGCAATATAAAGCTTTAGGTAACCAACACTCAACAACGGATGAGAAAAAACATACCCAGAACTCTCTAAACCAAACACATTCAGGAACTATTTTTGAATGAACATCTGAGCCACATATGCTTCTTATTAAAACAATATATCAAAATGGGGCAATAATCCAGTAATAAAATATAATCAAACTTTAAACATTCCATAATAATGTTCTAGAATAAACCAGAAGACACATACATAGCCCACCCACAGGGTGCACCAATTAAAGTGACATTAAATAAGATAGCTTTTACCTTGTGCACTATGTATCCAGGAATTAAAGAATATTTAACATGCAGTGTGGGTTTATGATGGCCATACAGGATCTGTAATGAGTTACCCATATCTCAGGGCTGCAATACTGGGAATAAATAATAAATAGGACACAGTCCCAGTGAGAAGCTAATAATAATAATAATAATAATAGAATAGGACACAGTGAGAAGCTATTATTATTATTATTATTATTATTAATGATTATGGTGGTGGTTAGAACACAGTGAGAAGCCATTATTAATAATAATAATATTGATAATAATGATGATGAATGGCACACAGTGGGGCAGTATTAACACTGAGCAAAGCTGTCCCATACACTGAGCGCTATAAACATGGCTGCGGCCTAGTAAGCCCCCTGAAGCCTGGGAGTGTAGTCCAGGGCCTGTATCTGGATTGGCCGCCTGCCCCCGGTATCAATATAGCCCGGTAAGGAAGGCCCAGTCCCTGCCGGGTCACAGCACACACTCCCCGGGTTAATCCCGGGTTGGGGGCCGGAGGATGGACGCGGATTGCCGGTTAGCGCACTTACATCTTGCCTGCCTTTCGCTGCTTCTCTTTCCTGAGCTCGGACAAGCCGTCGCGCTCGTTCTGACGCGAGGCCGCCATCCTCAGGCCTACAAACCAAGTCTGGTCGCCTAGGATGTGACGTCACGAGGCAGGGCGAGTGGGCGTGGTCAAGGAGACGTTGTTAAAGAGGCCGCGGCTTCCTGGGCGGGGACTGGAGAGAGCAGAGCGATAGGAGCCGGGGAGGGAGGGGTTAATGCGTGTCAGCTGACCTCCCCCTGCTGGAGGCACAGCTACATGGAGAGCAATCCCAGAATCCTCTGCGAGAAGGTCTCCTTATGTAAACAAAGAGGGAGCTATGGCTGCAAAGGGCAAAATAACTCAACAGCAATAAGGTAGAAATGGGGAGAACCTGGGGGAGAGAGAGAGACAGGAGGGGGGAGAGAGACACAGAGAGTGAGAGGGGGGAGAGAGAGAGAGAGAGAGAGAGAGAGAGAGAGAGGGTGAGAACACAGAGAAGAGGGAGAAGAGAGAGAGAGAGGGGGTGAGAGACACAGAGCGAAAGAGGGGTGAAGACACAGAGAAGGGGAGAGAGAGAGAGAGGGGTGAGAGACACAGAGCGAAAAGAGGGGAGTGAGGGACACAGAGATAAGGGGGAGAGAGAAAAAGAAGGGGTGAGAGAGAAGAGGGGGGAGAGAGAGTGAGAAAAAGGGGAGAGAGAGAGGGTGAGGAGAGAGAGAGAGAGGGAGGGAGGGAGAGAGAGAGGGAGGGAGGGAGGGAGAGAGAGAGAGGGGGGAGGGAGGAGGGGTGGGAGAGAGAGAGGGGGAGAGAGAGGGAGAGGGAGAGGGAGGGGGGTGTTTGTGTATTAGGAGGAGGTGAGAGGGATGTGTCTGTGTATTAGGAGGAGGTGAGAGGGATGTGTCCCGGTGTCTGTGTATTAGGAGGAGGTGAGAGGGATGTGTCCCGGTGTCTGTGTATTAGGAGGAGGTGAGAGGGATGTGTCCCGGTGTCTGTGTATTAGGAGGAGGTGAGAGGGATGTGTCCCGGTGTCTGTGTATTAGGAGGAGGTGAGAGGGATGTGTCCCGGTGTCTGTGTATTAGGAGGAGGTGAGAGGGATGTGTCTGTGTATTAGGAGGAGGTGAGAGGGATGTGTCCCGGTGTCTGTGTATTAGGAGGAGGTGAGAGGGATGTGTCCCGGTGTCTGTGTATTAGGAGGAGGTGAGAGGGATGTGTCCCGGTGTCTGTGTATTAGGAGGAGATGAGAGGGATGTGTCCCGGTGTCTGTGTATTAGGAGGTGAGAGGGATGTGTCCCGGTGTCTGTGTATTAGGAGGAGGTGAGAGGGATGTGTCCCGGTGTCTGTGTATTAGGAGGAAGTGAGAGGGATGTGTCCCGGTGTCTGTGTATTAGGAGGAGGTGAGAGAGATGTGTTCTGTTGTGTAAATTGCAACATCTAACTGCCACACATGATGCTTTGACTAACCTAAAATTGACAACTTATGTTAGAAAGATGTCTGTTAGGATGTAACTGGAGATATGACTCTCCAGATATCTGCACACTAGTAAAGGGGCCATGTTTCCTTCATGTCTGTGTATTTGGGGGGGATAGCTGGATTTACAGTATAGCAAGGTATAGCTGACAAACGTGGTGGGATGACATTAGAATTTTTCATTAGAATTAAAATTGTATAATCAAGCTGGATAATATCTGTGCAATACAGTTGACTTCTAGGTCATGTAACACGTTGTGTGTCATCCTCGTCCTGCCCAATATAAAGCCATATTCCTGGGCTTCTAAGGGTACAAACTACAGCCATCACACATATACTGAACTCTATCACACCCATGTCAGCCATATTCCATAGGGATAAAATATTTCTAGACCACTCATATTGCCTGCTTTGGAATTCCACTGAATACCCATTTTAAGCACATCTATCACTCTAGTGCACTTAAATCTGTTTATTTTGTATCACTTATATTGCAGATGGGATTAAACCTGTTACCCCTTCCAGCCCTGGAAGAATGACTCTCGTTGCATCACTTTAAGTATTCTGAGACTGTCAATTTGATTTACAAGGGGATCTGGATACAAACTTTAGGAGCAGAACTGAAATTTCCCAGAATCCTTTATTTATGTAACAGAGCAGTATGCGTTGTACTACATAGTTTCCTCCGGTTTATGTCCATCCACTCAAAGACCATTTTATTTTTGCATCCGTTTTCATCAATGAGAAGATAACATTCAACACTGTGTCTATCCGCCAGTGGCGGTATTATAATATAATTTCAATAATTTTGTAAAATAGCGGTTCTTTCAAACTAATTAACAAAGTCAGCTATTTTTACTAATTCATTTTTTTTTTTGTGCCCTTATTTTAATTGAGAGAGGTGTATTTAATTTCTTTGTAAATGCAGTTATACCAGGAAATCTGAAAGAGAATTTCTGTGCAGTCTAAATACATGGTATTAGTAAAAAGGTTTCAAAAATATTAGAATTAAAAAAAAAAAAAAAAAATATTTAATATTTTGCCATACTAACACAAATAGATATTTCTGAAAATTTGAATCTAATAATTTCAATCTTAAAATTGTACAGTTGCAGATTTTTATATTTAATTTATTTTAAAATTTCTACACCTATAAAATCTAAACTTATCACCTGATGCCTCTGACAATTAAATCCCTTCAAATTTCAAAATAACTTGAACTGGAATAATCTGTACACACTAAAAATGAAATAAAATTGCTTAATACATTTTAGAGCAATAATATTGGTATGTAAAAGCTTAGATTTTCCTTTTAGAAATAAATGTGTAGAAATATTTGTACTTTTGTATTTAATTTTAAATAGCACATTTTTACTGGCCACATTGGCTTATCTTATAAAGTTTAATAAACTCAAGCATCATGGGACGACTGGATGAACAAGCGAAGAACCGCATAGTGGTGTTGAGGAAAGCTGGTCTCAGCTTCCGTAAGATCAAGAAAGTTCTTGAACTGGACAATATCAAAGTAACACCACAAGCCATCTACCTCTTCCTAAAACGCAAGAACATTGAGCCTGAAAAGTCCACTGGTGGTCCCCATGGAGTGACACCCAAAGAGAAGCCATGGGGGGAAGGGCAGCTCTGGAATGTGATTCCTGACAATGTTGGCCAGTGTAACAGAGTTAAGGATCAAGGAAATATGGTTCAGAAGACAGGAGAAATGATAGAAGCCAGGAGGCCTCAAGAAATAAGCAAAGAAGAGGGCATTAAGATTGTCAGTGTGACCTCTCTGTCCAAGGGAAACCATACCTTTCATTCTCCTCCAGGTGTCCAGAGAACTGCGACCCAAGGACAGACTCAGCAAGAGCCCCGTGAGTACAGCATACAGTGTTCTAACAGATGGGCAGGTGTATAGTATGGCAGCATCATGTTCTTATTCTCACCTGCTTCCTGTAGCACTGAATTAAAGGGACACTCCAGACCCCTGAAGAGCTATATTTGTGAAGAGTGTGTCCTCTTTTTTTTTTTTTTTTTTCAAAAGTACAGATTTGAATAAAAATTTACACTTTGATAAATTAACCTTGTTAAACATGTATTCCTGACCCTATAGTGAAAACCCCTCATTTAGGTGTCTTAGCTCCCATATAAAAGTATAAATCTCACCTTATTTCCAGCGCCACGCGGGTCTGCTGGCGCTGGCCCCACCCCTTTGGTGACATCATCAAAATTGCAGATTTAAAAGCATGGGGAAAGCATTGGATTGGCTAAAATCGGCAAGGGGACGGGGCCAAACGCCTTTTTGGCCAATCAGGACCTTCTCATAGCGATGCATTGAATTAGTGCATCTCTGTGAGGAAAATTCAGCATGTCCATGCAGAGCGTGGGGACGCTGAATGGCAGAGCTGCTTACTGTGCAGCCCTGAGTCAGGAAGCCACTCCAGTGGCCATCTAAGTAATGGCCACTGGAGGTGTACCTAGGGACAATGTAAACACTGCCTTCTTTGCATATATTAGGCTGTAGTTGTTCTGGTGACTATAGTGTCCCTTTAAGGTCAAAGTAGCCAAACTGAAAGCATAACTGATGTAGCCCTTTTTTACATTTCAGCTATTTTGACATTAAATCTGAAATTCACTTTGAATGTTCTGCGTTCTTTCAGCCAACTTAATGCTTTCTCTTTGTTTCCAAGGTGATTGCATAGTGAGACACGGTCACTCACCTGCCATAAATGGCCCAAGACAAGCTACAGTCACAGTGACTCCTCAACCATATCATGGGAGAGCAAGGACCCCACTCCCTGTTCCCAGGAACCCAGCACTGCTTGTGACAAAAAAGATAGTGGACAGAGCTATCCACCTGCAGAAAAAGGTGTGTTTGTGTGTGTGTGTTAGTGTGTGTTATTTAGGCTAGAAACTTACTGTCTTATAACGATAAAGGAGCAATGTGGTATTTCATTTCACTTTGTGTTTGTTTTCTCTCAGGTCACCGCACAGAATGGCACCCCACTTTTGACTCATGGTTCTCATTACCCAATGACCAGCACGGTTTCTAGCCGCCTGCCACCGTTGAGACCTGAGCCTGCTCCATGTGCACTGGTAGGTCCTTAACTGAAGCCATAGTAGAACATGGACACATTACCGTGTTTTTCATCCCAAACACCCGTTGAAGGGTTTGTTAACTAAACACCAAATTGGAATGAATTCAAAACCAAATTGCAAAATTTAGACTAACACAGCCAGCCAGTCTGCCTATGAATATAGTTTAGTTAAACATATTTTCTAAATCAGCTATTGTTTCCTATATCTTGCAATAAACTCCCTAGACTTTTCTTCCATTGACAGCCAACCCGGTAGTTTTTTTAAATTTTATTTTATTTTTTTCCCCTTCGTTTCAAAATCTAAAATTTCACTTCTGGACACTGATATAATGAAGGAAATGTCATCTAACATAATTTTTAGCCAGTGTGTAGACGTTAAAGTAAATTAAGACAATCTGATCCCTCACCTGTCATTACATTTTCAGAGTATAGAGCTCTAGAAGATTATAGTGACAGGGGAGAAGAGGAAAATTGTTCTGCTTTAATGAAAATGTGCTGGCAACCTGTGTTACAGGCACGCTAACCCACACCCACTAAGCAATTACATAGTTACATAGCTGAAAAGAGACTTGCGTCCATCAAGTTCAGCCTTCCTCACATTGTTTAATTAATGGGTTACTAAGAATAATAACCACTGTAACCTTGGTTCAGTCGGGAGCTGAAGGTCTTCTCTTACTGGTCGTGACGCAGTGCTGCAGAAGCCAGATTCCTGCTTGCCATTCATTGGCTGAGAGTCATCTGACTGCTCTCAGCTATTTAATACAAGTCTGTGCATAGAAATATGCACAAAACTAACACTAGCCAGCCCAGATTTCTTGTTCCAGTTTGGCTAATGACACTCAAGTGTTGCTGCAGGATGTGTAGTTACTCATCTGGCAGCAAAGGAGTTAAACTCAGTATCTGCAGCATTTCATAGTGAAGCACTGACCATACAGACTCAAGGCACCATGAGTAGAGCTTTAAATATATTCATTACTTTAGGGGTGTTACAAGTTAAAGTGGCACTGTCATGGCCGAATCCCGTTTTTATTTAACACCCCTCCCGACTCCACTTCATCTAACTGACCCCCTAGTCACCCCCAAATGCCCTAAGCTCCCCACATAACTTATTTTTTAAATCTTTATTTTCTGCCCCGACCTATATTCTGGGCGCCGCTATGGGACACGTCATCTGCCCACACTAGATGGGAGATTCCCGCACATGCCCAGTTAAACACTTGGGCATGCGAACGGGAATTTCATCCATTAATTTGTCAGAAAGACGAGTGAAAAGAAATGTAAGATGAACAAACACCGAATATCAGTGTTCGTTTGTTTGTTCGTTCAGTTTACTACAAGGAGGGAGCTACCGGCGCACAGCTCCCTCCTTGTAATATGTAAAGATAGAAGCGGCAGGGAGCAGTGCTCCCCGCCACTTCCTAAGCCCCCCATGAGAGAGGGAGAGAAGAGGAATTGATTAAAGAAAGGTAAGTTCGGCATGACAGTGCCGCTTTAAAGTAAACCTGTCATGATGGGTTTACTTTAAAGAAATACTAAAGTATTAGGAATGCAAATCTGTAAGCCTAACGCTATAATGTCCCTGTCCCTAGTGGTATTTGGTCTCCCCTCCCTATTCGGCATAGAATCAACGCTTTCCTGAGGGGCTTCCGCGTCTCGTGGATGATTTTTACTTGGTCCGTGCAGCAGAAGCGCCTTTAGTGACAGTTACTAGAGGTGAACTTAACCCTGCAACATGAACACTACAGTTTCTCAAACTACAATATCTCACGGGGACACTGCACCCAGACAACTTCATCTGGGGACTATAGTGTTCCTTTAATTAAAGACTCTGCAATTGTAGTTGCATATTTCCATCTTTTCCCAACTCCCAGGATAGACTGTGCGCCACATAGGCAACTGGCATGCCTCCCCCTTGCATTGCTGAGAACTATTTCAGTCATTATTTATTTCTTTATTTTGGCCCACGTTAGTGAGGCAGTTTAGTTTAAATCTCCCCAGTGCCTTATAAACATGCCATGTGCTTGCTTGTCCATGCGACTCCTGCTCACTGTTGGCAATTACACAATGCTTCACATACAATTTATAAAACGTGTGTTTTCCAGACTGGACAGTAAGTGGAGCTGTAGCAAGCTATAATGTATTTACTACTGTATGGTCATTATTGAAAGAAAGTGTACTTTTCTTTGTTTTCATTTCCCTCAGTTACCTTCTGTAGTGTGGCGTTGTCTGCTTTGTCCAAATGTCTGTGTAACAAGTGAAGATTAATATCTGTTTTAATCTCTATCCATCTAAAGCCTTTGGCAAGGAAAAGGTGTCACTCTAAGCAACACAATAACTTGCTCCTTGCAATGTGTCTGTCTCGTAAATGATGAGACTGTTTTTGGGGAAGGGGTGGTGGGGGGGGGGGTTATTGCTCTAGACTGGCTGAGGGATGTATTTCTTTAAAGTCAAGTGTTTTTTGTTGTATGCCGTACACATCAAGGTATCTAGCGGTAGAATTAATTGCATAATACTCTTATAATAAAAAAAGGAATATTATTTATATAGCGCCAACAAATTTCACAGCGCTGTACAATAGGAATATGAAAATAAACGTAAACATTGTTTTGGATATATGGTTTTACCACAAGACCTCCCTGGTTCCTTATCATTTTGGAGTCCTCTCCAGATACAACCTAACAATGTCAAAAGGTTCTACAATAGTCACATAGTATTATACGCTGAAAAGATTCAGCTTTTCTCATACACAGACATGTTAAAGGTTAGCTTGAGTCTTGTTTTCAGCCTGTATTACTTTATAACCTGTGTTTTGGTTATTTTGCAATAAAATTAGAACTTTTGGAATCTTTTCACAATCGCTCAGTTGTTTTGAAAAATACTTAACATTTTCAACACTATCCTGATTCCCCTTCAGATAAAAGACGCCAGCACTCAAACAGCGGCTCCTATTCATTCTGTGGCAGTAAACGCAGAGCAGTTGGACACTATCAGGGGAGAGCTTCACAGATTGACACAGGCTGTGCAAACTCTAATGGACAGACAGAACCGCTGGGAGCAAGAACAGCACAGACAGCGGCAATGTAACCACCAGGAAATAATGTTACAAATCCAACAGTTGGGTGCCTCTGTAACGGCGAGGTGTCCACAGAACTGCGCCTCATATAACAGCGCACAAGAGCCAGACGCCCAACTGCCTGATATCGGACATTTCAAGATGGAGCTTTTGTGAATGTAGACGATTTATGCTCCAGTTTTGGAGCAAGAAGGACACACAAGCACGCTTATCAACACATACACAAGTATTTAATGCCGTTAAACGGGGAGATTATGAGATTTAACCATGACAGGCATTCTGCAGTTTTATAACCCACTGGGCCCATGATACTCTAAAGCTAGAAGCAGGGGATCATGGGAACTGCCATCCAGGACCTCATGTTGCTTATCCCTGCCTTAATACACAGTAATGTGTGCAAAAAGACTTTTACACTATTTGACTGTTCCAAAAAGTCTGTTTTAACTGGGGAAAAAAATAAAAAAGGCACATGACATGCCAAACTTCATTTATAATGCTTCTTTCAGTAAGACTCCCAACATGTTGTTTTGGTAAAGAGACACTCCAGACCCTTGAAGCACTTTAGCTTGCTGAAAAGCTTTATGTTTGAAGAGTGTGTTCTATTTTTTAGATTTTGGAAATTGTGTAGATTTCAATAGAAATTGGCACTTCTATAAATTATACTGCCTTGCAAAGACTTTTCATTGGGAGGTCTGTGATTGGACAGCCACAGAAAGCATGGGTGGGGTTAGAATAAGAGGGCTTGCAAAGGCTGTAGATAAGAGGCCTGCAGTTTTTGCAAATTGTTTTTAGATATAACTCCAATTAAAAAAAATTGCATAATTAGATAAATGCAAGTTTTCATTTGGGGTATATCTACTAAACAGTGATTTTTCTTTATTTTGTGTTTGGGCAGTGTAGTGTCCCTTTAAGGTACTTAGAGTGCCTCTTTACTTTACTCTATTGTCTAATAATGGTATATGCTCTACAGTAATGTAGGGCTCATTTACTAAATGGTGAGTTATGTTGAATGGACAACACATTGGTAAAAAGTAATAACAGTTGGAAAAACTTTTTATTTTTGTGTGTTCTCCGCTCACAAAGTGAACCGTCTCTATCCCACCGGGAAGAGCGCAACCAATGTGATTTGTTTGGGAAGCCTACCAGGGTTATTCACTAAGGAGAGAATTCAAAGTATCTGAACTGGAAAAATGATCTAACTCTGCTATGCATCCAGTTTAGCTACATTGGCCTTAAATTTGAATTTTCAATTAAGTGAATAGTCCTGTGTGAGTTTCAGATAACCCAGAGGCAGAGAGCAGCACAGCCTGGGTTCGTTCATTTTTCAGCAACCTTCACTTATGTGTGTGTAAGGCTGGTGACAACAGTTCTGTTTTGCTCTCTTTATCATTGTACCTAAGGAAATGGAGCAATAATGTGTAAATGTTCCTCCATTAAATATTTCAACCATAGCAGGAAATCCGATTTATCGGCTATGGTGATTGCAGTATGATTCATGCAGTTATCAGGGGCTGGATCCTAAGGTCCAAAACTGGTTTACCTCTGGCAAGTGAGCAACAATTCTCCCATTCAAGCAAAGTGTCTCTGATCACAGGATGTGGTTCCTGGTTAGAGCCACATTGCAGCCCATTGCTGTGGAGCCCCTTGTGATCTGAGACTCGGCCGAGGTTAAATCAGACTGACTTTCCCCAAATATTTTCAGAGACTCACTGCTAACTAAACCACAAACTTGTAACAGGAACTTGATCTTTGTCTTGTGTCCTAAAACTGTTCATTCAGTGAATGAACCTTATATGTTCTCTTTCCCATACATATCACTCATTATAATTTATAGCTAAAAACACAATAGAGAGTTACAGCTGGAGTGTTTCTGAATACTTTTAGGCCAGTGATGTCAAATAGGTAGACTCTCAGCTGTTACAAGACTACAAATCCCATGATTCCTTGTAGTTCTGCCTTGAAGCCAACTCTGTTCAAAACGAACCCTTTTTGTAAGTTCTTCGGTATCCGTAGTAGATGTGTAACTAACATCCACTCCCCAGTTCTCATTCAATAATAATCTATCGACTTTTGAATAAATACTGTGTTGCTGGGATTATGGGAATTTTAGTTCAACAACACGTTCAATATTAACTTAATGACTATGCTGACTATGCATGGTGATTGCTCAGTTTTTAGCACATTCCTCCAGGATCATGTTTCATTTTAGCCCCATTAATTCACGCTCCACATTGTTTTCTCATCTGAATGGTAAGATAACTTACACTTAAATAATCAGTCACACTCTGGGAAACCAGTGAAAACTGGCATGTTTAATACAAAACAAATTATGTACAAAACTTGATAAGTAATCTGCTGAAAGAGTTTGCAATGTTTGGGGGTTTTTTTTCCCCTCTTTTTTTCTTTTCATTATAAAAGTTACAGTAATCTTCCTCATTTCGCATGTGTACAATCGGACAAGTTCGGACCATTTCCTCTCCTCTGCACAGCGGAATGTTCGTAGTTAAACCGTTCATCTGTTTGAACCTCAGGTTATGATTGGTTGCCGACAGTTTTAAGAGTTATTTTGTGTAATCAAATGGTTTGACATTTTAAAAAACAAAAACAAATTGTAATGTCTACAAAGGAGACAAACTTTATATTCAAGTGGTAACTACATCTAAACTTACTAAAGCATTTACAGAAAGGAATTTGACTGGTAGTATTGTTTTAAAGTAATGTAAACAGATTTTGGCAAAGAAAATGCAAAGGCTAAAGTTCAGTTTTTAACATTGCATAACTGAGACCCTGCACAATGCTGTGGATTGTAGGGGAACTGGGTGGAGAATTGAAGTTGTAATTCTTAGATTGTTACATGAGAACTGAAAACCCCAATTCAATTATTAGTTAATGAGCATAAAGTCAACAGATGAAAGTGTCTCTCATTCCAAGTATCCATGGCAATGCAGCATTTTGCAAAGTATCAAAAAAATATCTATTTGTATCATTTATAGAAGTCAAGTGACATTTGTGGAATCAATACGGATAAAAACTGTCTGCGTACCATTATTTTAATTCAAATTTACATATCAGGATCTTAAACGTTAGACCCGCAGGCCTCATAGTACATCTACCCCACTGTGTGGGATTTCCTATAAACCTGGAACAGCAGCGAGGTGTTCATCATATTCACAAGCCCACTGCGGCATCACATGGCTATTAATGAAATCGTGGCTTAACTGGAGACTCCTTCAATGTTCACTGGCATAGAAGTTTGGACTTGGTAAAATTAAAAACAAAACACTTCTAATATACATTTAACTTGGAAGTACCCAAAGCATTATGTTGTTCCAGATTTGCACCCTTTTGCCTTTTCCTGTTTTCAAACTAGAGACCTCCAGTTTCACAGAGTGATAGGGGAACATGGAGAAATAGTCATTCTAAAGCGCAGTTCTCTTCTTAACCCACTGCTACCAAAACCACAAGCTTTGATTGGTCCGTGCAGAGCAAACAGAAGGTCTTCAATCTTCGATTTTTCTCGTTGCTCCTGTTTGCAAGCTTGCTAATACTCTGATATGAGCTCTCTGTGTGCGTTCATTTCAATGCTGGTGTAATTCTGAGGTCGCCTGCAATGCAGAAATAAAGATCATCAGCGCAGTGCAGGACATTTCTCCAGCTGTATGTATTTTATTTCAACTCATTTACAAGCAAAGAGTAATACAATCTGGCCACCCTATCCAAAGCATCAACGCAAAGAGCAAGGCAACATATCAATATCAGATAACAGGGCACCATAATCACGTTAGTTACCCATAATGGGATTCCGATAAGAGGAGGACAACACAATCCGACTTCCCCAGTATCCCCATACTCCTTTTCCTGGCACTATAGTGCCCTGAGGGTGCCCCCACACTCAGGGACCCCCTCCCGCCAGGTTGGATGGAGAGGAAGGGGTTAAACTTACCTCTTCCTCCAGCGCCGGGCAGGGAACTCTCCTCGGCTGAATGCGCATGCACGGCAAGAGCTGCGCGCGCATTCAGCCAGTCTCATAGGAAAGCATTCACAATGCTTTCCTATGGACGCTGGCGTCTTCTCACTGTGAAAATCACAGTGAGAAGCACGCAAGCGCCTCTAGCGGCTGTCAATGAGACAGCCACTTGAGGCTGGATTAACCCTAATGTAAACATAGCAGTTTCTCTGAAACTGCTATGTTTATAGAAAAAAGGATTAACCCTAGATGGACCTGGCACCCAGACCACTTCATTAAGCTGAAGTGGTCTGGGTGCCTATAGTGGTCCTTTAAAGCTGCTAAGGGTTTTTTTTTGTCAACTTTGGCTTATATATTGCAATAATTGCACATGTGTTGTGCTATTGCCTAAACTTGATTTTTAATTTTATCTTTAATAAACTGAATGTTATATTTTTATTGATTATTTCCTCTTCTTATGGGAATCCCATTATGGGCAATTAAGGTGTTGTGGCGCCCTGTTATCCGATATTGTATTCAGTTTTGTTCTTTGGTTTGAGGTTGGGACTGACCTCTAGACAGTGGCTTGCCTGCATTTTTTCCCTCTTGCTCCACCCACCTATCATCTGTTTTCTGTTTAACAATTCTTTTAATACTCTTTTCTAGACATAGACAGGTGTGTTATGTTTAGTTATATATATGCACACTCTCTCTCTCCCTCTCTCAATAAATCCTTACCATTTTATCCTGCTACTGGGCGCCGCCATCTTAGTTCCCTGCCAGTGATTGTTAAAAGCTCTTTTCTTAGCACCTGCCAGTCAGCACAGAGAGATCATACAAAGAAGAGGAGGATAAGAAACAATGTTTCTTTTTCTCTTCCTCATTTGCAATGTGTGCCCTGGCTGTGCCAAGATTGAACTGAACAGTGAGATAATTTTTGCTAATTCGTTATTATTAATTTAAAAGAAGGTACATCAAATGAAAAGGGTGGTTTACAATGTTTTTTGTGACACATTCCCTTTAGGTTTTAAATCATTTTGTGCCTGTAGAGGTCAAAGGCCTATGACTGCCCGTCACTTCTTTAGTTTTAGTGTAATATTACTGAAAGTATGTTTTTTAATTTTTTTATTGTTTCCTCTTCCATTTAGTCACATTGTTATTGATTTCCTAAGAAATCGACGGTATAATTCCCTCCTCCACGCTTTTCCATCAGTGTTCAAAACCACAAACCTTTTCCGAAGGTAGACTAATAGTGCGACTGCGCCAAATATCAACAGCAGGGTTAGGAGCACCAGGACTGCCACGTGCCATGCCTTGAAGGTTCCTAATAGGAGAATCAGAGAGACAATTACATCCAGGTTCCTGTATAACAGCCTGCAACACCAATATACAAGGAGCATTTTATATTGGTATTGCAGTCTGTTAAATAAAACTTGCAAGGTCTTATATATAGCTGCCTTGTGATAACAGGATAACAGCCAAGGTTATTCAAAAAGTCTGGGTTTTAATCTATTTAAAATGAATTTTAACGTTTAGGCCAAAAACTATGTTTTCAACTCAGCTATTATTTTATTCAGTAGTGAATTGAAATCTGGTGCTATGTGCCAGCAGTCAGGACAAGAAAGTAATTAACAATAAAGTAAAAGTAGAATCAATATTTTATGTCATGTTACATTGCTGCATCCAACACTGTATATAATACTATATAACACACTACTACTCCGTATATATTGCTGTATATTACTATGTATCAAACACTGTATATAATATCGCACACAACACTGTATATAATACTATATTACACAGTACTACTCTGTATATAAAGCTGTATGTTACTCTGTATATAATATCGCACACAGCACTGTATATAATACTATATAACACACTACTACTCTGTATATAATGATGTATGTTACTCTGTATATAATATCGCACACAACACTGTATATAATACTATATAACACACTACTACTCTGTATATAATGATGTATGTTACTCTGTATATAATATCGCACACAACACTGTATATAATATTATATAACACACTACTACTCTGTATATATTGCTGTATATTACTATGTATCAAACACTGTATATAATATCGCACACAACACTGTATATAATACTATATAACACACTACTACTCCGTATATAAAGCTGTATGTTACTCGGTATATAATATCACACACAGCACTGTATATAATACTATATTACACACTACTACTCTGTATATAATGATGTATGTTACTCGGTATATAATATCGCACACAGCACTGTATATAATATTATATAACACACTACTACTCTGTATATAATGATGTATGTTACTCTGTATATAATATCGCACACAACACTGTATATAATACTATATAACACACTACTACTCCGTATATAAAGCTGTATGTTACTCGGTATATAATATCGCACACAGCACTGTATATAATACTATATTACACACTACTACTCTGTATATAATGATGTATGTTACTCGGTATATAATATCGCACACAGCACTGTATATAATATTATATAACACACTACTACTCTGTATATAATGATGTATGTTACTCTGTATATAATATCGCACACAACACTGTATATAATATTATATAACACACTACTACTCTGTATATAATGATGTATGTTACTCTGTATATAGTATCGCACACAACACTGTATATAATATTATATAACACACTACTATTCTGTATATAATGCTGTATGTTACTCTGTATACAATTCTATATAACACACTGCTCTGTATATAATATGTATTACACACTGTTTTAAATGGTAAAAATGGCCATGTTCCCACTGCAGTGGTAATTATTATATTTACTAAAGCCAAATACGGTAAGAGTTGAGTTGGTCTGAGCAAACCTGCAGCAATCACCTTAATGCATTTGGTGTCTGTATTAAAATCTTTGCTTTGTCATCCGAATCCTGTATAAAGTATAGAATTCGTATTATGCATGAAGCACCAATTTTTTGGCACCGAATGCCGCTTTTTTTTGAAAGTGAATGATCATTTTAGGTACTATTTGCATGCCGACAGCACTAGCAACCAGTTGGCAAATAGTTAAAAATCCTTGGCAGTGGGGGCGGGCCCTGACCGCCATGCTGAGAGGTTGCAGGGAGCTAGAGCTCCTGTGAAACCTGCAACATAAATGAAATAAGGCATTTACTTCCCATAATAAGCGATCCCCGGCAAATGTCACCGACGTCTGGCATCTTGTGGACAACACCGGTGCCGATGTTGGGACAGACAACTCTTGCTGTGCTCCAACTGTGTCCTGTGATGGATTGTGGCCTAATGTATCTCGGCGGGAGAGGCGGCTGATCTCACAGCGGGGACTGCCTGGGCTGCTCTGTTGCATCAAGAGCCCCGTACCCCCCTTAGTCCCCACAGGCCCACTCCACATAACTCTGTGGCCCTCTGGAAGCAGCGACCAACGACCAAAGCTAAACCCTCCAAAATGACGGGGGGACACTCAGATCCTGAGTACGAGCCAGCGCAGATTGAGCAGGCCCGACGTGCCGAACTGGACCCATTTGAGCAGCGACTGGATGCGATTTTCCACCACTTTTGGGCTAAGCTGGAAGCTTGAATCATGGCAACACCACCTCCACAGCAGGAGGCAGACGGGAGAGTGAAGGGGTCTTCTCCGGGTGAAGTGCTTGCTCCAGCACGCTGTTCCTCCCCTGGGCTGAGATCCCAGGTGGAGCTGCAACCACCTAGCCGTCCATATGCCTGTGGGGTGCACCGAGCTTCAAAGCCCCTGTGGTCCTGCCGCATGGATCGAATGGACACTTAAATGTCTTCTTTTATGACCCGGGCAAGAGGTGGTGGGAAGGCATGGAGTACCAAACTGCCCTGTTGGAATACCTACAGCACCCCTCTACACTACTTACAAAAGGCACCGAGATGGGCTTTCTAGCGTGGCCTCCTATTGGCATTGGTTGAGTGGACGAGATGGCTGGCTTATATACTCAAGCAGCTATTACCTAGCAATGCAGTGACTGACGTTTATTGTTTGACTCTCAATGTTTATTCTTATGTTTCACTTTAGTAGCTCTCAGCCAGTGGAATCTATGTCTCTACTCACCTAGCATGTGTTCTCACAACCATATACCACTTATTAATCTATCTTGTACTGGTCTGGAAGGGCTCCTGTTATTAGGCTTAAAGGGACACTATAGTCACCAGAACAACTACAGCTTAATGTACTTGTTCTGGTGAGTAGAATATCTCCCTTCAGGCATTTTCATGCAAACACTGTCTTTTCAGAGAATAGGCAGTGTTTACATTGCCCCTATGGACACCTCCAAGTGGCCACTCCTTAGATGGCCACTGGAGGTGCTTCCTGGCTCAGTGCTGCACAGTAGGCAGCTCTGCCGTTCAGTGTCCCCATGGAGACACTGAATTTTCCTCATAGAGATGCACTGATTCGATGCATCTCTACGAGGAGGTCCTGATTGGCCAAAACGTCATTTGGCCCCGCCCCCGTGCCGATTTTAGCCAATCCAATGGGAAAGCAAAGATGTCACAAAGGGGGCGGAGCCAGCGCCGGCAGACCAGCACAGCGCTTGAAATAAGGTGAGTTTTAAACTTTTATAGGGGGAGCTAAATGGTGGCACTATAGGATCAGGAATACATGTTTGTGTTCCTGACCCTATATTGATCCTTTAATTCTTGTTTGCATATAGTTGTGTGTGACTAGCATACACCACTGATCTTTTTGTTCCTCAGGTCTAGTTAATACCATTAGCCGTATGACACTTTTATGGAAGACCCTTTCAGGCTTGTCAGTTCAGCATGTTCCTCTTTATATATTTTTTGATAGCTGTACTATTATTCAGTAAGGCCCAGCCATCTATGTCTAGCCTGTATTATCTCATTATACATATATATCACAAAAAAGAAAAGTGCAGCTTAACCCGACATTACTTGCTACATTTGCTTGTATTTCTTCCTTATCTATACATGCAACCAATGTCTTTATTTACTTCTGTATCATCACTGCACGACATAAATATAGAATATAAAACAAAAAAAATCCTTGGCAGCATAAGGGTTAATTATTTGGCAGCTGGCGAACATTAAAATAGTTTATGAATAAATTTATTAATAAAAACATATAAAAAAAATAGGGGTCAATAAGACCCCCATATTACTATAAGGGGGTGTAAAAGCTCCCTATGCCCCCACCTGTCACATATCTGCTAAATGTTTAACACTAATGACTGGGCAGCCATTCGTGGGAAGGGGTCTGTTAAATAATTGAGTAGGGACCTAATATAGTATGCCGCCATGGGTGCTTTAAAATAAATAATGCAGTGAACAGGTCACTGTCATTCTGACATTCAATTTATATAAAATATATTGATTTTACTGATCTCCCTAGCTGTACGAAGCCACGATTTCTCCAGCAGACATCCTGCTCTAGGTTTGACAGCTGACCTTTACTGTGGAACAGTACCCCCATCTGGCCACTAAGTTTACAGATGACACCCTATCTGACATGCGGCAAGCATGGAGCTGAGAGACACAGAATATCACCCTTGACTGGGGGCTGCCTGGTCTGATTGAATCCTACTATTTATAGCCAGTATAGGGTGTCCCAGGCTGGAAACAGATGTCTTATGTGTTTATAGCATTATTGAAATAGGAGGGAGCAGCACACAAAGTTATGGGATGAGTAACATTTAATAAATAAATCCTCACTGAATATATTGAGGGTGCAGAATTAGAGGGGAGACATGATATACTGACAGGGCAAGAGAAACACATTTTCTATGTCAAACAAAATCATCCCATTACCTTGGGCACTGCATCCAGTAAGAGAGCCAAAGGATCTGTCATGTAGGGTGAAGGGCTGATTAAGGAGGTTCGTATTCCAGGTTTGGATGAGATGTTGGTCCTTGTGAAATGTTAAAGCTTCGCCCGAGATGGACAGTCTGCTCTTCGCACACCTGACCTTTAGATCTAGGAGAGACATATATGAAGATATGTTTGACTGCTGTGAGGCTGCTGGCAATGATTCATAAAAAAAGACACTGGGGTATCGAGGAGGAAATAGGAAAGCTTATTGCATCAAAAATTTATATAATTAAATGTAAGAGAGTGCACAAGTATTTGCTGAAATATGAGTATAAATCACATCAATGTGCTAAAAACAACTATAAACAGTGGGATAAGAGGCGAGGGAAAGAGGTGAAGATGGTATATTCAAAGGTGAAGAAGAGGGACGGGGTGTAAGATCAGTCCAGGAAGCGGCGTACTCAGGCAATGCAAATAGCACTATCTAGGAGTACAGGATCGCTGTGCATTTGCTAATCCTGTTTAAAGACTGAACATCAGGATTCTCCCACTTTCTCACGTGGATGTTTAAAGGGAGGAATGGAGCTCGCTGGGGTAAGAAGCTAGTATGAGGCTAGCGAGTGAATATTGTAACTAGACAAGGGGGATATAGAGAGTAGGATTGAAAGAAGGAAGCAGGCAATCAATATTGAGAATTATTACTTGTACTTTTAAGAGATATCGTCAGTTTGGAATTAATAGTACAAGTACACAGCTCATGTAAGCTGTAAGCTACTAGCATATGGTATTCAAAGGTACGTATGTATTAAGGTCCTTAATACTCTGTGCCGTGCATTAGGCCAACCACTTCTTTAGTTAACAACAAATCTACATGAAAAATAAAATGTACATAGAGTAGTACTGGATATACCATAACAAGAGAAGTGGATGATGCACTAACAAGGTTAAGATAAAAAGATATGCCCTCAGTAATTCTTCATAGTATTCAATGTAAAGAAAAAGCATCAAAACATAGCGCAACTCTAAAAAGTATAACAAACGCTAATAAATAATTGAAATTACAAGATGAAATATCAAGTCAAACATATCACCTTACCACCCTAAATGGTCGTGTCACTTACCCAATCCTGTAAGTGTAGTTATCTAGTAGAGTTTGTTATACTTTTTAGAAATGCGCTATGTTTTGATCCTTTTTTTTTTTTACATGGAATATTATGAAGAATTACTGAGGGCATATCTTTCGTATGAGGGCCGTAGTCTATGCACCTTTTATTTTTTTTTCTGTAGATTTGTTGTTATATGTATTGCTGAAGATTAATAGGGCTTTTTTCTAAATAATTTGTGTATTTTTAAGGGTAATTTCATTTCTTATTCATTCTATTAGTGATTTTAAGAGGTGTTTTCAGTTTTTTTGTTTGCACTTCTTTAATTTGTTTGCATGTCTGAGCAGTGAGCCTTTTTAGGTACAAAGGTGAGGCAAAAACTGACTTCAGTTGTTTCTGTACATACAATTGTCTTTACCTTGTATGTATGCTGGAGGTGAAAAACAAGAGCAGTCCTGCTCAATGGACGCACTAAGAGTGACCTTCAAACCGTCCAGAGTCTGCTGCTTCACCTGCTCCCATCCTGAGCAATCTGTAACGAGGCAAAGAGAAGCAGTGATTCTCAACTTTCTATGGAGAAGTGCCTCTCCGGGTCTAAAAAATAATTCCTAAGTACTCTGCCTCGGGAAAGTAATTTCTATAGATTTAAATTCCAAGTGAAACATAAAAGTCACAAACTGAATATATAATACACACATAATAGTTACAAACAGGGGATACTGACACACACAGCTACACACAGAGGACACTGACACACACACACACATTTACACACAAAGGACACAGACACACACTTACACACAGAGGATACTTACATACATTTACACACAGAGGACACTGACACACACACACATTTACACACAAAGGACACAGACGCACACTTACACACAGAGGACACTGACACACACTTATACACAGAGGACACTGACACACACCCACACATTTACACACAAAGGACACTGACACACTTACAAACAGAGGATACTTATACACATTTACACACAGAGGACACTGACACACACTTGCAAACAGAGGATACTTACACACATTTACACACAGAGTTGACACTGACACATGAACACTTTTACACAGAGAGGACACTTACATACACACATTTTCACACAGAGGACATTGACATACACACACATTTACACGTAGAGAAAACTGACACACAAACATATAGCTGTGGGGCAATAGTAGGAAGGATGCAGTGGTGGTACAGGGGCAGTAGTGGGGACAGAGGCTGTAGTAGGGAAATAGGTACATTGCCATGGTTTTATGCATAATACAGCTTATCTCATTTCGCATATTACTTGTATTGGAGTCCTTAATGCAGAGGTCCAGTTGGAATGGGGAGGAACTGAAGGGGCATAAGTTGGCAGAACCAGGACTGGGCTGTGGTACAGGCAACAGGAGCGGATTATGGAAGTCCAAAATATGAGGACATCGGCTCACAGAGAATAACCTGCAATATTAATCAATCTATCAGATGGGCACCAAGAGCATTAAATAAACATATACAGTTAGACTACTGAAAGGCAAAACACCGACAGATCTCAGAGAGGTGTGACGGTTATTCACACAAAAAAAATAAGAATATTAAGAATCAGGGACAGTGATTTAGAGAGTATTATGTCACATAGAGCTATAGTACACAGCAGCATTTATCACTCAATAAAATGTCACTTAGGGCCAGAGCGGAAATTGGGTATTATTTATACATTATCAGAAATATTTAATATTTAGTATGATAGTTGCATAATTACTGAACCTCAAATCTTATATTTACTCTGATCCTTTCCCTATATATATATATATATATATATATATATACACTGCTCAAAAAAATAAAGGGAACACAAAAATAACAGATCCTAGATCTGAATGAATTAAATATTCTTCTGAAATACTTTGTTCTTTACATAGTTGAATGTGCTGACAACAAAATCACACAAAAATTAAAAAATGGAAATCAAATTTTTCAACCCATGGAGGTCTGGATTTGGAGTCACACTCAAAATTAAAGTGGAAAAACACACTACAGGTTGATCCAACTTTGATGTAATGTCCTTAAAACAAGTCAAAATGAGGCTCAGTAGTGTGTGTGGCCTCCACGTGCCTGTATGACCTCCCTACAACGCCTGTGCATGCTCCTGATGAGGTGGCGGATGGTCTCCTGAGGGATCTCCTCCCAGACCTGGACTAAAGCATCTGCCAACTCCTGGACAGTCTGTGGTGCAACGTGACGTTGGTGGATGGAGCGAGACATGATGTCCCAGATGTGCTCAATTGGATTCAGGTCTGGGGAATGGGCGGGCCAGTCCATAGCATCAATGCCTTCGTCTTGCAGGAACATCTGACACACTCCAGCCACATGAGGTCTAGCATTGTCTTGCATTAGGAGGAACCCAGGGCCAAACACACCAGCATATGGTCTCACAAGGGGTCTGAAGATCTCATCTCGGTACCTAATGGCAGTCAGGCTACCTCTGGCGAGCACATGGAGGGCTGTGTGGCCCCCCAAAGAAATGCCACCCCACACCATTACTGACCCACTGCCAAACCGGTCATGCTGGAGGATGTTGCAGGCAGCAGAACGTTCTCCACGACGTCTCCAGATTCTGTCACGTGCTCAGTGTGAACCTGCTTTCATTTGTGAAGAGCACAGGGTGCCAGTAGCGAATTTGCCAATCTTGGTGTTCTCTGGCAAATGCCAAACGTCCTGCACGGTGTTGGGCTGTAAGCACAACCCCTACCTGTGGACGTCGGGCCCTCATACCACCCTCATGGAGTCTGTTTCTGAGCATTTGAGCAGACGCGTGCACATTTGTGGCCTGCTGGAGGTCATTTTGCAGTGCTTTGGCAGTGCTTCTCCTGTTCCTCCTTGCACAAAGGCAGAGGTAGCGGTCCTGCTGCTGGGTTGTTGTCCTCCTACGGCCTCCTCCACATCTCCTGATGTACTGGCCTGTCTCCTGGTAGTGCCTCCATGCTCTGGACACTACGCTGACAGACACAGCAAACCTTGCCACAACTCGCATTGATGTGCCATCCTGGATGAGCTGCACTACCTGAGCCACTTGTGTGTGTTGTAGACTCCGTCTGATGTTACCACTAGAGTGAAAGCACTGCCAACATTCAAAAGTGACCAAAACATCAGCTAAGAAGCATAGGAACTGAGAAGTGGTCTGTGGTCACCACCTGCAGAACCACTCCTTTATTGGGGGTGTCTTGCTAATTGCCTGTAATTTCCACCTGTTGTCTATCCCATTTGCACAACAGCATGTGAAATTGATTGTCACTCAGTGTTGCTTCCTAAGTGGACAGTTTGATTTCACAGAAGTGTGATTGACTTGGAGTTACATTGTGTTGTTTAAGTGTTCCCTTTATTTTTTTGAGTAATGTATATTGTCCTTTGAAGTTTAAGGTGGCAGTAGTGATTAGTATTGTAAAAGTGCCAATTTAACAAGGGGCATTAAAAAAATATATAATAATTGCATTCTTCAGGTTTGCTTAAGGAAAATATGGCCTGAACGCTACATTCTATATTTACCTGTGAAATATACACTTTTTAATTAGCACCTTCTGTTTTTAAGACTGATGGCAATGAGAGTAAGCCCTGTTGTCTAATGTAATCCACTTTCCCTGCAGAGACAAATGTGCTTCTCTTGTATTTTGGAAGCAATTTTTTTATTGTTATAAAAAGCCAGCCTCGTTTCTTGAATTGATGTACATTTAATTATATTTTGTAATATGAGGAAAGAGATAGTAAAGAGACATGTAGTAATATCAGCCTACCTGTGTATAAATCATCTGTAACAGCCAGGGACAGACAGACGGATGGTCAGGAGACAGCGAGAAAGAATGGAGAAAGGATCAAAGGAGGTGAAACAAGTAAAGGTGTGTTCAACGATAAAAGAGGAGCATGCTAACCTAATTTTCACCATATTATCATCTACCGCGGGGATCATTAAAGGACAACTGTCACCTAAACTATCTTTAATATAATAATCCCTTTATCAAGTTTTGAAAATATATATATATTTTTAAGTATATGTATATGAAAAAAAAACCAAAAAAAAACAAAAACAAAACCCTCATCCTTATCTTTAGTGTATGCCAAGATCCTACAGCCATGTACATGTGCCTTGGGTTGCACAGTATTCAATAACCAACAGTTAGTCTCTATGATCCTCCCAGTTTCTGTGCAGGGAGTGAAGCCGGGAAGACCATAGAGCGTATATGTCGGTTTTCAAACACTGACCCAAGGTGTATGTATATGGCTGAAGGATCCTGTCATATAATAAATGTAGGGATACGATTATTTTTTTCTTCATTTTTAACATATACTTCAAATATTCTATTTCCTTTCAAAATTTTATGAAAAGTTTATAATGTTAAAAATAGTTTTGAGGCCGCACACCCTTACCAACACAAATAACTGTTATCCTCTCCCATGCCTTGTTTGTAGGAAAGCCCAGGATTTCAGGAGTTGAGAGACATGTAGTGAACGTAATATTTAAAGGAGTTAAATGATGCTCTGGTGGAAAACACTATCCTCCTCCCTCTGGTAGCCAAGGGAGGTCTCTCTGTCTGTTCTATCAATCCACAATTACGTCACTAGCCCACTGTTACCCTTCCATAGCTAATTACCCCTCTCTTCTCTCTAATGTTTGATGTAAACTTAAAATCATAATTTTTTTTTTTAATTGATGTATATGTAATCACTACTGCATAAGTATCATTTATGTTGTTATATAATGTGAAATGTGGTCTCCATGCAATACATTCTCAATAAAAAACATCAGATTAAAAAAAAATTGGTTTTGAAGTGACAGCTGTCGTTTAATAGGTAGGTGCTCAACTGTTGAAGAACTTCTATTCCCACAATGCATTACGGCTTGAGGCTGGAATACCATCAGTTGAGTTGTACATCTGCAGCAGTTAGAGGTGGGCTACTTATTGGCTAAACCACCAATGTTACAAGATGGAAGACACCCAGGGACGGATTGGGAGAAAAATTCGGCCCGGGCATATTTTTAACACAGCGGCCCACTAAAAAGGGGGCGGGGCAGAGGAGGTGTGTTTTGTCATCACCAATGACAAACACGCCTCCTCTCAAAGTGAGCATGTTGGGTCAATTCTCTTCCAGGGCAGACCATGCGCAGAGCTCTGCTGAAGAGCTCTAGCATGAGAAAAAAGTCCTGTATTTGTTATGCACAGTGCAAGCAAATTTAATAACATGCTTGCACTGTGTTTCCTTGCAACTTGTCTCTGGTGTCTTTATAAATGGATACCAGGAGACAAAAGGCCAGGAAAGAGAATTGTGCATGTGTTTGGAGCCTGCTTGTGGTATTGCGTGTGTGTAGAGTGAGCTGGTCGTGGTGTGGTATTGTGTAATAAGGTCGGTTTTAGTCGTGTTGTGTTTGTGGTGTAATGTGATGCATATGTGGCTCAGGGACCCCCTCCCGCCCGGCTCTGGAAAGGGGTTAAAACTTACCTTTTTCCAGCGCCGGGCGGGGAGCTCTCCTCCGATCCGCCCCGTCGGCTGAATGCGCACGCGCGGCAAGAGCTGCGCGCGCATTCAGCCGGTCGCATAGGAAAGCATTTATAATGCTTTCCTATGGACGCTTGCGTGCTCTCACTGTGATTTTCACAGTGAAAAGCACGCAAGCACCTCTAGCGGCTGTCAATGAGACAGCTGCTAGAGGCTTTGGGGGAAGGCTTAACCCATTGATAAACATAGCAGTTTCTCTGAAACTGCTATGTTTATAAAACAATGGGTTAACCCTAGAAGGACCTGGCACCAAGACCACTTCATTAAGCTGAAGTGGTCAGGGTGGCTAGAGTGGTCCTTTAAGAGTGTAGTGTGTGTGTGTGTGTGTGTGTGTGTGTGTATATATATTTGGAAGTATTGTGTATGTGTGTGAAAGTGCTGTGTGTGATGGGTGTGAGAGTGCTGTGTGAGAGAGTGCTGTGTGTGTGTGAGAGTGCTCTGTGAGAGTGCTGTGAGAGAGTGCTGTGAGTGTGATGGGTGTGAGAGTGCTGTGAGTGTGATGGGTGTGAGAGTGCTGTGAGAGAGTGCTGTGTGTGTGAAAGTGCTGTGTGTGATGGGTGTGAGAGTGCTGTGTGAGAGAGTGCTGTGTGTGTGTGAGAGTGCTGTGAGAGTGCTGTGTGTGATGGGTGTGAGAGTGCTGTGTGCGATGGGTGTGAGTGCTGTGTGAGTGAGTGCTCTGTGTGATGGGTGTGAGAGTGCTGTATAAATGTTATCTTACCTTTAGCCTGGGAGGGGGGGTCCGGCACGCTGGGAGGCAGGGTGGCAGTGTTCCCTGGTGGTCCTCGTGGGTGAGTGAACTCTAGCCTGTGAGGCTAGAGTTCACTCACGCGAGATCCGGCCGTTGCCATGGCAACGCACCGGATCTCGCGAGAGGAACCCGGCGGAGCTGCAAGTTAGAGCTCCGCCGGGTCCTCTCTCCAGCCTGGCTGGCTCCCTCCCTCCCTCCCCGCCGGCGGCCGCATGTGGGCCGGTCAGGGAGATCCTTGATCTCCCCACCGGCCCGTCGTGGCAAACAGCGGGGCCGGCGCTAGGAGAGTGCCGGCCCTGCATAGACCGGCAGGGGAGATCCTGGGACCTCCCCTGCCGGCCTCGGCCCCACTGCCACCGCGGCCCACCGGGCATTTGCCCGGTGTGCCCGATGGCCAGTCCGGGCCTGAAGACACCTGAGGATCCACGATGCTCTGCCAGCATTCCACAGAAAAATATAGCTCTAGAATTAGCTATCAATGAGTTCCATTATAGGTCAGGTAGAAAATGGTTATAAAATGATTAGTAGGTGCAGTCTTTATCAGGCCTTTTACTTACCTTTGCTCGCCGTATAAAGTGATGCTCTCTTGTCCCAGGTCTCTCAGAAGTTCACTTGAAGAACTGCTTTCCCATGAATAGACTACAGCATCTAAAAGCCCTCTCTGAGTGAGGCCTGATCCCACAGGGAAACTCTCTGGACTCCCTGTGTACAAAGCCAGGGCCTCAGGGCTGAAAGTGCTGGGGCGTGAGAGTGATGGTAGTCGCTGTTCTATAGAAACAAAGGAAAGTTTAGAATCATCGTAGTGTACAGCTGCTCAGTACCTTCATCTTCCATTGCTACGTTTTTTTACATAATATCTCCTAAGCCAGCCGCCCAAATCCTGTCAGTTTTCATACACTGTTGTCTCTCCTTTGTAGGAGTTTGCAATATTTCATGTGGGGTTATGCTGAACGAAGCTGCAAAACTTAGGTTTTTCCATAACAGATATCAAGAAATTTGAATGTTGAGAAAAACACATGATGAGTCCAAAATGTATCAGATGCTTTTCAAGGGTACCTCAATCTACACGACCACTTCTGCTCATATAAGTGGTTATGGTGGTAGGAATCTGTATGTGCAGTGTTTCTGTTTGCTCACCCAATATTATAATAACTGCTTAATCGTATATATGTTGTTTTACTATTTTTTGCATAAATTATGACGTCATTTTGGCGCCAATTTCGAATTTGTTAATGAACTGAAAGGTTATTTAAACCATTGTAAACCAGGTCTCTGTTTTTTATTGCCAGTTGAAAAAGCCCTGTGTGGCGAAACGCGTTTTGGCTGTTTTATTACCTTATATTAATTTATATTTTATCAATAAAGGATTATTGGCTAATACATTACTTTTTTCTTTGCCATATACCTTTTCTTTTATTTTAAGTTTTTTTATTTACTTTATTTTCATTTTTGGAACTGGTTACTACTTTTACATTACTACCATTTCGTTCAAGAATCCTAGGTGGGGATTATACCACCTATGCCATACAAGTGAGCAGTATATCCTGCTCACTTAAATGTGAGTATTCTATATATATTTTATTTCTACGTAATTACAACATTTATACAGTGAGCACTATTCTGTGTTACCCTCTTCTCTCTTGAGGATCTCCGTTACGTGCATACGTCTATATCCCACCAGTGGGGGACCAATACCACTGAATGTGAAGTACACCTGAGCTAGTCCAAGCTCCAATATAGGTGAGTGTGATACTTTTTCACTTTGAATCCTCACAAAGAAACGGAAGATACAGTCTACACTATTGGATTTTCCCTTTTGTTCTCTTTTGCATATTGGTACCCGGAACAAGACGCTACCTTCATTTCTCCAATTTCATTTGGACTATTTCCTCTCCTCAAGTGGATGTGACCATTCCCTGCTTATTTTAGGACTTTTTATTTTTTTCTCTCTTTATGTACTGATATATGTAAGTACTTACCATATTACACATATATATGTTTTATCTGTTTTATATGAAGATATTTCAGTTTTTATCTACGGTTGTACTATCTGTTTTATCTTGTTACATTCATTTTCTGGCGCGACCTAATACCTTCTTTCCTTTAGACATGCACAGTTATCTTCACTCTTGTGCTGTAGTCTAGTTGCAACCTGGCAAACGTGACCTTGGCAGCAATTTTTATAAAAAGCCAGCCTTGTATCTTAAATTCGTGAATTGCTGGACTGCCTAATGTAAGTTCTATGCAAAAAATACGTCCATCAGTACGCTCTGCATGCTGGAGACAGATATAGTGGATTCTACCCTTGCATTCCGCACAGGTAGAGCTTGTGCAAGTGTAAAACTGTATCTCCCTTCCTTCCCTTTCTGTGCTCCCTCCCTGCACATACAGCTATTCATATACAAAAGAAGGAAACAGCGCTAAATTAAACCAATCCTATAAATAGGTAAAAGTAGGAGGCAGCAACCTAAAATAGGGTTCCCTCTAAGCCCTATGAACAAAGATAATATACAAGACAAAACAGAAGGAGGTTGCACCAAAGCTGACTAAAGTGCACCTAGAGAATGAACAAAGTCCAAAATGTAGGTGGTGCCAAAACAAAGTCTTTAGTAGGGCCTGGTGGGGCACCGACGGCCTATGTGGAGGGGTATTCTCTCTAAGGGTCACGTGAAGATGGCTTTTCAGGATCCGTATGTAAAGAAATAAACAAATAATGGTGCAAATACGTCTGATGAGAGGGTTGATATGCAGGAAGAAGAGATCTATGGTAATTCTACTAACATGTAGTATAGCTGAACTAGCTCTAGTGTGGATGGCATACAGCGGTACAATCCCCGCTTATAGGATACGTAGAGTATTGGTCTTTTACTCCGTATGTGGAAGAGAAAGACAGGTGATAAGGCAGTACGTCTGGTAAAGATGGTGTATATAACAACAGAGTCTAATACAGTCTTACTCACATTTAGTAGAGCTTAAGCCAGCTCTAGTGTGAATAGCGTACAGCAGTATAATCCCCGCTTGTAGGATACGTGTAGAGGGTTAAGTCTTTCACCGATGTGTAGATCATAAGGGAGAAGAGAGACAACTAATAGTGCTCGCTGTATAAAATCTTATATAAGGAGTATAAATAGTAAAATGTACTCACATAGAATTGAGCAGGCGGACTGCTCAATGATTTAGGCGTGAGTGGTATAATCCCCACCAAGCAAGATAACCAAACTGCAGAAACAGCCTGTCACACAAATACTATCCATGACACAACCATTCAGAAGAGAACCCTATTCCACATGCACTGAATTTACCTGGTCACTGCTGACACACCATAAACACACAGTGCATACACCTGTCACCACCACAGCTGTGTTATGTGAACCAACCAATAAGCACTAACCTTAGAACGATACGTTATTGCTCTATGATAGTCAATGTTAGACTACATAGTCAAGCTTTATTAATCTGTATGCAACTATAAACATAACTGCATTTTGTTCCGACATGTATATTACTTTAACAACAAAAACAAAAATGTGCACAGGATTTCCTATGCCATGTTATCAGCTTTTGAACGTCGGTCTCATACTGCTACTGTGGCGTAATAGACCTAACTGTAACTCCATGCAAAAATAAAGAATTAGAATTTTTTTTTTTTTATAAAACCCATATATCTCCAGGCTGGTTACACATTATCTTTGCCGTGATGCTATGATCTTTATAAGCATCCCTATTTAAAGGATCACATCATCTCGGATTATATATTTTCTAAACATTAGAAAAGCTACTGGTCTGAGGAGCTTACATACCACTTGTTGCATTGAGGCTTATCACATAGAAGCCATTTAGTCCTAGGAAACCTTCCAGTCCAAACCGGTCATACACCTTTCCATCCATGTCATACAGAACCAGGGTAATTCCATGTACTCTAGTGCCCGGTCGCCCCTTCAGCTCAATGAAGTTGTACGGCTCGGAACCGGTTAGCACCCCAACCTCACTGATCATCAGGCTCACAGGGGTTCCAGATGTGACGACAGAGGAAGAGGTCATTTGTGGATGGAGGGATGGTCTTATGGTCGTACAGTCATTATCTGCTAGAGGAGTAATTCTCGTAACCTGGAAATAGGAATAAGAAAATAAACACTTGATACATTTTTTTTTTTTTTTAACATTTACGAATACATTTTTGGCACATAAATAACTGGCTATTCGTCAGAGATCTTGGTATTAGTAAAATCATTCTGCATTAGAAATGTTTGTAGAATTCAGGAGGCAGATAGAACTATCTTTGGTGGAATACATTGGCCACAAAATATACCTAGATTTGGAGTCCTGGAGTTTCTTTGCATTTACCAGACATAGTTAGGAGTCATCTTGTTGAGCTGCTGATATATTTTGTAGCCAAAAAATACTTCTTAACTTCCATTACTGCTCTCACCTGGTGGAGAAACTATTTATTTTGCCAATACTCTTGTCAGTCCCTCTACCTCGAATAACCATGAAATATGCCACTCTCCTGCCACAGTGAGTGCATTGCTGCACTTACTGCCCACTTACCTGGAAGCTTGACAGGCTCAGGGGCACCAGCCCATTGCAACGACTCAAAGACTCATCGTCCTCATGAAATCTCTCGTTCTCATGCACAGCTTCCTGTCCTGGTGTAAGATCCTTCAAAAGCCTCTCTGCGTCATCTCCAACTTGGGATACATAGACCACGGCATCCACCAACCCATCAGCTGTCACCTCCATATTTTTCTTGTAGCCCTTTCCAGGACGATAATACAAAGCCACTGCATCTGCCCCATTCTGTAAGGTGTTATAGGGCATTGCAACGTTAGGTTTTGGGGACACTTTAGCGCTACCCACTAGGAAGTAGCCACGCTTGTCAATCCTATAGCCTTTGAGATCTAGGGTGTAATACGCCAGGTTGTTCTTTCCATTATAGAAAACCAGCCAGTACCCAGCAAGGCTGACCGAGAAGTTCAAAGGGTTATGAAGCTCCACAAACTCCGTATCCTCGGCAGCACCAGGAGTATTGGGGTTTATTTCGCTGATGATTACCGCAGGGGACTTTGAATCAGGAGGGCTGGTCGTCGAAACGTCTGAGGAATGAAACAGCATTGCAAATCAAAGTGTACATCAGACTCAACCACAATATCTAATAAGTGTTTGTGTAAATGTTAATATTACAAGTCTACTACATCCCTAATCTGAGATTTAAAGTGAATCAATACCTGAATTGACTTTGCTAAAACATGACGTAAAGACAGAGGCGAGTATTATGATATATCTTTCTTTACTTAAATATAAAAGCAAAGAGAATTAGTGAATGAATTTTATTCGTTTATGTCAGTTGATGTAAATGTTTAAAATCTGTTTTCATTCATTTACTAATTCTCTTTGCTCCGATGTTAAAGTAAAGAAAGATATGGCACAACATGAGCCTCTGTGTCTTGTAATAACAGTTTCATTATTTCTCCAAAACTGGGAATAGTTGAGGAATGACAAGGGAGTTGCACATTGTAGGACAAAATTGTTAGGTATGCAAGGAAAATCTGAAACGTCTTTTTTTTTCAGCCAAGTTATTTTTTTGGCATAAAATATGTAAAATGTGAGAAATATAGTTCAGTAAAATCCGGAGTGCCGAAGTTATCCATCACAGAACGATGACAGTCCTGCACACAGAATGAACCACAGATCTGATCTTCACAAAATACAACTCTTGAGATCACCAAGTCCTTCTTGCACTACTAATGAGGAATTGCCTTACCTGGAAGAAGTGTTGTAGCATATGAAGCCTGGCAGCTTGGCAGCACAGTGGCATTCACGCCCACAGCTATGGTGGTTCCTGAAGTCACAAACTGTTCCAGGACATTAGACAGGTCTCCATCACGAAGAGTTATGGATGAATTTTGCTTGACGTGCAGGGTTATTACACCAGACTGACAGGTAAAGCTGGGATCTGTATGTGTCAGGAAACAAGGTTACAACAAGTAGAAACCACTGTCACAGGGGTCCCTGAATCTCCTGTTTGAATTTACACCATAACAATACATTCTGGATGTTTTCTTTGAATGGTATTATTTCAAAACTTCAGTGACTTTTAATAACTGAAAAATAATTGTTGGCAGCAGATACCAGCCAATCGGTCCATCCAGTCTGCTCACAATAAAATCTCGTGTTTATTAAATCACATGCTAGCTGGCCGCAATATTGGGCCGATGCCAGAAGAGGTTATTCTGACATGAGCCGCCAATCACAAGGGACAGACAATACAAGTGTTGCTAATGTTTATCTGCTAACTCCTGAATGGCACTTTTTATAAATCTCTATACCTACACAGAGTTCTGCCTTCTATAAAATAAAATAAAATGGCATCAAAATTGTGTTTTCTGGCTTCTGGCTTATTAATCATACGAAGAGTGTTGTCGGCAGTGATTGACACACTATAAAATCCAGGAGCTACAACTACAACAGGGACTGGCTTAGGGTGATGGCAGCTGCAGTCATTAGACAGCTAGTGGAACACTGGCTGAAAAACGCTGATCTAAGAGTTACGATTTAAATTCTGACATGAGTCACTCTGTGGGTGCGATTTAAGAACTGCTGCTATGTGGTTTCACATCCCAAGTCAGCTCAGAGCATTATAAACTATTTGCATATATTTTGGGTTGCTGCATGAGCATTATGATAATATCACACTGTTACAGGAACAATACTATGCTACTATTTGTTCATTTGAAGATTATTTATAGATGAAGGATGTGGTCACGGTCTCCCCCACACTGATAAAGTCATTTCTAGGATGCAGACAATTATTCCACTGTCCTAGATATTAACCCAGACTTCCTACTTCTCTTTATCCTAAACCTTTAAACTTCCTTCTTCTTGTCTTATGTCTGATGCCACTTTAGATTTGATGTTTCATTTCTACTATTTGCCTCAAACCTACAGAATTAGGAATGTATATATTTATTCTACTGTTGTTCCTTGCACCATCTTTCTTGTTTTAATAGATGGTTCTTTGGGTCAATACATTAGGTGCCTCCACTTGGTATCATAATCTCCAGGAGATTACCTGACTCATTTCTAAGAGCCTGGTCCAATCAGAAAGTGAGCTCTTTGAAGTTAGCCAATTAAAGATTTGTCCAGTCACACTATGTTTTCTGTGACACAAATGTTGCATGTAGTCCCTCCAGGTCAACCGAAAGAGCAGAGCTGCGAGTCAATTAATTTTTGTAAAGTGTAACATGCACATAATATAAAACGGGCTTGAGCTGCACTTGGAGTGAAATTTACAGTTTTTTAGACTATAACGTGAGCTCCAATTGGAGACTTTGATATTACTGGACAAACACCACAGATGAGCTCCTCATTTAACTGTTTGGAATAAATTTTACAATTCAGTCTTGATTGTTAAAATTTAGATTTCAATTCACTGTCTAGTGGATATGCCACAATGGAATAAAACAAAATATATATATATTTAAAAGGCTGGCGTTTACATGTACAAACTGTGGAGACATCTAAAACAGCTTGCTCAGCCTCTCTGCATATCTTACCTGTGAAAATGTCGGCTGGCAAGGAGCCAGGACTGAGAACTTGCAGTGAGTCAACCAGGCCATGTAGAAGCATAAGGGTTATCAGATCCCCTCTCGGCAGAGAACAGTCTGCATTTAAAAAAAAAAAAAGAGTATGAGTGCAATAGACAAGCATTGAGCCACTGCTTGCTGCTTGTTAAAGTAGAACTTTAATTATTGTGGAAATCACACTGCTGGATAAAATATGAAGAATCACCTAAACTTTGTGTTAAAAGACCCCTGAAGGTGACATGCCCAATCCATGTGCAGTAGCCCAGGGGTGACGTAGCCCAGGGGTGAAGGCAAATGGAAATATTCTCAATGGATCTCTCCCTTATAGGTGCTGACATCTTCCTCCTTCGGTTCTTGGCAATGCGTTCACCAGGAGTCAGCATTACTGGTGTACTCACAATCAAGTACTTACAACTGAGAGTGAATACAGCACAGAGGTCTATGGTAGATCCGGCTTGACCCTGGGATCCTCCATAGACCAATGCTCACAATATGCGAGGAGATACCTGTTTTTGAATTGACAACAATTAATGGCAGAAGCTTCACCTTTTGCCAATTTCAGGTTTGAAGAGATACTATAACCATCAAAACAACTTTAGCTTAATGAAGCAGTTTTGGTGTATAGATCATGCCCATGCAGCCTCACTGCTCAATTCTCGCCATTTGGGAGTTAAATCACTTTGTTTATGCAGCCCTAGTCACACCTCCCCTGACTGTGACTGACACAGCCTGCATGAAAACAAAATGGTTTCATTTTCAATCATATCTTTTTTATTTATTTTTTTAAATTTTTTTTAGTGTTCCCCAATGTTCTGTCATTGGTCCCCTACTGTTCTTTTTATTTTTTTATTATAATAATTTTTTATTGAGAAAATGTTTTTATTTTATTTTTACATATCACAAATAAGCAACAAAGAACAATAACAAGGAGTATTCTATTAATATGAAACGATCAAGCATTTAGTACAAAGTCTTGTTATTTGTGTACTAGAAATAAATCAGACAAAAAAAAAAAGGAACAAAGACATAGACATGACCAAAACAACTAAATAATACCACCACCTATACAGAGCAGGAGAGCTTTCTTACTAATATATCAAAGATACCAGAATTAATTATCATATAATATTACATGAAAATACACTTGCTGAAACAACAAAGGAGCCAATTGAAACCTTCAGACCATAATTATACTGTATAGTTTTTCTCACTTTTCCATTTTCTATTGCCTTTACTTTCTTCCCTTTCCTTTCCTCTTCCTATCCTTTTCTTTGCCCTTCTCTTGTCCATTTTTTCCCTTTGTTATATAAATAAGAGACACGAGCCGTAAATTTGTTACCACTAAATATGGGTAAGTTTATGAAGCCAATTGGAATACCATTTTTTTTTTTTGGAAAAGACAGTATTATTAGTTATAATCTCTTTTCCATTGTTAACTGAAATATAATTTGATCAATCAAACGAGATTTCTGGAAAGAATTTGAGGACTTCCAATGTCTGGCTATATTGATTTTGACCGCAACAAAACAATGTATAGCATAACATGTGTGTTTTTTCGATTTTAACTGCCAATTCAAGTGTAAAAGGGCGGTAACCGGGTTTTGATTGAGTCTAATACCTGTAACTGTATAGATGGAATTAAATGCCCATATCCACAATGGTTTAACTAATGGGCAATCCCACCATATATGCATATATGTGCCCAGAGACAAGCCACATCTCCAGCAAGTGGAATCATATGATTGATACATTTTTGTCAATTTTGTTGGAGTGAAATACCATCTATGAACTACCTTAAAATGGCACTCGGTCAGGGTTAGACAATGTATATATTTATTTACTTTTATTAAAGAGGCTAGCCAGTCATTAAAGGGAATCGTCAAATTTAATTCCTTCTCCCAGATGTTAATCAGTTTATGTGGTATTATCTTAGTTTCATCAAGCAAAGAGTTAGCAACAGAAGTAACCTTAGAAAGCATTCGGTAACAAAATAAAGCTTCCAATTTCTTAGCGAAGGGAAAAGACATTGGAATAACACATTTCTGTATGAAATGTTTGATACGAAGATAAGTAAATATCTCTCTAGGAGAGATATGTATATTATCAACGATCTGTTGAAAAGACAGAATATTATCTCCTTGCATGAGATCTGAGATACTTAGAGAGTCAATATTACCCCAAGAAGTCAGTGAAAAATCCTCTATTATACCCTCCAAAATATTAAGACTACAGGATCTTGGTATTAATTGTACAATATTCAACATTTTCTGAATTTCTGCCCAATCCTCTAGAGTTTGAAGCAATGTGGAAGGAAACCAATTTTTGGGCTGTTTCGAAATCTCTTTAATATCCATTCACATATAGTGATATAGTCTAGAAGAATGGGCAGCTTCCGGCTCTAATATAAACCATGGCTGCCTGCGAACCTGTGGATCTTGAAGAATGTAAGTATGCCGAATAATATTTGCATAATACGTATATAAAATACTAGGAAAGCCAAGACCACATTGAGATAGTTTTTTAGAAAGAATTTTTTGATTAATTCTGGGTCTTTTATTCTTCCAAATAAATTTATTAAAACTTGATTGAATCATTGCTAGCCAAGGCTTAGGCATTTTTAATGGAACCATAGAGAAAAAATATAGCCACTTAGGTAGAATATAGGAATTTATAATATTAATTCTGCCTATCCACGAAGTTTCCAGGTTTTGCCATTTTTTTAATTTAAGGTTCATATTTTTCATTAAAATTAAAACATTTCTCTCCATTATATTCGGAGTATTTACAGGGATCGTTAGACCCAAATAATTTAATTCCTTGTCTGTCCAGCTAAATTTATAATTCTGGGATAAATTATCAACCATTTCTGAAGGCATATTAATGGTTAAAGCTATTGATTTTGAGATATTTAACTTAAAATTAGATATACTAGAGTATCTCTCAATTTCAAACATTAAAGGCCGCAGTGATTTTTCAGGGGAAGACAGGGTGATTAAAGCATCATCCGCATATAAAGAAATTTTAGCGTCAAGTAATTTTAATTTTACACCACTAATTAATGGGTTATTCCTAATGTTAATAGCTAAAGGTTCAAGTGATAAAACATACAGTAAAGGTGAAAGGGGACACCCCTGTCTAGTACCATTTTTGAGATCAAACCAACCTGCAGTTATATTCGGGCCCACTGTTCTGGCTGAAGGGGAGGAATATAGGGCTAAAATAGCACCATATATCCATCCCGTGAATCCGAATGCCTTCAGGACTTCACTTAAATATCCCCCACCCGACCCTGTCAAACGCTTTTTCGGCGTCTAATGACAGGGCCAGGAGGGGAACATTACAGGGAGTGCAGAATTATTAGGCAAGTTGTATTTTTGAGGATTAATTTTATTATTGAACAACAACCATGTTCTCAATGAACCCAAAAAACTCATTAATATCAAAGCTGAAAAATTTTTGGAAGTAGTTTTTAGTTTGTTTTTAGTTATAGCTATGTTAGGGGGATATCTGTGTGTGCAGGTGACTATTACTGTGCATAATTATTAGGCAACTTAACAAAAAACAAATATATACCCATTTCAATTATTTATTATTACCAGTGAAACCAATATAACATCTCAACATTCACAAATATACATTTCTGACATTCAAAAACAAAACAAAAACAAATCAGTGACCAATATAGCCACCTTTCTTTGCAAGGACACTCAAAAGCCTGCCATCCATGGATTCTGTCAGTGTTTTGATCTGTTCACCATCAACATTGCGTGCAGCAGCAACCACAGCCTCCCAGACACTGTTCAGAGAGGTGTACTGTTTTCCCTCCTTGTAAATCTCACATTTGATGATGGACCACAGGTTCTCAATGGGGTTCAGATCAGGTGAACAAGGAGGCCATGTCATTAGATTTTCTTCTTTTATACCCTTTCTTGCCAGCCACGCTGTGGAGTACTTGGACGCGTGTGATGGAGCATTGTCCTGCATGAAAATCATGTTTTTCTTGAAGGATGCAGACTTCTTCCTGTACCACTGCTTGAAGAAGGTGTCTTCCAGGAACTGGCAGTAGGACTGGGAGTTGAGCTTGACTCCATCCTCAACCCGAAAAGGCCCCACAAGCTCATCTTTGATGATACCAGCCCAAACCAGTACTCCACCTCCACCTTGCTGGCGTCTGAGTCGGACTGGAGCTCTCTGCCCTTTACCAATCCAGCCACGGGCCCATCCATCTGGCCCATCAAGACTCACTCTCATTTCATCAGTCCATAAAACCTTAGAAAAATCAGTCTTGAGATATTTCTTGGCCCAGTCTTGACGTTTCAGCTTGTGTGTCTTGTTCAGTGGTGGTCGTCTTTCAGCCTTTCTTACCTTGGCCATGTCTCTGAGTATTGCACACCTTGTGCTTTTGGGCACTCCAGTGATGTTGCAGCTCTGAAATATGGCCAAACTGGTGGCAAGTGGCATCGTGGCAGCTGCACGCTTGACTTTTCTCAGTTCATGGGCAGTTATTTTGCGCCTTGGTTTTTCCACACGCTTCTTGCGACCCTGTTGACTATTTTGAATGAAACGCTTGATTGTTCGATGATCACGCTTCAGAAGCTTTGCAATTTTAAGAGTGCTGCATCCCTCTGCAAGATATCTCACTATTTTTGACTTTTCTGAGCCTGTCAAGTCCTTCTTTTGACCCATTTTGCCAAAGGAAAGGAAGTTGCCTAATAATTATGCACACCTGATATAGGGTGTTGATGTCATTAGACCACACCCCTTCTCATTACAGAGATGCACATCACCTAATATGCTTAATTGGTAGTAGGCTTTCGAGCCTATACAGCTTGGAGTAAGACAACATGCATAAAGAGGATGATGTGGTCAAAATACTCATTTGCCTAATAATTCTGCACTCCCTGTATGTCTATTTGACCAGTCAATACTATCAATCAATCTACAGGAGTTATTTGATGCATATCTTCCAGGGATAAACCTGATCTGGTCAGGATGAATAAGATTAGGTATAATACTTTTAATTCTCTCGGCTATAATAGCTGAATATAACTTCATATCTACGTTAATTAACGCAATCGGTCTGTAATTACACGGGTCTGTACTATCCTTATTTTGTTTCAGTATGGGAACGAGATTAGATTGTAACAATTCTTTTGGAATGGTGGTATTTTCAGCCAATTGATTAAAGAATTGAGTGATAGGATTTAGTAAATGTGACTTCATGTATTTATAATATAAATTTGTGAAGCCATCAGGCCCCGGAGTTTTATTTATGGGGAGTCTTTCTATTTGATATTTGACTTCTTCCATAGTAATTTTATTATTTAAAACTACTAAATCTTGTGAGATAACTTTTGGAATTATTGTATTATGTAAATAATTTTTAATATCCTTTGTTTTGGGATATAAATTTAAATTGTATAATTCTTGATAAAATTGATTGAATTTTTGACCTATTAAGGAAGGAGTGGAATAGACCAATTGGTCGATGACCAGTTTTTCTATCCTATTCCTAGCATAATGATTTTGTAGTCTTTTGTTAAGTTTTTACTAGCTCTATTACCCATATGATAATTATTTAACTTTAACTTAGTTATATTAAACTTAATCTTTTCTTCCTCCTTTGAGTTTATTTGTTGTTTTAAATGGTTTAGACGAGTCCTCAACTCTGGCGCAGGATGTTGTTTATTTAGATGGGAGCATGAGTAAAATTCAATATATAAATCCTTTAGATTCTTACCATTCCTTTTCTTATAATTATGACCTATTTTAATTAAATAGCCCCTCATGACAGACTTATGAGTACACCAATTAATCATAGGGGATGTATCCACTGGATTATTTTCAGACCAAAAGTATTCTAATAGCTTAGACAACTCCTCCCTGTTGTAATCATTTTTAATAAGGGAGTCATTCAGTCTCCAGGTGGTACGGGGCATTGGAAGGACCAGGGATTCTCCTTAATCTCAATAGAATTAAAAAGGGGGATTGTATTTGAGTCAACTAGACAGTAATCAATCCTTGAGTAGGTACCATGTACACTAGAGAAATGGGAATAATCTCTTTGAAATGGGTGTATTAATCTCCAAATATCATATAGGTTAAATTGTTTACAAATATTCTGTAATTTTTTGGCCTGTTTATTAATTCTTTTATTATTTATAGTTGAAATTATTGTTGATTTATCCAATTTAGGATCATTAACACAATTGAAATCACCAACAATAATCAAAGAACCCTTAGAGATCTTATCAACTTTATCCATAATTATGGAAAATTTAGTCATAGGGTCAACATTGGGGAGATATACATTAACCAACGTATAGATCTTATCATTGATGTTACAGACCAGAATAATAAACCTAGCGTCAGGATCCAGTTCCAAATGTATCACGTCCATTTTAAGGTCTTTATTAAATACTAGTGCTACCCCTCTTTTTTTCCTTTCTACTAGAGAGGCGTGTATAATTATTGGATAGTTGTCTCCACCCCATCTTTGCCTAGAGTCTTTAAGCCAATGAGTTTCCTGTAGAAAAGCAACTTGGATATTATGATCTACCAAGGAATTATACAAACGATTTATTTTCTTATTAGTATTAAGCCCCGGGGTGTTTATAGATAATATCTTCGGCATAAAAAAGCATGAAAAGTATCAAATGGAAAGCTCCTGCTCATTTTCAATCATATCTGATGTGTGTTTACTCCTGCTCTGTTAGTTGAACTTTAATCATACATGGGAGGTTCTAGCAAGATATTAGTAGAGCAGGAGATACAAATTCTAAATTAAACAGACTGTGCAACAAAGGAAGTTTAAACATTAGATATCTCTTTACAGGAAATATGGAGGTAGACTGTGTAGGTTACTTGCAGGGAGGTGTTGCTGAGGCTGTACCAACAAAGATATTTGATTCCTAAATGGCAGAGAATTGAGCAGTGAGACTTCAGGAGCATGATCTATACGCCAAAACTGCTTCATTCACTAAAGTGTTGGTGCTTATATTGTCCCTTAACAATAATACAAACTAGTCTTTACTTTTTCTCATGATATCTTTACTTATGATGAGTATTTTTTTTATATTTACTTTGTATTTTGTAGTTTGTTGTAACACAACATCTCCAACATGTAGAGTACATGGTCCACAGCAATTATCAGATCCAATACAAAGAGATACATGTAGTAAAAATTTTGAATGGTCCATTAATTGTGGAGAGTTGTCACCTCCAGGAGTCACACACCATATTTGTCTTTCTGTAGAGATAGAGCTCCCTTCCGCACTCCCCCCCCCAGTACTAAGTCAATCAGAAATAATCTGCACATCTTTCTCAGAGATTGCATATGTTATGCCACCCACTACCCACCCGGTCCAGAGGCCCAACGAGACAAATAGTCTCTCCAAGTTGTCCACAGCTGCACGCAAGGTTCTGATGTCCCATGTAGAGATGCTGTAAGAGACTCCATGTCATATATTTCCTCCACCTTATCCATCCACTGCTGTATTCAGAAATTTAGCCGCATTCAATAAATGTCTAGTTAGGGATTTCATGTATGTAGACAACGGTAGTTTTGTATGACGCAGAAGCATCGGCAAAGGTTGCATTGGTAAACCAGTAAGAAGAATTTCAGAGATCTTGCCATGTACCCCTTTCCAGAATGTGGTAATCTTGCTACAAGATCACCAGATGTGCAGATTCGTACCTCCTCAATTCCACACCTCCAGCACGTCACTGATGTCGCTTCAAACATGCGATGGATCCTGGAGGTGTCCCATACAAGCATGTGATCAATTTATAATTCAGTTCTTGTTGCGTGGTACTGAGTGTACCCTGATGAGCTTAATTATGAATCTTCTTCCAATGTCGGTCAGTAAGCGTGGCGCCCATACTGCTCTTAAAGTGTATAGGTCATGAAAACCTCAGTCTACTATATCAGCCTCAAATGTCGAAAACGAATAACATACTTTGCAAATGACCAAAGTTCTGTCGGGTTATTGGAATGTTCTGCACTGCGTAGTTGCTGTGATAACCCTTGCAGACAGTGTGTTCTATGTTTATATGGAGTTACACTTACCCGGTACCCTGAAACAAATGGAGAAATTGCGAGGTTTGTTCTCTGAAGGGCAGTCGTTGGTCTGGCCAGGGGAGTTCCCTCTAAGCATGAAGAACGCCGGTCCTCCTGTCGTGGCATTACAGCGGCTGGCAGAAATGTTTACATCTCTATGAAATGGGAAAAATATGGTGTGAATAAATCGCATATTTAGTATTTTTAAAGTGGGAAATTAAACATTTTTAAGTGTTTAGTCATCTGTTATCGACATTAGCTAAGGACATCTGGCCAAAGAGAGTGAAATAAATAAAAATTCTACTAAAGAGATATCCCAATTGGGTAACCCTACAGGTGCAGCAGATTCTGACGGAAAGAGACAAGAGTTCTGCAGATATTGTAACGGACAGATCATGCTGCAGACCATGACAGCAGTGTAAACATGTGGGAAGGAATGGTAATTGAAACTATTATGGACAGAAAAGGGTGGTAACTAGATGACATCATGCAGAATTTGTTGTTAATATCTCCCCTAGTGACATCCTTCCATTCAGTGTAAAATCGTGGTTAACGTTTTAATGCTAAACAAAGGTCCCTAACAGCACATCCCGCTGTCCTACTAATGAGGAAACATTAGTCTGGGCAGCAATGTGCAGCTGTGATTGGCTGAGAGTTTCAGCTGACTACTTTCAGCCTATCACAGTGCCCATTTCTGGTATAAATATATAGAAGGAAGTGCCTAATTTTCACCTTAGCCACACCTCCAGTAGGGGCCGGGCTGTGAGTGGCCAGGTACCCTTATTCAGTTTTAAACTGTGTGACAATGGTTTAACACTGAATAGAGGGACAGTGCCTGGGGACTCCAGACACTATAACCAATTCAATGAGATTAAATGGTTATAGTGCCTACACTGTCCCTTTAAATCAGAAAGTATTGAGGGAGGAGCCTGCTGCCCTGGTTCAGTTGCCCATAAACATATTACAAGTTACATAACTTACATTTTCTCATACAGAGAGTTTACTGGAATAAAATATTTTTTTCAGTAATGTTTATAGACTGCAAATGTTGATTTTTTGGGACAATTAGGGACTTTTCATTTCTTCCTTACCCACTATGCCAATATATGATGGGATCTCCCATGGTCAAATCCTGAAGTGGGTGTGGACCCATATCCTCGTAATCGCCATATACCACGGCATCGACTAAACCACTGGTTGGAAAACGAGTATTTAGTAAATTTCCACTTTTTTTCCCCAGATATAAAGCCACTGCTCCACCACCCTTTCTGAACAATCGAACCGATTCTGGCAGTGTTTGCTGAGCTGCAGAGTAAATGGCAAAGCAAAGGAAAGTGTGAGAAATTGTTTATAGCGCACCTGGAAGAGTGATATGAGATTGCGTTTCATAAACACACTAATACAAAGTATTAGAAAGATAACAATGTTGTAATTGCTGTGCTCTACAACTCATAGAATTCTCAGCCAGATGATAGCCTTGTGGCACCATCACCACTACAATAAGCTCTCTGTGTTACAGAGCTTAGGGCAGGGGTGCCCAAAATCTAGATCACCAGATGTTGTAGAACTACAACTCCCATGATGCTTTGCATGTCTTTTAGACTGCTTTGGAATGACAAAGCATCATGGAAGCTGTAATTGTAAAACATCAGTGGATCTACATTTTGGTCACCCCTGGTTTAGGGTGTCCCTTTAAACTGCATGCGCATAGTTTAAGTATTGCAACATGCTAAACATCAACACACATGTACTAGTTGGTAATGTTCTGTTGGTTAGGATATTCCATGGGAAAAGAAATAGAATAAAAATTTTATTATTTATATAGCGCCTGCAAGTTCCGTAGCACTATACAGCATGCGTATGTAACTGAAAGTTGTGAAAAATTGTAATTCAAGCTGTGAGGTAATGTCCTTCGTGTCCTGACTGCTGAGTAGGGAGTTTAATCCATTAGTGATGCTGCCAAGTTGGCCAGGAAAGATAAATACGCTTACCACGATTACTGGCATTTTCATTTTCCAGCAGATAAAAACCCATTTTGTTGGTGTGACCACTAATATCTGCCGTATGGTATAATTCCTGGTCTTCGCCACGAATGAATGCCAGCACCAGGTCAGAAAGGTGAGCAGAGGGAGGTCCCCGGATCTCTACGTACAAATCCTGGGCATAAGGTGAAGACACTTCGTTTATCACTACAGCTGGGTAGCCTTTGCAGTAGTTTTCACTAGCCGGAGACACGTGTGTCATTCGAAAAGTCCATTGGCCATCCATTTCCATGCACCGCCCGATAGACTCATCCGCACTATGAAAGCTGGCATCTTCTAAGAAGGCCTCAATGCCAGGCGTCAGAATATTTTGTAAAACATCAGCTTGTTCTGTGGGTTTTGCCTTATGAACCAAGGCATCCTCTAGACTTTTATTAGTCACCTTCATGTTTTCGCGGTAAGTTCCATCCCCAAAATAAAGAGCAATGGCGTCTGGACCATTCTGGATGGTGTTGGATGGTACAATGATAGAAGGTCGAGGGTTTACCATTAGGGAGCCAATTAGAAAGAATCCTCTGTTATCTGTAGATAGACCAGTAAGATTCAGCACCTTATATGCCATGTTAGTTTTGCCGTTATAGAATACCAACGTGTAACCATCAAGAGAAACATTTTGCCTACTGGTGTGAAAAAGCTCCACAAACTCAGTTGTATCAAGTCCAGGGTTATCGGCGTTGACCTCACTTATTATTAAACGTCCTCCTGATTTTTGCTCCTTGGTATTCTTAATCAGGTTCTGGGACTCCGCAAATATCAGAGTCCCCAAGAGAACCAAAAATTGAGTTAGTCCGATTTCTACCATTTCCAATACGGTGTATTTCCAAAATCTACCAAGCCATCATTCGTGGGTGTCTAAAAGTAAAAAGAAAGATCAATGTTTAACAAGCAGATAACTTCGTTCAGCAAGATTTTATCTGAAAATTCAAGTCTATTATCAACTAAGATTAGCTTATGATAACCTTTTGAACTGATGGTTCTGTGATTTTGTTGTTTGTTTTTATTAAAGTGTCACTCCAAGCACCATAACTACTTCAGTGATTTTTCAGGAGGCTTGGCTGTACCTGTACCAGGTAAGAGGGCAATCCCTTGCTAAATAGTCTGCCCTATTACCCTGGTACGTACCAGGATACTCGCGCTGTAGTGCTCATAATGTTTGACGTAACCAGTTAATGTTTAGAGAGGCAAAGAATAAACAAAGTTTATCTTAAGGGTAAAATATCGTTCCAATTCAAGTTTAAAAAAAAAAAAACCTAAATTCTTTAGGTAGGTACAGAAGAAACATAATGTTAAACATTTAAATAGATTAGATGTCATAGAAGTTCAAATTGAGAAAATCAAGATAAATGTGATTAATAGTGCGTGTATATAAATGCACAAGTTCTATTTTTTAACGACATCCCTGGGCAAACAGTCTACAAAATGATCCGGGTAAGTTTATAATAATGCAAGCAATCCTATGTCATACACTGATAGATACGTGCTAGAATTACAACTCAGTACAACTGACAGCCTAGATAGACAACAAAATCACAAACTTTCCTGTCCGTACCTAATCTTCTTTCACCCCTTTCTGATTCCTCCTTTTTTCTACTGTTTATGAAATGTTATGAATGGATAAGGCTACTAGACGTTTAGCGGCAAAATATGTAGTAATTTGACTGTTATTAATTGAACCATTTTGCTTCTATCTACCTTGTTCGTGATAACATTTCACAGCTGTAAAATTAATCTGTCAATAAAAATGATAAATTGAAACAAAATCTGAAGATGTGAGATTTTAGCGAGCTTTGCAATCACACCAAGGAGGTACCTTGGATGGGGCAATGATTTTTATCCTATTTTATAACCTGTTGTAACATGACGCCATTCATGTAATTTGGATCCACATGGAACTGTACCTTAAAATGACATAAAGATCTAGAAGGTTAGCATAAAAATACCGGGATGTATTCCCTAAATATCTATTTCTAGTGAATTGAAAACCAAGTTTCAAAACGTAGCCAAAAATAGCTGAATTGTAAAAATTCTCTTAATCAGTTCCAGGCGCAGCTTAAGCCAATATTTTGCAGTTCAGTTTTACATACGCTACAATCTAAATTCACTAAAAATTCCTAGAAAGAAAATATTACGAACATTTTTTATAAGATTCTATAGCATATGATTTATTCTCTAAATTGTCAAATTGTGGAGAATTGTTGGAGTATCGGAAATGTTATAGTTATTCACTAAACAGAGAACTGCCCTGAATTTTACATAGAATTGCAGATTTTAGACCAAATTTTAAAGATTCTCTAAGTCCATTATATTCTCAGATCAACTAGTTTGGCCTTAAACTTACAATTCTCAGAAAATAGCTCTGATATTGTATAACAGAAATTGCCATTTCTTTTCTTTCGTTGACGATTATTTGCAATTTCTATTGTTGGGTAAAATAATTTGCATCTCATATTTATTTTTATTTTTTTTACAAATAAGCATACTTACAATTAATTAAGCTGCAGTCCTTTAGTTAAAATAGCGATCTGGTTAAAGAAAAGAAAATAGAATTATTAATAAACCCGTATCAGCTAAAGGCAAAAGGAGTCCTTCATGTTAACCCTGTTAATATGACAGCTGATGGTCTGAGTTAGCGATTCTAAAAAGAAAGAAAAGAAGGAAGACAATAAAAACTAGTAAACGAACCATCCGCAGGTCCTGCAAGATAGCGACATTCACTGAAATAAAATATTAAGTAAGAATGTTACTGTTTATCCAGGGTACAGAGAAACTCGACCAAAATATCTGTTGAAATTCAGATGAGTCAATGGGATACGTGACTCACAGGATCTTACAATATTTGCCAAAAAAAAAGATTTAGAAAAAAAAATGCTTATAAACCTCAGCGATTACGTAAGATTATGTAGGCTGCATTTCCACATTACAAGCCTTTCTGTAACTCATTCTAGTTAAAGGAACATGATAGCATTGCAAGAAAATACTTATTATAAAAAGAGGGTTGTTGTTTTTTTTTTTTCAAACGTTGATGTTCCTAATGAAGACGAGTAATAATCGTAGAATATTAATTATTTCACAAATTCGGACATCTGGGTTGCCTCGTGCTATGCTCACGGCTGAGATCTTAAGAGACACACGTAGTACTCTATCCACTACAGCTATCTGAGGTGGTTATGGTGTAAGGTGTCTTTGGGCGCTAGTTTTTTGTCACACTGTTTTTGAGCAACTATACAAAAAAGTGCAGCTGTCCCTGTAACTTATGGGCGTTCCTTCTGTTGCACACAAGACATGTGCTCACCATATATGTCGCGAATAACTCACGCAGTCTCATTCATAAAAAGATAAATGGAGCTATTCATTCGGGTTAGGATTCCGAGAGAAACCTATAGTTTATAGAAAACAGCTTAATTGATTACACACCGTTGGTACATTAAAGAAACACTCTAACACATAAAGCATTCACATAACACATAATACATAAAGCATTCACACAACACATAACACAAAATACATAACGCATTCACATAACACATAATACATAAAGCATTCACACAACACATAATACATAATGCATTCACATAACACATAATACATAAAGCATTCACACAACACATAACACATAATACATAATGCATTCACATAACACATAACACATAATACATAATGCATTCACATAACACATAATACATAAAGCATTCACACAACACATAACACAAAATACATAACGCATTCACATAACACATAATACATAAAGCATTCACACAACACATAATACATAATGCATTCACATAACACATAATACATAAAGCATTCACACAACACATAACACATAATACATAATGCATTCACATAACACATAATACATAAAGCATTCACATAACACATAATACATAAAGCATTTCGGCGTACTCAGATATCTGCACAATCAAAAGCTAAAAAAAACATTACCTACGGGATGCGCATTTTGTTTTATTTTTATTGTAAGCCAGGTATAGCATGTAAACTACGTATCTCCAGCAGTGCCACTTATATGTAACATGCATGCATACGGCTCTATTGAAGAAATGCAGATCATGCACATGCATGTATGGCATTTCTGTACAGATAGTTACGTGTGCATGCATCTCAACATGTATAGCTTGGAGGAAAGACGAGACAGGGATATGATAGAAACATTTAAATATATAAAGGGAATCAACACAGTAAAGGAGGAGACTATATTTAAAAGAAGAAAAACTACCACAACAAGAGGACATAGTCTTAAATTAGAGGGACAAAGGTTTAAAAATAATATCAGGAAGTATTAATTTACTGAGGGGGTAGTGGATGCATGGAATAGCCTTCCAGCTGAAGTGGTAGAGGTTAATACAGTAAAGGAGTTTAAGCATGCATGGGATAGGCATAAGGCTATCCTAACTATAAGATAAGGCTAGGGACTAATGAAAGTATTTAGAAAATTGGGCAGACTAGATGGGCCGAATGGTTATTATCTGCTGTCACATTCTATGTTTCACTCTGCATGAGTGTGCCTGTAGCATCATGGCAGACACTGCCACCCTGAACATGTAAGTGGTTGTAGTTCCATAGCATTATTCACCCCAATAAATGCTTCAATAGTGTTTACTCAGGTGGGGGAACAATGATACTGAATATATGTCTTAAATGATAGAACTGTGGTACACAACGCGGAAAATGTTTTGGGGAAATAATTTGAAAAAATGTTTGAGATAAACTGATTTAAAGACAACATCTGTGGTAAAAATGTCCCTCTGTTATGAATAGATTAGAAAGATAATGCATAAAAAAATGCAACAAACAAATAAATAAAGTGCAGAATAAAAGATGAATGCTTTCCCAGTTTCCCTGCCTGCAGCTATAGACTGACCCTTTCATTATCACAAAGAAACTCTGATCCCACATTGCATAGCAGGGGTCTATGGCATAAGTGGTTTATTATCAAGACCGGTTCCTTTCATGGATTTTGATGAGTGGGGCTGCTCTGTAAACGAATAATGGCCATTCCACTGCTGCTATCAGTTTATCCATAGCCCAGTTCCCTGTTTAGCGCAGCTTTCAGCAATGCTCAGTCCAAGTTACATATTGAAAAAAATTAAAACAGGAACCCTTAAACTCTTATGGGGGGGGAGGTGTCTAACGGGCAACTCTTATTGGCTGTGTTAGAGCTGCAGCCATTTCTACGTCACTTGCAGTATTGAGAGTAGGCTCATTGGGCTCAATGCAAAGTGGTGATGGTATTTAGAGTAACCCTTTAATGTGATTTATCCAGGAATTCCTTCCCACCATCATTTCAATCGATTCACTCAATTCCGCTGACAATATTCCTCTGAAATTAACCCAGATGAACTAAAACTGAATTAAAACCAAATAGTTAAAGAAACAGTAAGTAAATGTTCCTGCTATATAACATAAGAAACACATAGTGTTGTTACAAGGAGGGTTTGCTGGTGTTTAGGTTTGGGTTGTTGTTACTATAAGAGAAATAACCAAATCTGCCTTTTTTTGAATCTGAAACGAATTTATGGAACAAGTCTCATTCATACTGAATAGGTCCCATAGTTTTCACATTACCGTGCAGTTAGAAATTTGGAATTCCGTTCCATGTCCCTCCTGCCTCGTCTTCCGTATGTTTCATATTTGGCACACCAGAAAAAACACCCATAACCAATTATAAGGTTTTATATGAAAACGCGGCTGATACACCATGCCAGCATGGCAGTAATGTACAGGAAGTATATGTCATTTCGAGACCACATCCCCAGGTATACAGCGTGTTTAAAGGTCATTAACGGAAAGATTTAATTTCTAACAAGATCACTGTATCATCACCACTGTCTTTGATATCTAGGCCTGTTATGTGCATGTGCAAATATGACAAGATTTTAGAATGAAAAGATGTATTTCTTCAGCTGTGTACTTTTTCTTTAAGAGATTTTGAACTGAAACGCTTGTACCACGTTTGATGTATACACAACCTTGTCTGATGTATGACTCTTTGCACTATGTTTTTATGCAACTCTTGTATTATCACTGTCCTTGCCATATTGTATACCCTCCGATATGTCTACCGTTTTTCTGAGACAAAATAAAGAATACATTTTTATTATTTTTTTTAAAGAGATTTTGCAAACTGACAATTTGTTAGAAATGGAAAATATTGTTTTTCATATACCCATATTCAGTGAATATGGTGTGCAGATTTTAGGACGCCATTTTGTCCTAGGTTAATGTAACAACAAGTCAGGGAATTTCCCATGTAATGTGTACCCTTACATTTTAGTCTAAACATAGATAAGATATTACCATGTGAAATGACCAAGTTATGGCCTCGTATCTTTGCCAAGTTAAGGTAAGTCCTAATATGACCTAATTGAACATCTAAGGTATAAATATGTGTACTTATTAATATTAGGACACAGAGGAGTGAATTGTGGAGAGAGTGAAGCTGCCTGAGGTTGACATGTTCAGAAGGGTATATTCTGTTACTGATTTTGCAACCATATAGTTTAATCTTATACATTCTGCTATAAATTATTGTAATGGATTATTAAGGTTTTATTTGCCTATATTTATATTTAATAAAATATTTAAAAAGTCAAAACTTTATTGCTTCTAAGACAATCCCTATTTTATATTGTATTCTCAATTATTTATATATTTTAAATAGAGGAACTCTTGCTAACTATGTAATATTATGGCTAAAATATCTGTACGGTTAGCCCTGCTAAGTTCTGTGCTTTAAGACGTTATAGTGGTAAATAGGGGAACCGGCTGCGGTTACAGGCTTACAGAATCTAAATAGTAATCTCTCATTCATTGGAAGCTCTGAATACAGGTTTTTTCCCAATAGTGAATCTGAACATTTAACAATGGTGCATGATAGCTTTAAATCTATTAGCCTTGCCACCATCAGTACTTAGGAACATGTAGGCCTTGATTACATTATTTTAGATAAAGCTTTTTAAATTAACACAATCTTTTAGAAAAAAGAAAAAAAAACTTCAAATGATTTATCTACAGTAGAGACCATTAAAGTCGACTGGAATTTAAGTAAAAACATTTTATTTTCTAACAGATTGTGATAATTTGAAAAGTTTATCCAAATAATTAAATCCAAAGTAGTTGTTTTGTAAAAAATTCCACATACATATATAAAAAAAAAAAAAAAAAACAGCAGTGTTTTCAAATCTTACTTGAACACAGTTGGCAGCTAAAATCAAAATTGGTTGCAATAATTGATATTTATTACTATTAATTATAAAGCATCAACAAATTCTGCAGCACTGTACAATGGGTCGACAAACAGACACATATTTCTGGATTAATTCACTATTAGTTGAGAACTGACAAGCAGCGTTATTGTCTAAACCTGTGAATTTTCAGTAATTCCAAAGGATATTTGCACATTCTAGTCCAAAACATAAATATTAGTCACGTCAGTGACTACGTTTTCAGTTCAGCTATATCGTAATTAAATTTGCAATTTCCTAACGAGGTAAATAACCCCCTGCTACTGATTGAGCCCTGAAGAACATTTAAAACAAATTTAAGGAAAAAAATGCTAAACTGCAAAAATTCTACAACTTTCCTAGTTTTCCAGCTGGGATATTTGGGCCTATAATTTTCATATTTTGTCAATTTTCCACAAATCCTGGTTTAGCGAGTAAACCGCATAGGCTTCGACAAAACAGTAAGAAAAAGCCAGTCTTTCTGACTACAATATCAGAGGCATGATTTCAAAGATACTCAAATCAAAAGTTGTCAAATGCTCTCTGCCTGTAATTTTTATGCATTTTAAATAGAAAGCATTAGGGGATTGACAAGCGCCTGTTGTCAGGAATATTAGTCTGCTTGTGCCAATAAATCACAATTTGTGTCTCTCCATATTCGCCATACCCTGTATAATACCAAGGTCCCCCTGTAACTTACACAGCATCCTGTCTTGTCCACCGCATGGCTGCCCTAATTCTTATAGTAAGGCACATCCCAGATCCTTCTCCTCCCCTCTCATTTCTTTTCCCAGAAATCCAGGATTTAAAAAAAAGTGTGTAACTTCTCTCTGAAACCCGAAACTCCTTAATGTACAAGGAACTGTAATGCTGTGTGATCTGCTGTAGAAGGCTTCTGCTATGGACGGATTAATGATGGGGGTTACTGATGACTACCAGATGTTAGTCTGTACAGATGAGAGACATATTAACCCCTTCTCCCCCAGGTGAAATAACAAATGGCTTAAGAGTAAAGAGGGAGGGTTATAGAAACACTGTTACTTCCACAGTTCCCAATGAGACATTCCAATACATACAGATTGTTTTTGTAGTTAACTTTATTACTGCATGGTATTTGCGACAACTATCTCCCCTCCTTGATACATTGTACCTTTTGCATGTCATGGAAATATACCCCACTTTTTTAAGACTGTAAACACATTGGAGTATTTACGACAACTATCTCCCCTCCTTGATACATTGTACCTTTTGCATTTCATGGAAATATACCCCACTTTTTTAAGACTGTAAATACATTGGAGTAGGGCCTTCATCGCCTGCACGGCTAATTGGATTTGTCACTATTTAAATGTATCTTTTGTTTATTCATTGAACAGCTAGGACTGCCAGATCTACCCCGATTTCCTGAGTATTTGCCTCTTCTGCATGGTGATGTGCAGGACATGAAAAGTGCTGTCTGACAGGATGTAGCGTAGATATGTGGCAGGACAGATTTCGTTTGAGGAATCCACAAGGAATCCTCATACTAAAGGCAGGATTTTGCATACTTCCCAACATTTCAAATGGACATAGAGGGGTGTGAGTGGGGGGTGTCCAGGGCCGGGACTGTTCCGAACATTTGTAGGTGACGTACTACTAAATATATATACAGTTAGAAAGTTAAAACAAGAACAATGTATCGTATTTATACAGACTGATACCTAAACACATTTATTGTCGTATTGTAGAAAAACAGGACATTAGAATAGAAAAGAGAGCCCTTACTGGGGAGGGAAGGGTTTGGGAAGGAGGAAGGGGGACATGACTTTGTGGTGTGTTACACATCAGAATGTAAAAATATAACATTTTGCAGAATACCTTAAAGTGGCACTGCCACCCCAAATCCAAAATGAGTATTTGAGAAATATAAAATCGGTTGGAATTTCACCTCCTTCCACCAGCCCCCCACCTCTCCCCTGAATGGCTACTGAACTACCAGCTGTGATGTCACAGTCGGGGGTCTTTGCAAATTATAACAAAGACCCTAGACAGTGAAAAAACACTTTAAGGAAATAAAACAATGATAGCGTGTCGCAGCAGATGTACTGTGTTCTGGAATGTGAGGGTAAAATGAGTCAATTTAAAGTTTCATTTTTAAGGAATAAGGTTACTCACTAAATCGTAATTAACGATTTACTGGGAGCCAAAAAGCAACTGTCCCTCTATTTGAGCCATAGAGTAATCATCATCGCTACAGTGATGGGTACAGACCATGATGGATCATATAACACATGTCATCTCGTATGATCTTGTAAACACAAATAAAGGCATTTTTTCTTTTCTTACATAAATGCATGTTTGTTTTTTTCTTGTTCAACTGAACAATGTGATTGAGCATAGAAGGATCTAGGAGAGAGAATATTGAGAAATAAAGAGCAAAGTGTAATGGGCACAACTTTTCATTCAGAAGACCGACTATACACAGAAAGGACCAAAAGAAATTGATGTGACATCGTGTTGTTAGCCGTATACTGGGAAACCCAGACTCTGATCTGCTGTGACCATTTGTTCGTGTGCGAAGTTACTGTCGTTTTATTCCTTTTATACCTTATATTGTCAGCTAAAGATATTTTAAACAGGTTTATATTCCTTTATTGCACCCACAGTTATTATATATCCTTTTGTTCAGGGGAAATAGGGCTTTTATTTCACATCAAATATTTATATATGAAACATAATTTAATATGTATACATTTTAAAAAAGAGGGAGAAATTACAAAATCTTATTTTACAAATTCTGCGCGGCATATTAACTGTGAATGTCATAATACCGTTAGTTTTTACTGCAATAAAATACACGTTTGTATGCTGTGATGTCCCAGGAGTACAACAGTACACTTCATGTACAGGTTTTATGGTGTTTTGGAAAGTTACAGAGTCAAATATAGAGTTTCTACACATTGAAATTTGCCAATATTGGTTATGTTGCCTTTGAGACCGTATGGCAGCCCAGGAATGAAAATGAACCCCATCATGGAATACCATTTGCAAAAGTAGACAACCCGGGGTATTTAAAATGGGGTATGTCCAGTCTTTTTTAATAGCCACTTAGTCACAAACGCTAGTCAAAGTTAACATTCATATTTGTTTTTTGCATTCATCATTATACGTTTTACTGCTCTGAAACACTTATATTTGTGTTCAGCGATGTCTCACAAGTACAACAGTATCTCCCATGTACAGGTTTTGCGGTGTCTTAGAAAGTTGCAGGGTTAAATAAAGGGCTTACAAATTACATTCTATGGAATTTCTGCCTGGGTTGTCAGGCAGGTCCCCCAATATATAATTATTAAATAATATAATTATATGTAAATGCACTTACAATGACATGTTTTATATATAAATGCATTTTGATATTAATATATATATATAAAATTCAGGATGTAATGCCACGTCCTAACGGTGTGAATAGGTTAACAAACCCTGGGCATGTTTACTTTGAATAATTATTATCATTGGACATCCCTGTATTAAGATCAGGCAGTGTGTGTTTTATATTCTAGGACAAGAGCCAGGCCTTTGAACATGTACTGGTTTATTTACAGTCTGTCTAGAGAAGCAATTTTAGGGATTCCCTTTTAGATTTTGAAAGTAAACTGTGAATAGGGTTAATATCAAATTATGTTATCCTAGAGAGTTGGAGCCTTGTATTGGTCCTTCAGCCATACCTCCCAAGTATCCCTATTTAGGATGGGCAGTCCCAAATCCCTCTTTTCTGTACCTGTTCTAAGAGCTCCATATTATTGGTGTGTCTGAGTGTATAACAGAGCTCCACAGCCACACCTCCACTCACACCCCTAAAATGAAAGTGTCCTTCTTTGTCCATTTGAAATGTTGGGATGTATACCTTCAGCTGTTTATGATTTAATTTTTACTGAATTATTGGCCATATTAATAGGAATCTAAGAACCTAATAAGAACTTGGCTGAGGCTGAAGAAATAGAACAGGAATATTTGACGGGTGAGCTGGCAAAGATCAGGTATCGCAGACGATGTCCACGAAAAGATTGTGGTTTCACAGTGCTTCCAGTTCCAAACAGGAGGGGTTGAAGGAATGCTACAAGGAATGATGGAAGGCAAAGCTGGAACAAGCAAGCATGGCCGATGCCTGGATAGCTGGGACAGTTTGAAATAATGCAGAATATCAAGAAACAGTGAAAATCCTTTTTATTTTTGCCCGTAACATCTCCCCAGTCTCTACAGACGCCCCTCGAACATTATTCCAGGATTGACTCCGCCTTTGCCATATTGTAGGTATCTGATTGTATTTTAGTCCAGCCCCCTGAGTTCCTGACAGCTGATACAGTTATTTTGTTTCCTGTGTTACCGTAACTTTATTGTCCGTGTCCTGTCCTGGCTCCCCACGACAGGCCCTGGGTCTGGGTATTGGGCTGGGTTACTCTCCTAAATACAAGGCACGGCAATGCAGCTCATCCTGGGGTGGAGAATGGTTACACAGCTAGACCATTCCCTGTATACCTGGTTCCTATTACCATAACAGGCTTGCTTGCCCTAACAGTACTATCGGGAAATACTGGCATGGGGGGGGAGGTTTAAGAGTTTGGTTATGAAGAAGAAAGCATAGAATATGTTTTTTTACAGTGAAAAGGGGGGAATTTGGAGAGTCTGTTTTATCAAATGTAGTTGATTATTTAACCCCTTAAGGACCAAACTTCTGGAATAAAAGGGAATCATGACATGTCACACGTCATGTGTCCTTAAGGGGTTAAAATGCTTTGGATTCTTTTTTTTAGCAATGCAGGATAATCAGGGCTATAATAATTAATATGGATATTATTAAACACACCCAGAATCACACTCGGTGATTGTTTTTTACCTTATTTTGAATTTAAGGCAAAAACTGGGATTTAATTATATTCATGAACTTGAGTGTTTTTTCTTTTAAATCTATGTTACTATGTAATATATACTGAGTGTTAATTGTAGTCATTTTCCATGTATTAACATGTATCGGTTTGTTCCCTAACAAGTACTGTATACCTATATAACTAACAATTTGATTTAATCATTTTGGACAAGCCTTTCAAATTAATCCAATCTATTAATAAAAACTTTCCAAATTATTTATCTACTGAAGTCACTCTAAAGTCACCAGGACATTGATTAATTTATTTATTGTAAATTAATCTACGATTTATCTAGATTGCAAGTTACTTATGAGGTGTGTGTGTATTTTTTGTGCCATGTTGCATATTATTCAATAAACGGAGTACTTTTAAGGATCCACCTTGTGGAGAGATTTGGAGCTTACTGATTGCTAAGTGTGGTTCTTTTACTAGAATTGTGATGAAGATGGAATTTGGAACTATAGAACCAGCAGTGAATCTATCGGCTACAATAAGTAACCACTGAGCACTTAATTATTTTTTCTTCTTTATAGGAGTTGCGGCATAAAGGCTACGTGCAGAGGAGATTTACTACTTTTCTGTGTGTTTTTCGTTTTGGTTTTACATCATATATATTTGTACACTGGGAACTAATGCACATTCAATAAATATTTTGAACTGTTAACATAAGCTCTCTGTAAGACATACCATAATAATAGCCATGGTAGGAATACTGTACGGCAGGGCACCAATTACAGGACACGGGTATCATTAAATTGTATGTAATGTGAAGTAACCAGCTCCCAACTGACCTCAGAGTACCGTATATTTCACATTCACCCTGTTTATAAACCAGTTTATTTTGAGACTCTAAGAATCCACCCTTTCACGTAGGTCTGTCTATTCATTTTCAGTTTGAAATGCTGCACATAAAGAGATATTCAGGCAGGACCGGTATTTTTTGTGCCCTATTTTTTGCCCTAGGCAAGACCAGGTACTTGCAATCCCGCCCCCCAAACAAAAATTGCAAACTTTCCTCCCCAAGCCCCTTTGTGTGTCTCTTACTCCCCCAACTCCTTTGTGTGTCCTTTTCCCCTTTCCCAGGCCCTCTGTGTCCCTTTCTCCCCCTCAGCCCCTCTTTGTCTCTTCCCCTTTGCATCTATTTCTCCCTGTAGCCCCTTTGTGCCTCTTTCTCCCCCGTAGCCCCTTTGTGTTTCCCTTTTTCTCTCCCGTAGCCGCTTTGTGTGCCTTTTTCTCCCACCCTAGTAGGAGATATTAAGTGAGGTTTTTAACAATAAAGCTGAACGCACTGTGAATCTCACAGTGACCACATCCTTCACATTCATTCAAAGTAGACCATGTAAAGTAAGCACGGACATTATGGTTAACCTGTAAAGCTTGTATGCTAAAGGTATTTATTCATTAAACCAGGAATTGTGCAGAAGTGAATTGCAATTTTTAGACCAAGTGGAAAAATACTAAATTTTTCCAAGCTGACAATTTTGGCCTAAAATTTGTATTTCCCTAATCAGTTCTCACACTTACATTTCACATGATGTACAGACACTTAAGCTGGAGTTCCAAAAATTAGCCATCACTGAGTTACATGCTTAACAGAAATAAGACTGCGCATGTTCAATGACAAATTCCCTTTACCAAACAGGAGATAAGCTGCATCAATTGGGGATTTGATCCTGAAGGTTTAATGAGCCAAAGGAGACACACATAGCTCAGTGAGGCTTTGACTTTTGAAGCAGTCACACTAGATGATTAATCTGTAATAGGTCAGGGGGACACTGAGATGATCAAGTGATTCCAACAGGATGTGGTCACGACTTCTGCAAAGCTTCAGTGCGTAGTCTACAGAGAAAGGGGAAAGAAGAGAACATAGAACAGGAAGGATCAGATTGAAGGCTTTACCGTGTGAACGTCATTAACTTCATTGCATTCCCAGAACACGGTCCATGTTATTCTCTCTATGCACTGTAAGCCCTTTTGGAAAATTAGCCTTAGCAACAATTCTGATGGCAGCCTTGCCTATAAGAAAAAATGGTCCCTACTTTGTGTTGAAATATCAACTGAATTACAACACAATCAACACCAGTATTTTAAGATGTTTGTCTCTATGGAATACTCATAAAGTGAGCAGAGGTGACGGAGCCACTTTACAATAATAATGCTTTTTTTTCCTATATTTTGGCCAACTCGCCAATATATCAACATCTTCACTGTGAGAAGCAAGTAACTGGTTTAAAAAATAAATTCTTTAAAGTGGAGAATTGCAAATATTAGGTCAAAATTGGCGATTTTGACCTAATATTTGGGATTTTTTTTAATGAATTTTGAATTTGAAGCCAAAACCGGCAAATTGAAAATATATCTCGGATAATTTTTATGGTTGCCAATTTTCCTTAATTCCTGGTTTAGTTAATAAACAAAGCAACATTGCTGTTCTGCAGAAAACATGCCTATTGAAGGCATAACATAAAGTTACTAGTTAAATACATGATTAAGCAAATTCCCAGACCTTTTCATATGCTGTCCGCATCAACGCGTCCTGATATCTCAGACCTGCCATCCAAACAAACTTCAGTTAATGAATGGTATACGGAGAGGTGCGATGTCCCATGAGGGTTTAGTATTCTTATTAGGGGATAATAAATACAAAGCTTCTCCTGCCTACAGACAACATTACTAATTGCAACTGGAATGTAGTAGTTAAGATCTCATTATAAAAGAGTCACAACGTAGGAAACATAAATCTACAAAATTATTTGAACAGTAATAACTCTTCTAGTCAATCACAATTTAACACTTTGAGAACCAAATTTTCTTTTGGTTCCAGATCCACTATATATTCTTGGGCACATATCAATTCTACATGCTGATTGGCTGTACACAAACAGTGTTACTAATTGAGGCTTCACAATTTCTAAATTATTTGCCATTTAGGAGTTTAATCCCTTTGTGTATACAGCCCTAGTCACACCTCTGCATATAACGTGCACAGCCTGCATAAACACTTCCTGAAAAGTGAGATCTAATGTTTATACTTCCTATATTGCTACTTCTGTTTATTTTAGGATATATTACAATTATTACAAAACAGGATATAATACATAAACAGAAAAAAAAGTGATTTAAAGGGACAGTTTAGGCACCTTAAGAACTTCATATAAATGAAGTTGTTATGGTGCCAGGAGGCCACCAGGCACCCTCTTACCTCAAAGGGGTTAAACCGTTCTCGAATGTTTTCACCCCAAAGTTGCCTCCAGCGTCGATCTCAACTCTCCCCACATGGTTGAGATCGACGCTGAAATGTCAACTTCAGGAAGCACGGAGTGCAGCAGAACTGGACCACTGCTGACTGGCTGAGAGCGGTTAGCTGACGCTCCTAGCCAATCATTGACTCTCCATTCACAAAACTGGCTTGGAAAAGTTAAGTTTCTTCACCTAGATAAAGTTGTTATGGTGCCTGGAGTGTTCTTTTAACTTCTAAATGACAGATAATTGATGTATACACAGAGGCATGATATATACACAAAAACTGCTTTATTAAGCTTAAGTTGTCTTGGTGACCATGGTGTCCCTTTAAAGCATGAATGTCCTCTACAGGAGGGTGGCCTACATGCTGACCAACAGTATGCATTAGATATAAACTTGTCCCACTTTCCATAGTTACATGAACTGGAAACTAGATCAAACGTGGCCAATTCATATCTTTATCAGAAGCAAGATTTTCTGTGAGAAGCTACATAGATTATTGTACTTGCCATTGTCTCCGAGATCCAGTTTGGTGCTGCCGGCGCCTGCTATAGTAATCTGGCTCCACTGTCTCCTGCACAGCTTGTTCTGTGGAAAGAAATCAAGTGTATGACTCTCATACCTAATGTCCTCTTCCACCAGGTTAGCAATCACATTCCTCTGATGATAAAGCAAACAGAGCAAAGTGCAGGCAAATACTTCACATATGAAGGGTATTTGGAATGAAACCATGCTCTTCCAACATGTCAGCAATGTTGTGTATGTTATCTTACATTTCCTGTACAGTGTCAGGAGAACATCACATGTACTGCATTAAAGGAACACTATAGGATCAGGAACAAACATGTATTCCTGACCTATAGTTTTAAAAACCACCATCTAGCCCTTCTGGCCCCCACTTGCCCCCCTAAATATAGCAAAATCTTACTTTTATTCCAGTCTGCTGCTGCTGGCTCTGCTCCTGATCTGCCTGCTTGGCTGACATAATCAGAAGTAGTGTTCTGAGCCAATCGCAGTGCTTTCACATAGGGTTGGCTGAAACTGTCTAAGTGGCAGATCAGGGGCAGAGCATGGACAAGTCAAACACAACCCTGGCCAATCAGCAATTAAATCAATAAATCTTTATGAGGAAAGTGCAGTGTCTGCATGTGGAGGGTGGAGACAGTGAATGTCACTCCTGCACAGTTTGCAGCACTGCCACAGGAAGCATCTCTAGTATTCATCTGAGGAGTGGCCAGTGAAGTGATCACTAGGCTGTAATGTAAACACTGCATTTTCTCTGAAAAGACAGTGTTTACTGCAAAAAGCCTGAATAGAATTATTATATTCAACAGAACAAATACAATAAGCTGTAGTTGTTCTGATGACTATAGTGTCCCTTTAAATACAAATTCCCTGTAATTGTCATCTGCAAGGTAAGGAAGCAGGACTGCTTTCAGAAAGCACTGCCTATTCCTGGGGAGTACATATTATTACATCGCTCAATAGAACACCTGTCGAGGTTGTACAAAACGTTTCCATCATCTTCCTACATATCTATTTAAAAACAAACAATGTAATGGAATATTTTGAAATATAGCATTGTTTTAGTGACACTGTAATGGAGCTATTTAATAAAATGTAAACGTGGGTCCCACAACAACCCCCAATTTAATGCTGCTTCAATGGGATTCACTGTTATAAACAGCATCATTAAAGCGATTGTACCGGACTGTACCCAATGCCGCAATGATGGGCATCAGAGTTAATAGTTAGAGTTAGTATAGTATGGTTAGCTCAGTCTAACCATACTATACTAACTAAAAGCTCACATTTGGGTGATTAGTGTGGTATTCCTAAACTCCTGTCCCAAAGGAGAAATATACACATTTGTGTTCTTCTAAATGGACATTTTTCCTAGTACTCATTATGAGGGATTTGTGAGAAGCTCCCATGGTCTGAAAATACATTCATTTTTATCCTACTAATCAATGTTGCAAGACAGATTCAAAGGGGTCAGACAGCACTGAGGAGCATAGGATGAAACAGCACCTTATATGTAAGGCTAATATTAACTATTTTATAATGTAAACTCATTCATGTTTTGTATTTGAACGTCCTCTACCAATATACAAATGAATGTGCCAAATCCAGTGATGCATATTAAAATGTACTATTTCTTTTTAATTGCATTATCCCTGCACCCAATACATTTTCTCATTCACTGCTCTCACCTTAGCCCCAGCTGTAGCAAAGTATCCAAATCCCCCATGATCTGCTGCATACATGTTGAGTGTTGGTGGACAGTGTTAAAAACTAGCTCCCCAATGCACCAATACAACCACTGATTACTCTCCATTCATAAACAAAGGAAACCCGTTCAGTTACTAGATTCCTATTAATTTTACTTCTTGCCATGTTAAATAAACCAACTCTGTCCCTGTATCTGTAACAATTCCACGTCCCCTTTAGTAAAGGCCTCTCTTTTATCAACTGCAATTATTACCATATAATGGCAAACCCCGATCACTATACTCTGAGCTGGATTCTCTCATCAGCCTGGGTGTAACTGAGGAAGCATGAATACTGTCTCATGCAGTCCGTGGCAACGCCCATGTGTACTGTGTTTGGAACTTAAGACCCATCAAGGTACCTCCCAATATCATAACTATTAGATCATTTAAGAAATGCAATATCTTTTTTTTTTATAACTTAGGTAATTGTCCATGGTAGCAGTCTATCAATAATGGAAAAGGTTTAAAGGGACACTACAGGCACCCAAACTACTTCATCTCACTAAAGTGGTCTGGGTTCAGTGTCCCTGTCCCTTTAGTCATGCAATGCAAAACATTGCAGTTTCAGAGAAACTGCAATAATTAAAAAGAAAAACATGCAACCTTTTTAAATCACTCCAACCCACACGTTTACAGTATAAAATAGGAAAATCTGTATTTTAGCACTCCTTGGACGTAGCAAAAGCATTTTGTGTAACTTCACTGATGGCATGGACTCTTGGTGGTTGGAGCATCAGGAGCTGAAGACCAAAGATAGTGGGGCCCAAGGAGGACAGCATCAGATAAGTATAACTCACCTCTACTGCACCCCCAGGCCACAACCCACCAAGCAGCAATGTCACCATCAGGGGTCGTCAAAAATAATTCTGATTTGATAAAGGTCACAGATGGTGATTGAAACGTTGTTAAATTCACCTGGACCTACTTTAATTTTCTGGAATACTGGAAGGTGACAGAAACACTTTAACATTGAAATTAAATACCATTTCTATCTATAATGATTAGTGATGTCCTGAACGGTTCGCCGAACGGTTCGCCGCGGACTCATCATTGAGTAAACTTTGACCCTGTACCTCACAGTCTGCAGACACATTCCAGCCAATCAGCAGCAGACCCTCCCACCTCCTGGACAGCTCACTAAGAATGCAGCTTCACAATTAATGTAAAATGGATGCTGTCCAGGAGGGGGGAGGGTCTGGGAAGGAGGGTCTGCTGCTGATTGGCTGGAATGTGTCTGCTGACTGTGAGGTACAGGGTCAAAGTTTACTCAATGATGAGTCCGCGGCGAACCGTTCGCGGCAAACCGTTCGAGACATCACTAATAATGATAGTGACTCCAATTTAACGTCCAACTATAGAGGTATCTTCACTCCCAGTACAGTTCTTGGAAAATGTGTCCATAGCCAATTATGCTGGTATGACTTAGCAGTCCAACTTTCAATCTTGCTTTTTGTCCTAATAGCACAGATGTTATTGCCTCTTCTAAGAGGGCTCGATTTGCATCCATTGCTGACAGATTCTTCAACTTCACTAAAAGTTACATGTAGTCCTCCAAGGTTCAATTATTGTCCCCTTTCGATTCTCCATATTTATTAATGGCCTTCCCACTGTGTAATTAAAACACCAACTGTGCACATGTATTGCAGATGGTGCAATCACCTATGCAAGAAACCAGACTTAACGCAACTTGAGGCTGTGTTACAGGAAAGATGTTGAAAGGTGGATTGCTAAAAATAAGTATACTAGCAAAACTGTTTCCAAGGAATTATTAAACAATGTCAAAATTGCTTAACTAACTAATCCCCAATTAAGCATTATTTATTTATTTATTTTATTATTTATTTATAAAATATTTTACCAGGAAAGATACATTGAGATTTCTCTCGTTTTCAAGTATGTCCTGGGTCCACAAATCATTGCATTGTTACATTAGGTACAACAAAATACAAAAACATTATTAATACACAATGTATACAAAATTTAACATAGAACAGGCAGGAAATATATAATCAACCATGACATGTGCATTCTGTTTTGAGGTATGTAGAGAGGGATCTCTTAAATGACTTTAGGCTTAGGGAAGATTTTAAATTGTGCGGGAGTTCGTTCCACAATTGCGGCGCTCTGTAGGAGAAGGAGGATCGGGCCGCTTATGGCAAATTAACTACAATCTGGCTATAGTCACAAGTATCTGAATACATAGGATAATAATATCTAAATTGACTTATATATGGAAAACTATCCTTTAGCAAACAGTTGATGATTAGGTCAGAAATAAATTCTGTGTAAATCTCCCCATGATGAACCACCATCTAAACTGTATTTATTAAAAGAATTATCACTTTGCCAATATATGTGCATTGTATTTGAATGCGCTCCCCCTGTTCAAGAAAAACAAAAGAGATCTCAATGTTTCCTTCCTGATTAAACATGTATTCCCGACCCTATCGTGTTAAAGCCACCATCTAGCCCCTCTGGCACCCTCTTGCCTCACTAAATATAGTAAAATCTTACTTGTATTCAACTCTGAAGCTGCTGATTCAGCCCCTGAGCTGCATCTACCTACTGACATCATCAGAAGAGGTGGTCTGAGCCAATCACAATGCTTCACCATAGGATTGGCTCAGACTGTCAATGAGGCAGATCAGGGGCAGAGCCAGCACAAGTCAAACACAGCCCTGGCTAATCAGCATGTTTGGCAAACAGTCTTGCTCTTTACATCTTCAGAACTCACCAATCTCATCCATGATATTCTCCACACCATCAGATGGAGATGACATTTCCTAAAAACAAGAAATTGTAGTGTTAGATTACAAGCCTTTGCGTAATAATGCGTTTTGCTTGGTATTTGTTTATTGTCATTAACCAGTTTGATCCTATGATGTTAATGCAGGCTCACAACTGGTTCCATATCTCACATATTAACTTACCACAAAAATATAAAGTTTTGAGGGTTTTTTTTTAGGCAGAAATGGAAATAATGTTTATTTTAATTTTAAAAAATCATCCCAATAGGCCAGGGCGTATTACAGAAACACTATAATCACCCAGACCACTTCATACCAGGGAAGTTGTATGAGTGCCATGTACCGCACACCCCCAGTTTTAAAGGGACATTCCAGACCCCTAAACAACTTTAGCTTGCCGAAAAGCTTTATGTGTGAAGATTGTGTTCTCTTTTTTTTTCATTTTGCAAAAACTGCAGATTTCAATAGAAATTGCCACTTTTATCAATAAATCTGGTTACACCCCCTTAGCTTTCAAACAGACAACAGGTAACATTACTTCCTGGTTTCAATTGCTCAACGCAGCTGGCCTCAAGAGGCAGCAATTGCTCAGAGCACCTGACTTACAAAGACTTATCATTGAGCTGCATTCGGAAGTCTGGAAGATTCAGAGTTTGCCCATGCGAACTAGCAACCCAATGCTTTCTTACCGGAGCCTTGATTGCAAAGCTTCAACGAGGCGAAAAAGGTAAGTAAAATACCTTTTTTTAACCCTTGCAAATGGTGACTAGAGCACTATGGTTTTGGTAATACCTATTTGTATTCCTAACATCAAAGTGTTCCTTTTCAGGAACATTCCGGGTACCATAACAAGTCCATTAAAATGAAGTTGTGATGGTACCAGAAGGTCCATGGTGCTGGCTTACCTTGAGGGGTTAAACCAGCGGTTCCCAAACTGTGTGCCGCAACGTGTGCCGCGGAATGTTTACTGCTGAACAGGGGCCCGGTTTGGTGCCACGATCCTTTAAAACCGCGACCGGGTCCTTGTAATGTCGGCCGGCTGGGAGGAAGTGACAGCCTGTCACTTCCTCCCAGCATCCTGCAGGGAGACAGTGCGGGAGGAGGCAGGCGCGGCGTCAGGGGAGAGGAGCACGAAGAGCTCCAGACTCCTCACTCCCACAGCAGCAGGACTCCAAGCCACCCTCCTGGCACATAAGGTAAGCTAACAGGAGCGTGGCTGGAGATATTAAAATAAATCACTTGTATGAGTTTGAGTGTGTGTGAGTATGAGTGTGTATGTGTATGAGTGTGTGTGTGAGTGTAAGTGTGTTTGAGTCTGAGTCTGTGTGTGAGTATGTGTATGAGTGTTTGTATGTATGAGTACATGTGTGTGTGTGAATGAGTATGAGTGTGTCAGGGTGTTTGTGAATGTGTGTGTGTGTGTGAGTATGATTGTGTTTCATGGTGTTTGTGACTGTGTGTGTGTCAGGGTGTGCATCTGTGTGTATATATATATATATATATATATATATGTCAGTGTGCTTCTGTGTCTGCTCACATATCTGTGTATGTGCATTTGTGTGTCAGGGTGTGTATTTTTTTTGCCAGTGTGTGTATCTGTTTTATGGTGTGGGCATGAATCAATGTTTGTGTGTGTCAGGGTGTATGTGTGTATCTATGTGTGTGTGTGTGTATGTGTCTGTGTGTATCTATATGTGTCTGTGTGTATCTATATGTGTGTATGTGTCGGTGTCTATATGAATTTGTGTGTCATGTATTTATATGCATCTGTGTGTTAATGTGCATGAATATCTGTGTAAGAAAGTATGTATGTGCTGGTGTATGTGCTGGTATATGTGCATATATCCAAGCAGTCAAACACCTGCACAACATACACGCACACTCCTGCAATCTAACACAAATAATACATACAAACACACCGCTGCATTCAAACTAAAAAAAAATATACAAACACACCCCTTCACTCAAACAAATGCTTCACACAAATGTACATCCGCATTTAAAAGTGAACATTATATTCAGACATATCCCTGCAATCAAGCAAAAACAATACATACAAACACACCTCTGTATTAAAACACAATAACTATATACAAGCACCCCTTCAAACACCAACACTGTACATTATACTGTAGTGTCCTTAAAAGCCGCAGCGCTGTGCAGATATACAACCTAGAAATTAGAGTGCCTTGGAAAAATACTGAAATATTAAGGGCGCCTTGAACATAAAAGGTTTGGGAACCACTGGTTCTCGAGCGGCCGCTGTCCATTTCTGCAAGAGCCTTTTGGTTTAAATATTTTGAGAAAACGAAAGGCAGAGAGATTAGGCACTGGAAACACAGACTTGGGGGTTAAACTATTCCATTAAGCCATTTTGATTAAGTTGTTATGGTGCCCAGAGTGTCAATTTAAGTAGTTAGTATTAATTCTGGCAGGATACAAACTGCGTAATGTAAAAATAAATCCAACCTTATTAGAGTGTAATGCAGGACTTTGGATCTCAGTAAATGAAACAAGCTATTTGGCAGATTTTTCTATAGTGAGAGGCCATTCCTATATATACACAGAATAATTCACTAAACACCGCCATTTCAATTAAAAAGCTAAAACTTTGTAAAATTCTTCAACTGAGCTATAGTCCCAGGTTTGGTGTTTGGTGAATACCCTTCATGGTGGTAACCTGCAAAAGTACTTCCTGGTGGTGTTAATTTCTTTTTACCCACTGTACAATAACATCTATACTACAATTTTAAAGAACACTATAACATTAGGAAAACAAAAATGTATTGCTAATGCTCTAGTACCCTAGTCACCTTTTAGGTGACTGTACCAGTGCTGGCAGGATTAGAATATGTATTTTATTTACCTATTTCCCTCACCACGCCAGTTGTCTTGCTCAAGCTCTGCCTCTTTGGCTTAGATTATAGAGTTCGATGATCTCAGCCAATCAAATGCTTTTCCATAGGAAAGCACTGGTAGGCTAGTGAGCAGTCAATTCTGACTGAATTAGCAGGGTTTTACTCTGCTATTTGGCAAAGGAAATATTACCGTTCCAGTAGAACTGCAATGTTTTCAACTGCAGGGTTAAAATGGGGAGCACATGGCAACCAGACCATAGTGTTCCTTTACGCCTGATACGAACACGTGTCAGTCTATGGAGGAAAACAAAATTTGTATGAAATTCTCAATTCCACTGAATTACTAACCAAGGAAGGCAGGTCATGCATGGCACTTAAAGAGCACTAGGAGTTGCATAATTTATGAAAAAAACATGATTAATGCTACATCACAAGAATGTCGAATCGTATGTAGAACTACTCACAACTGCTAAAGTACATAAACACACTGCAGCACTGCCACTGAAAATAACCCGAAGATCACGGTTATTCCAAGCCCCCTAATAACGCATTATAAACTTCAGCTATTTTCTCTAACCTATGCTATCTGCAAGCACTGGTAGGATTTGTCGTACTTGAGCTGTTAGCATATCTGGTTTAGTGTTTTTGGATCACAGCAAGATGGTGAAGCATTCCTAGGAGGGCCTGTGCCTAATTATATCCTACTGATCTTTAGATACATGACTTTAACCAATACATTTTATTCCTCCAGGCATTTCATATCCTGCCAGCTGAAGGAGTAAGTTCAAATTTATGTTATCCGATATAGATAAGGTAAATACTTATGATATTAAAATTTGAGTGTCGGTGCTACACCTTTGGACTAAGGAAAACATGCTGTAGCTTTTCTTGACACCTAATGGTAAATTAGCTTTGGTCTTCAAAGCAGGGTTTGAGACAAGGCAGCACAGGGTAGGTGATATCTTTTTACTAAATGTAAAAAATAAATTAAATAGCAATGACTGATTATTTTTATTTTAATCAAGAACACCTGTTGGGTAGTTGACCGCAGATAGTGCTGCTCAAATTTAGCAAATAATGACACAACACCAAGAAAGGACAACCTACGTTTAGTCATACATAGAGAGGTCCCTATTGAGTCATTAAAATATATGAGTTATTGTTAATTTAATGATACACTCTATAGAGTATGAAGTACATTTCCTCAGGGGCTAGTCCATCTCATGAAGAATTTATATAAAATGAAGATTTTAATGCTATGTAAGTGAAGCAACCAAAAGGAACCATCCACCGGTTTCCGTGGTGATTACTTGACTTTTAGAACTCTGCCACCAGTGGAAATATTCCATTGTTTCTAAGGTTTCCACAGCAGCTCCTCCCCTTTTAGAATGTTACCATTAGTAGTAGGATTTCATAGTGATTGACACACTCTTGGAATATTCCATTGGTTTCCACAGCAGTTACTCCCCTTTTAGAATGTTACCATCAGCAGTAGTATTTCATAGTGATTGACGCACTCTTGGAATATTCCATTGGTTTCCACAGCAATTACTCCCCTTTTAGAATGTTACCATCAGCAGTAGTATTTCATAGTGATTGACGCACTCTTGGAATATTCCATTGGTTTCCACACCAGTTACTCCCCTTTTATAATGTTACCATCAGCAGTAGATTTCATAGTGATTGACGCACTCTTGGAATATTCCATTGTTTTCCACAGCAGTTACTCCCCTTTTAGAATGTTACCATCAGCAGTAGTATTTCATAGTGATTGACGCACTCTTGGAATATTCCATTGGTTTCCACAGCAATTACTCCCCTTTTAGAATGTTACCATCAGCAGTAGTATTTCATAGTGATTGACGCACTCTTGGAATATTCCATTGGTTTCCACAGCAGTTACTCCCCTTTTAGAATGTCCCCTTTTAGAGTAGTATTTCATAGTGATGGACACACTCTTGGAATATTCCATTGGTTTCCACAGCAGTTACTCCCCTTTTAGAATGTTACCATCAGCAGTAGTATTTCATAGTGATTGACGCACTCTTGGAATATTCCATTGGTTTCCACAGCAGTTACTCCCCTTTTAGAATGTTACCATCAGCAGTAGTATTTCATAGTGATTGACGCACTCTTGGAATATTCCATTGGTTTCCACAGCAGTTACTCCCCTTTTAGAATGTCCCCTTTTAGAGTAGTATTTCATAGTGATGGACACACTCTTGGAATATTCCATTGGTTTCCACAGCAGTTACTCCCCTTTTAGAATGTTACCATCAGCAGTAGTATTTCATAGTGATTGACGCACTCTTGGAATAGTCCATTGGTTTCCACAGCAGTTCCTCCCCTTTTATAATGTTACCATCAGCAGTAGTATTTCATAGTGATTGACGCACTCTTGGAATAGTCCATTGGTTTCCACAGCAGTTACTCCCCTTTTAGAATGTTACCATCAGCAGTAGTATTTCATAGTGATTGACGCACTCTTGGAATATTCCATTGGTTTCCATAGGTACTGCTTACTCTAAGAACACTGTCACTGACATAAACATCCCATTGGTTTCAATGGTGACTACTCACACTTTTGGAGCTTTGCCATCAACAGGACAACTCCGCTGGTTACCTCGGTATTAGCTTCACTTTGCAAAGAAGAGGATTATTCCATTGGTTTTCATAGTGATTAACGCATATTTCAAACATCATCACAGGAGCCTGATAATTTCAGTAGGGATTGTTCCATATTTGTACTTTAGCCCATATTGATGCCTAATCATAGCCTTAATTTCAGCCATAAAAACATTGTTAAAAATAAATAAATATTGCGTCATTTGTTTAGTGTTGGTATTTTATGGCCAATGGTGTGTAAATTGCAGTGCCCTTTTAAATAGATTGCTGGACAGGCAATTGATGAGGTATCAGATAGATTTCAGTAAGAATATGTTTGACATTACCCTCCGCAAGGTCAACTGGGTCTGACAGCTGCTCTGACACTTATACAGGAGAATGTTCTCGATCAGCTATACTGAGAGATAACTCCATGACTCAGTTCAATATGCCCGAGCAGTATGTATTTATGTATTCTCATGGTAAACACAAACTTATGTAACCGGTGTTTGTGTACCACAATTCATACTTTACAAAATATATGGAATATAAGGCAGCGTTCGGGTAGATATGCATATAAAATGCGGCATAATCTAACAATGCGGAGTACCGAGTGAGACGCTATCGTGTTTCGTGTCTAATTAGCACCTCTTCAGGGGACGTTCCATTTATCACATCACGCAGTACTTACCCGGTGGATCATGCCATATTTTAAGTAAAGAAAATAAAGTCTATTCACTTGAATTCAATACACTGACTGAGATATAACCCTTCTTTCCACGCAAAGTTGCCCACCGATTCACATTTTTGGATAAGCTTTTTTAAATGATCTAATACTTTATTATTAATTGTTTAATATTTTGAAAAATATTTTGATATTTTTCGATATATTGATCTATTTTTTCTATTCTTTATATTTTTTTATTTTTTTTTATTTTTTTTTTAAATTCTTTATTTTAGTAGTGCATATAGTATACATGTATGCTTGCATAGCCACGACAGCCGGTGTAGGCTAGACATAGACATAGAAAAAACAGTTGTATAGCTTATTAACGTTGCACATTTTTAGTTAATACTGAGTATAAGAACAGGCTAAGTCTGAAGCTGCTATGGTGGGTTATGTAGATTGAGTTATGGTTCATTTCAACGTTGTTACACATAGCCCTACAGCATATGAAAAAGGTGTGCTTTGCTACCTGTTGGTACATGGTTAAGCTAGTGTTGTTAGTTAAGGTTGAATCATTACAGTGGGTTAGTTGGCGTGTTCAAGTTTAGTGAAATGTATTGTGTTTTCAGGTGCCAGCGCAGCTCTTGGATTGCCACCAAAATACCCGCTGCAAAGGACAGCTGGTTGGCGTAGCTATGGGGTAGAGAGTTTACCACTAGGAGGGAGGGCCCCAGTATTGGTGTCCTCAGTGAGGTGTGCCCTCATCGCTAGCATGGAGAAGTGGCCTAAACAGTTAATTGTAAAACATAACATAAAAGTATGAGTAACACCAAATGTCAAGGAAAAACAATAAAAACTTCAACATTTGCAGATAGAGACTACATGAGGCATGGAGTGATTGACTCATCTGTAATATTAAGAGTCCTGGTCAGCCAACCCCTGCAAGAGGTATGCCACAGTCCCACTCTGGTGCCTTTGTGAGTCTTGGTCTTGGTCGCAGCTTGTGCTCAGGGGGCGCCCCGTGTTGTGGTTGTGGGACGTTGTTGGGTTGACCTGGTGTTGCCGCCATGTTGGGCCCTGTGCCTCACCGTCTCCACTCCCGGTCTAGTGTCACTCCCTTCTGAGGTGAGATGAGTCCCATCTGGGAAGCCTTCTGCTTGCCCGTGTGCCTCATGCACCGAGGTTCTCCGCACTTCCATGCCCTGTCTGCCGTCGAGTAGCACAGACCGTGAGCCGGTCTAGGCCCAGAGGGTCCTCTTCGTGTCCGTAGGTGTCGCTGCAATATGTGCCTCTTCTGACTGTGTGGAGCGCGGTGTCGGTCTTTGCCGGATCGACGGTGGGGCGGGAAGGCAGGCTTGCATTGGCGCCCTGCTTGGGTGAGTGAGGGCGTTTGGCGGCCGCGCGGGTGCCGGTTCGCTTGATGGGAGTGGGTGAGTGATGCCCGCCTTGTAGAAGTGGGTGGTCGTGGTGAGGCAGGTTGAATTAGCTTACCCGCCAGCTTCCTCCAGAATGCCTCGAAGTGGTTGTTTATTCGAGTGAGGCTATCTTGTGAGGTGTCACTGGGGTTGTAAGCACATGTTGTGTCCACCATCTTAAGGAGGTCTCCGTTTACTGTCTTTGGCGTCGTTCCCCTTCTCATCATGCTCAGGGTCGCCACCCCAGGGTGGACCGGGAACACCCCCACCGGTCCGAGGGGGGGGTAGCAGGGCTTGCTTGTGCGGTGGGCAGCTTCAGGGTGCCTACAGGACAGGGGAGCGGCCGCCTCCCTCGCCCGATGCAGACCAGGCCTCAGTGTCGGTCGTGATTTCATCTGGCCCCAATCAAGTCGCGTAAGAGCCCATTGTGTGCCCTCCATCGTGGGTGGCATGTGGGTGCCTAGAAATGAAGTTTGTGTTGCTTGGGTGAGCAGATTTTCGCTTGTTTTGTCAGGATTTTGTGGGAGCTCATGGAAAACACGACTCTCCGCCATGATGGTCAGGCCCCGCCCCCATATTTTGATATTTTTAATCATTTTAAATGTCTTTCCAAAAATGTAAAACATATTCAAGACAGGTTTAGGTTGGGCTTAAAGAGTATAGGTATTTATTATTTCTTAAAACAGAAAATCCTAAACAAAACAGTGGGAATGATTGGCAGGTATGGATTTCTAATGGCTTCACTCTCTACCAAATGTAAATTTTGAGCAGCGCTAGAAAATGCGTCTTTTTATCAATAAGTGGAAGAATACAGATTGCAATGAATGTGTTGATGCCCAGAGTATCTATTTAAAACTGCATAAAAGCAAATTAGCCTGTGCACAGTCGCACACAAAATATGAATTGCATGCAATAGATTATTCATGAATTCCATATGTATTACAAAATATATACAACATAGGCCTTATATGCCCATAATTGATGAGAAAATACTTTTAGAGAAAATGTTACAGTCCTAAATCCTACAAGGCTTACTACTTTTCACTTCTTAAACTATGTAAACCAGTGGTTCCCAAACTTTTTAGGTTCAAGGCGCCCTTAATATTTCAATATTTTACCAAGGCGTCCCAAGTCAAAACAATTTTCTAGGTTGTATATATGTACAGCGCAGCGGCATATACTGGGCCCCTGTTCGAGATGCTTGCTGTCTAAGCGCAGATCCAGAACCTAATCTTGGGAGGGGCACTGGAAGATTATTTAAAGAAACAATCCAGGCACAATAACCACTACAACACTTTGTAGTGGTTATGGTGCCAATAGTGCCCTCCCAGAGTAAGTAGTAAAATTGTTTAAGAACAGTCTGACAACTTACCTGGGATCTGCCGGGATAGGGGCTGTAGTAGGGGATACGGGCAGTAGTGTGTGTGAGGGGTGCAATATGTGTGTGTGTGTGTGAGGGTTGCAGTGTCTGCGTGTTATGGGTGCAGTGAGTGTACGGGGGTGCACTGTGTTTGTGAATGATGTAGAGTGTGTGCGTGATGGGTGCAATGTGTGTGTATGTGGGGCAGTTTATGTGTGCATGTGGGGCAGATTCATATCCCCCTCCCTGCTTACCTTTGCCTTTGGAGAGGGGACAGTGCAAGACAATCCCTGGTGGTCCGATGGTGAAGCCCTGGCAGTCCTAGTGGTGAGAGTGAACTCTCACGAGATACGGATCGTTGCCACGGTAACCGCGGCAACACTCCAAGCACGCGAGAGGAGAACCCAGCATAGCTGCACGTTAGAGCTCCCTGGGTCCTCTCTCCCTCCCTCCCCTGCCGGCATTACACTGCTAGCGGACCGGAGAGGGAGATCTCTGATCTCCCCTGAAGTCCTGCAGAGCCGGCAGGGGAGAGGGAGGTAGAGAGGACCCAGGGGAGCTCTAACCTGCAGCACACAGTTTGGGAACCGCTGATCTAACCACTAATCCAAGGTCACTCCTAATCTAACCTAACTAGGACTACCAAAGACACTACTGTTTACTGAGTTGAATACTGCTGTGTACAAAGAGGGGCACTTTAAGTTTAGGGGTGTGAGTGGAGCTGTGGCCGGGGCCTTAGCTGACTTACTAATAACAATTTATGAGCTTTAAAGGTAATTTAGGACAATGACAAGGTAACTTTTTAACAGACTGATTTCTAAACACATTTACTGTAGTTTAAAGACACGTTACTGCTGTGGAGACACACCAACAATATGGAGCTCCTAGAAAAGAGGGACAAAGGAATTTCGGTCTAAAATAAAGACTGCCCTTCCTAAATAAAGACAATTCTGAGATATGTATACTTACTTCCTCTGCAATTCAGCATTTACAAGCTACATTGCGCGGCATTTGGCCCTCCCCATAGGATAGGATTGACTCAATGCTTTCCTATGGATATTTTACTGACACTGGATGTCCTCATGCAGAGCATCAGGACATCCAGTGTTACTAAGGGGACCTATAGTCCAGTAAGATCCCGGAAGCGCCTCTAGTGGCTGTCTGGTAGACAGCCACTAGAGAATGTCTTAGTGCTGCAATGTAAACACTGCTGTTTCTCTGGAACTGCAATGTTTTACATTGCAGAAATAAGGGGGACAGGGACACTGCACCCAGACCACTTCAATTAGCCGAAGTGATCTGGGTGCCCATAGTGTCCCTTTAACTGCTTTAGATTACTGGGTCCATTTTTAAAATAAGTTAACTTAAAAATACAATTAAATGTACCTTTATTCAAGTATCCGCACTGTAGCCAGGTCTCCTCTGGAGAGATCACCAAGCTTGATGATCCGTGTTCAATCATAAGCTTCTTACAGAAGAGTAATGAAGACACATGGTTGTGCACTTGCCAGTCTAGTGCTTTTTTGTCAATATTTTACATCCTGAAATGGGATGTCAAATCCATTCATTTACTGAATCTAACTGGGACTACCAGGGGTGGAAAGAGCAAAATATACACAATGGAGTTTCTCAGAAACAGCATTGTTTTCATTTGCAAAGCTTCCAAGGAACATATATACCCCACAATCACGTCATTGGGCTACATTTGTATTACTGCACATACTATTACTCTCAATGGCTGGCAGTGATGGATTGATGCTCTCAGCCTATCACCGACCAACCAGATAACCATCCTGTTCACGTGAGCAGCCAGGTGGCGAGGTGTTAGATTATCAGTAGTGACCACACTTTGCACTGCAACCACTGGATCATCAGTGACCAATGTCCAACTAACATAAGGTAGCACCACACAAGTTTTTTGCCCAATCCTCTGCAAGTGTGATCCTGCATATCCCATTATGTAATAGGCTCCTTAAAGGCACACTCGACTGCCTAAATACAAAAAATACTACTTAGTAGATATACTACTCATGAAAACTTACATGCATTTAACTGGAGATTTCTTAATTGGGGATATATCTAAAAACAGCTTGCAGAAGTTGCAGTTCTCCTGTCTGCTGCCTTTACAGGCCCTCCCTTTCTAGCCCCGCCCAGACTTTCTGTAGCTTTCCAATCACAGATTTCCCAATGCAGCTCCATTAGAAGTCTTTGCAAGGCAGGTGCTCTGGGCAATTGCGGCCTCTCTCGTTTAGCTTCACTGAGCTTAACAACCAGGAAGTAATAGGACCAGTTGTCTGATTGACAGCCAGGGGAGTTTAACAAAGTTTATTTATAAAAGTGCCATTTTCTATTAAAATCTGTACTTTTCGAAAAGAGAGCACTCTTTACACATTCACGACTTTAACAAGCTAAAGTGTTTTCAGAGATCTGGAGTGTTCTTTTAACCCCTTAAGGACCAAACTTCTGGAATAAAGATAAACATGACATGTCACGTGTCCTTACGGGGTTAAACATTAGATTGTTATGATGGTATAGATGGACCATTACTGGTCCTTAAAGGGACAGTTTAATCACCTTAAGGAACCATAACAACTTCAAATAAATGTTATGGAGTTGTTATGGTGCCAGTAGGCCCTCAGCATACTCATACCTCAAGGGGATAAAGCGTTTGAGAATGGTTTAACCCTAAATTACCGACCCCAGGCATCCAGCTTCTGAAATGTCATATTCAGAGAGCAGTCAGCTGATGCTCTCAGCCAGTCAGTTAACCCCCATACACAAAACTGGCTTGGAAAAAATGTACCTATTTCAATACAGTTTTTTGACTCAGTAGTCACTGATTCGATGAGAGCGTCAGCTGGCCGCTGTCAGCCAATCAGCGGCGCCCCTTCCTGGTTGTGACAGTGACATTTCAAAAGCTGGATGCCACCTGGGTGGGAGACATCAGCGCTGGAAACAACTTTGGGGTTAAATCGTTCTCAAATGGTTTAACCCCTTGCGTTATGAGGCCGGGGGGCCTCCTTGCACCATAACAAATTAATTTAGATGGAGTTGTTATGGTGCCTGGAGTGTTCCTTTAAGTTTTAATATAAATAAAAAATCATATTTAACATTCACTCAGCTATAGTATGAATATCAAGGGTTGCTTGGTGTTAGCACTTTGTGTTGTTAGATAAATAGTAGATAATCTGTGAAATACTTAAAGGTACTCATTTCAAAATCACATCTATTTTACATCACTTCAATGTTAATCTCTATGGCTTAACTGAACGCAAGTGTTTGCTCAACCATGATTTTGGCAATTACACTAGAACAGAAGCCAAACCTCATGGTTTGTGTACCCAGTGAGGCTAACGTAATACCAAATAATTGTATGGTATATTGATGGCTTGATGGCAACTGTTGCTATCCCTGCTAATTTTGGATAAAAGGTTATATTACGGATGTTTTTCTGAATTTGCAAAAAAAAAAAAGAAATCTATTATGGGTATTTAGAAGTGGATTGAGAAACACCAGTGTAGCTATCCACCTATAATTTAAGAGTTGCTAAATCTGGATATTGGTCCTGTGCCACTGCTGAGTGGACATACTATCGTCTGGCCTCGACCCATACCTGAACCCTATGACGGCTCAGCTGATAGGCAGACTGGGACTGCGATGGCAAGTTGCCCACCGGTTCTTGGGTTTCATTGGCATTTTCATTATCCCTTCCATGCCCGGCATCTTCTTCTGCTGTCTCACGGGGGGATGTTTTTCTCTTCTCCTGAGGCACCTCTCTCTTCTTTACCTCGGGCACGTACAATACATTCGTCAACCTGGCCATTATCTTCTCCAAATCATCTTCATGTATCTCTAGACGTTTGCCTCCATAACTGGTGTACGCCGCAGCCGGAGAAGGCTTTTTCACAATACTTTCGAGCTCCGGTGTGGGCTTGGACTTCGTAGAAAGGACAAAAATAAAAAACCCAAACAAGGTGAGGCACACAGAAAGAATCCAGACTTCATCCATAACTTTAGAAGGTTCTGTATAGACAATATGAAGACTTTACAAGGCTCTTCCAATTATCTTCTAGCACCAACGGTAAACTACTGTGACAAAACTTGCTTTTTTCTTTCTTGTTAAATATAAAACAATATAGAAAAAGAGGGAAAATGTCAAATAAAAATAATATCCTGGGTTATTTAAAAATTAATAAAACTTTTTTTTTGTTTTCTAAAAAGGTTTTATTTTTTTCCCCTCACTTTCTTCCAGTATAACTAAATAGCAAGAAAATATTCCAAAGACTTCAAAGGCAGAAAAATAGTAACTTGCAAAAAATAAAGATATAATTGTTTGTTTTTTTTAACAAATAATTTTCTATTAAAAATAAACTTCAAAAGCTATGGATGTGAGGAGAGGTTTCCAGATTTTAATATCCTTCTTTGATTTTATTTTTGGTGCAATCTGGTGTCAATATGTCCATTTCCCTGTGTTTAATGCCATGTACAGGAGGCAGCTATTGCTAGATATAGATCCCGACCTCCTCCCATCGGCTGCTCCAGGCTAAATGAGGAGCACATGTCGCGCTCACAGGTTTTACTGTGCCCTCAGCTAGAGGAATCCATCCAATCAGCGAAGCGATAGGGTAAGGCTCAGCCAATGAGCTGCGGACATTCTCCTTTTGCCGATTACCGTCTGCCAACCAGTGCAGAGATGGAGAGTGTTGGCTTCAGGTGTCTGTCTCTAAGGAGCCATGTTGTTAAGGCAGGGCAGCCATTTTGTATGTGCAGTGAGTGTGTCTATATCACATGACATTGACACCATTATAATGTTATTAGGAGAGAATTAATAGGACCATCCAGTCATAATAGGATAGAATGAGCTGGGAGAGGCTTGTTTAAAAAATACATAAATTCTAAATTAGCTAGTGCATGTATATATATATATATATATATATATATATATATATATATATATATATATATATATATATATATATATATTTTTTTTAAATATATATTTCAATATATTATATATATATTATTTCTTAAATTATATATATATTATTAAAAAATTATATATATATATATTAAAATATATTTAAAAAAAAAATATATATATATATATATATATATATATATATATATATATTATTTTTTATCTTACTATAAATAAAATTTCCCTCTCTCTTCTCATTAGCTATTGCTATTTATAATTTCTTATGAGCTGTTACAATTTTGCATGTATATACCTGTCTGGAATATAGAAATTTACTAAACAAAAAAAAAATTGAACATTTAAAGGTGACATTTAAAAAGTAGACATAATTAGGAGTTCTACTGCAGTGTCATTGCATTGAGCAGACAGTGGTGAGATTGTGTATAAATGTAGTTATGTTTATAATGATAGCTGTTATGCAATGACCCAGGGTATAGCAGTCTAGGTATAAGGCTTAGGTGTATGGGGGATTCATTTATGAAAAACAGGTAACTATAACCTTATGTTGGATTATTTTTAACGTGTTACCTACTACTCTGTTACATGTAGCGTTGTCATGTTTATTCCTATGCTAACCTTGTCTTTCTAATTTTTTTTCCTTTATATACAGAACATTTTGTGCTTGTAAGTACTTGCAGAGCTCCACTGTAATAAAATTTACTGATATATTCTGTACGTATCACAGAGCTCCATAGTAATAAAATTATAGTCACACGCAGAATGTAGGATAATGTAGTATATAACAGAGCTCCACCGCAGTAAAGTTCCCAGCATTATGTAGTATGCATGGGTGAATCACAGAGCTTCATAGTAATAAAATTAGAGTAACGTGCAGAATGTAGGATAATGTAGTATATAACAGAGCTCCGCCGCAGTAAAGTTCACAGCATTATGTAGTATGCATGGGTGAATCACAGAGCTCCATAGCAATAAAATTATAGTCACGTATAACAGAGCTCCACCGCAGTAAAGTTCCCAGCATTATGTAGTATGCATGGGTGAATCACAGAGCTCCATAGCAATAAAATTATAGTCACGTACAGAATGTAGGATAATGTAGTATATAACAGAGCTCCACCACAGTAAAGTTCCCAGCATTATGTAGTATGCATGGGTGAATCACAGAGCTCCATAGCAATAAAATTATAGTCACGTGCAGAATGTAGGATAACGCAGTATATAACAGAGCTCCGCCGCAGTAAAGTTCCCAGCATTATGTAGTATGCATGGGTGTATCACAGAGCTCCATAGTAATGTGCAGTGTGTATCTCACAGACCACGGCAATTATAAAACTCAGTTTGTAGATAACAGAGCTCTACAGCAATGAAACTCACAGTCTTGGGCAGGTTGTATTACAGACATGTAGAAGGAACTCAAGGTACGTTGTTGTGTTTATGGTTGTATCACGGATCCATAGCAATGGAGTTCACAATCTTAGCTAGCCTTTAGATTGTAAACTTATTTGAGCAGGACCCTTGTCACCTACTGTTCCCATATGTCATTTGTGTTTTGTTCCAATTAAATGTCTAATTTACCTATTGTACAGCTCTTTGGAATATGTTGGCACTGTATAAATAATTGTAATTAAGTTCCCCATTAACAACTACTGGTATATCTTGGCCAGCAAAATAAATCAGGCAGACCCATTCCTACATGACACTCTGCAACTGTGAGTCCTGCATAGCGTGAAAAGAGCACCATTTAAGGCAATTTTAGATCCCTGAGCAAAACAATTGTGCAGGCCCATATCATCCACACAAGCGCTAAATGATTAGCCACACGCGTAACTAGCCACTAGCCAACATCTAATTAGCCACACACATACAAAATTAACCATTCACTGACATGTAAGTAGCCACACACACCTAACCTGGCAAACACATTCCAATCCCAGCGCTCTATGCCTGTCATATTGTTACTACATGCTGTGGTAGTTTTGGTGTTTGGGGTGCTACTTAAATAGTAATGTAGAATATGATTAAAAATATATATATCTGATATTGAATAAAATATTACAGTGGCTCTTTCACCTTTTGGGGTCATTGCACATTTTGATGGTGACTGTTTGGAGATGGTTGCCGGGGGCTGCAGGGAATGGCAGTTTTTACCTTACCTTAAACTGTCTGTTGTGGCCACTGCCATCTTCTTCTGTGAAGTGCTCTTCAGCTCCACGGTGCCAGAAGACATCAGCGCTGTACTCCTGCGCATGCACAAGTGTATAACACTGATGTCTATGAAGGATCCCATGAGACCCTCTATAGACAAAGCCATTCTGTGATGGATGAGGGCTTGACAGTGATAGCTTCAACTTTGTCAGGTGTAGGAAGTATACATAATACAAAGTAGTATCTATGAAATCTTTTAACTGTGTTGGAATTTCAGTAAAATTACAATGCAGTCTTCATGAGCATTTTATAAATATTTTATCTTTATAAACTGACCATTTTAGGGGAAAGGGAAGAGTGACAGAGCTGCTTTCATTTACTTGTAATATTTTTTTTCCATGCTGAATTAATAGCGCAATTTAACACTAGCCAATAGATGGCACTTTTATCGTTAGTAGGTCTGTCATTAGCAACACAATTCCTGCAAATCATATTAAGGGTTATTTACTGAACTCGGAATTGTAGCCAATTGAAAACAAAATGTAAAATTTAGAATAGCCAATTTAGAGGGCTAATGCTTCCAGATCAGCTATTTTCGGCTAAAACCTTTCCATTTCATTTCGTTATAATTCAGAGTTGTTTTAATAAACTTCCTCTTTGCAGAGAGTTAGGGAAGGGGCGGCGGCGGCAGTGTGTGCGTGTAAATATAAACATAATGACAAAACACGTATGAAGAGAAAATAATGCTTCTAAAGTGGTGTGAACACATAAGGAGGAAAATAAAAATAATTTGTTAAAACTTCTGCTGACAATGTCCAGATGACAATATATGTGTTCTTTAATTTAAGCCTAACTTGGGTCTACCATGACAGACACACTTTAACTACCAGTTCAATGCACCCCACTTACACTTACTAAATGGCACTTTAAAATTTCTTGTGTCCCCTAATCCCACTTACATTATAAACTTGTTTAAAGGGACTCTATAGTGTCAGGAAAACAAAGCCGTTTTCCTGGCACTATAGAATCCTACAGTGCCCCCCTCCCGCGGCACTTAAGGGGTTAAAACTCCTTCAGTTACTTATCTGAATCCAGCGGCGAGGGACATCAACCGGCAGGGGAGACCTAATGCGCATGTGTAGCAATAGCCGTGGTCACCTTTGGATTTCCCCATAGGAAAGCATTATTTAATGCTTTCCTATGGGGAAAAATCTGATGCTGGAAGTCCTCATGTCTGGTAGACAGCCTCTAGAGGTGGTGTTAACCCTCAGTGGTAATTAATTACCACTGTAGAGTTAAGGGGCATGGGACCCAAACCACTTCAATGAGCTGCAGTGGTCTGGGTGCCTACAGTGTCCCTTTAAAGGATCACTATAGGGTCAGGAACACAAACATGTATTCCTGACCCTATAGTGCTAAACCCACCATTTAGGTGGCTTGCCTCCCCATAACCCCTCTCAAAAAGTTTAAAACTCACCTTAATTCCAGCGCCGCGCTGGCTCGGCCCCCTTTGTGACATCAAAATGGGCGATTTTTCCCATAGGGAAAGCATTGGATTGGTTAAAAATCGGCATGGGGTGGGGCCAAATGCCGTTTTGGCCAATCAGGACCTTCGCATAGATATGCATGATAATAATGCAGACCATCATGGGTCTGTAAAGGGGTTAAAGAAACACCCCAAGCACCAGAATTGTTTATTGCATGTAGTACGCTTTAATAAATTTACCAGAGTCCCGCTGTGAACCATCAGCTACATCCCCTGCATCTGGTCTAATCTGGACTGCTCTATAGGCAAGGCCATAAAGAACCATGCTCAGGTGCCAATAAAACGACCTGCATCAGCTGTATTGGTGAAGACCACATTCAGGTGATTTGATCTCAGGCACCTGTCGGAAACCAAGTAAGTCTGAGAACCGTACTGAAACTGACATCTTCGAGTATTCCTGGCCGGCTCCATACCCACTGCAGCGGGCTTGGCGTGTTCCTTTAAATAATTCATGACAGGTCAAGCCATGGCTGTCATATTACTATGGGATACTCCCACCCCTTGTCATAAAAGCATTAAGCACAGTGTGATCTGTGCAGAAATTTTTCAAGGAACATGACAAATGTGTCAAAAAGTAACAATCAGATACTATAAAACAGCTACATGTGGTTTTATATACAGTTTATTAACTTCATGGAGACCCTCTCCAATATAACAATTTTCTTGTTATTTATCATAATATAAAAAAAAAAAAAAAAAATCCTTAGTTTGTAGGTTGCAAATATCTGTTTGCAATAAAAAGCATTTTATGGATTTGCATTCCTGTCATCGAACGAGGGGGCATACAATCCTAAGTAAAATAAAAGTTTATAACTGAAAATTAAAGCAGAAAGGTTCATCTGATGATCTGAAAACAAAAATTTGTTGGCTAGATGTCGCCCCAGGCTCAGCCGGGGAGTCCAGGGCCAGGGTAACAGGAGCCGTGTTTGGATTTTTACAAGTTTTACGAATGCTCTGACGGAAAACCTTGCTAGTCTTTTGTCTTTGAACTGTGGAAACCTTCTTCATCCGAGCAGATTGAGCAGCTGTTAAGAGAGACAGAGTGTAAGATCATTAAACAGTAACACTAATACAGAATTTAACTTAAAGAAGAACACTATCCAATGCTATTCACTGAACAGGTGATGGTTCTATTTGTAGGCTGATAGAGAATTATGGGATATATGGACCAACAGCTCAGGGCTAGTCAAAGTCTGAGGCCATTCTTGAACCTTCTGTATTCCAGAGGAATCTGATAACACAGAGATACATTGTTATTTACTAAATTGAGAATTTAAAGTGAATTTCACGTTTTAGGCCAAAGTAGTCGAACTGGAAGTATAGCTGAATTAGAGGATTTTTTTCAATTTGGCCATTTTGGTTTTAAGTTTGAAATTCACTTTGAACTCTCACTTTAGAGAATAAATCTGATAGATGCATAACTACAGATACAGACAGAACACACAGCTTCTCACAATTTGATTAGACATAGTCTAGGGTTTGTAAGCTTTGTGAAGATCCATCAACACCAAATTTGATTTTCCTATACGTAACTCACCAGTCTGCATCAGCTTGAGCTGCTTCTGTCTCTCTTCTTCCATCTTACGTCTATAATCTCCAAACATTGCGCGCATTACCTGGCGTTTCTTAACCAAAGCCGCCTTTTCACTGCGCAGTGTCTTAATAGCTCGCAAAGCTTCTTCCACTGCATGATGGAAACAAGGAGGGAGACTCAGATGACATTCTAGTCTAGGCTTGACAAAGGCTCACTTCAAAGCTGAAACATTGTGCACTGTTCCTATATAAAGTCTGCTTATCTGAGGAAATCACTGGCAATTTTCCCAATGTAACTTCCCTTATTGGAGCACCCTGGTGGAAATACTCCCTTTGTGTGTGTGCATTCCTCAGCTAGTCTATGTCTGGGTACTGTACGGTCTGTTACCTGCATCTCTTTGCCTGATTCTAGTCTTCGTGTGTATCTGTTGTATCTTTAAATGTCCATAAAAAAAAGGTATACTGACCAAGAGCAGGAGAAATGAAACCCCAACGTTTCGGCTGTGAAGCCTTCCACTGGGGGACCTCTCAGAGGAAGGCTTCACAGCCAGTATACCTTTTTAAATGGGTTTTTGCATTTAGCACTTTACTTACATTGTGGTTTTGGTACTATATACTGGTTTAGCACTATACTATGCACTCTCTGTTATAATGATATCTTGTTGTATTTTCTACGCATGAATAAATACTCTTTATGTGCAAAACTGTGGTGTGCCGTGGGATCATTTCTTATTTTTTATTACATGTATATATCTGGTATGGGAACAGATTCTCTTCCTTTAAGAGCACCGTGTACTTATAAACCACACACTTATTACCCGTTTTTCAGTAGAGCTCTTCCTGTAATTTTATGTTTGTATCTTTAAATGTCATCTTATGTGTCTGTGCCTCTCTCCCCCACTTTATCAACTCAGGGAATCAGAGACAACAAGTATATTGTGACTTAGTGAGTTTATAACCGTGTGTCTTAACATTCCAAATGGAAGACAGAGAGCTTCTATCCAACCTGTGTCTCTTGTAGGTTTAAACTTTAATAAAATTCCCTACCCAAATCCACCCTGTCGGCTGGTTCAACTATGTGCCTCTCTCTACATACACTAACAGCTCTAACTTATCACTTCTCCTCACTATATATTTAGATAGAATTTATTCCTTACATAGTTACATAGGCTGAAAAGAGACATGTGTCCATCAAGTTCAGCCTTCCTCACCCTGTTTTGGAGTAGATTTTTGTCTCTGGAGTCCGATTTCGAGCTGCTCCACGCACCAGTCCAACTCTCTGGACAGCTCATCCTCCCCTGACTGGAAGACACACATTTTTATAAGAAAGTAGAGGCTGTCAGCTTCTGTTAGATTATATGCAGCATTATTCTTTACCAGCTAACAGATGGCAGAGAATTATGGGAAGTGTAGTTCAACAATAGCTGAAGGACAAGGAAGGACACACTTGGTATATAGGAAGATATAGATATATATATATATATATCTCATAATATTAGCAACTCTGCATATATAAATGCATTATACAAACCAAACAATATGTAATAGCAAATTATTTAACTTTATTTTTTTACATTCACTTTTTTATTAAGGTGTTTGCACATAGGGATAGAGTACATGCCATTACTAGGTTAACTGCTTTTTTTGGAACTAATTATTAGTTATAAATAAGTGGATACAAAATGTGCATTGCATTTTAATGAAAGATTAGGGTTATTCGCTAATGAACATTTTACAGCTGCAAATTTGGGCCTTGCTTGAAAAACACAGATGTTATAATTAGTTGAGTACATTCCAATTCCCCCACTACCCCCCCTCCCCCCCAAAAAAAAAAAACACCTATCCACCAAAGACTTCCAGGTCAGACAGAGAGCTAGAACGGCGATATTAGATTAATTGAGAGAAGGTAAGTAGTTTTCCTCTAGTTTTCCTTTTCACACAGATAGAATGCAGGACTCGGTACATACAGAGATGATAGGAAAGTGGCTAACATCTACAAAACATTCTTTTTGACCATTTTAAACAGATTTTCAGATTCCTCACCTGGGGAGCATCACTTGAAGAGTCAGCTCCTCTGGTTTCTTTATTTGGCGTCTCTGCTTTGCTAACTTTCTGTCCTTCCCCAGTCAGGCCTTTTCCCTTAGATCCTTTTTTCTTCTTTTTCTTGCTAGGAGAATCTCCAGACATGTTCTTAGCCTCATCCTTTTTTACAGTATTACTAGAGGTCACAGAGGCCTCTGTTTTATTCACAGCAGCCTGTAACTCTGTATGGTTCTGTGATACAGCATTGGGTTCAGTAACAGTGGTCATGTTCTCTGCAGAGGTCTTCTCTACAGAACCCTGACCTCCAAGCTCTAAGTTCGGCAAAGTGGAGGCAGCATCATCCGGAATCTGGAAATTGAAGGAGAATCCCAAGGCTGCATTGGGGACTATGATGCTGGCCTGATTGACGTCATGACTGTCTCCATCTGTGACGTGCTCATTCTGATTGTTTTCCGCATCCTCTGTCCCACTGTCTGTACCCTGATCAAGCTCATCTACACAGAAATTAAAGTTGAAGGTATTATCAGAGACTGGGAACCAACTGCTGGAGCTAGCCGGTGTATCCTTTGAACATTTCCTATAGCACACGCTCTGAGAATCCTGAGACGTTCCCTCCTGGATGTGAGCATCAGGGAGATTAGCAGCTTTGAGAAAAGCAGAAAGAGTGCATTAAATATATGAAAGAAAAACTCAATTTACAATACTAAGGAATAATAGAATACATCTTATGCAATTTGGCCGATATGCAAATGGATGAAATAGACCAGCTGGAAAAATAGCAGATTAAGAACGATTTTATTTTTTTCCAATTCAGTTATTCCATAACTCCTGCTTTATTTAATATAACCCCAAAACAATACAACACTGTATGTTATTAATCAGACCTTATAAGGAGCTCACCACTGCAATCCTACAGGGTATATGGAAAACTCGCCAGGGATGCATTAGCTGTAACCTATAAAAGCTCCCCATGCACCCGTATGCCATCTCACTTATGAGCAACAGAGAACAGGTTCAAAATAGCTGCAACAAATGGTGTTCTACATCAGCATGCAGTTTCATTGCTCTGCCACTAAGCTGTGCACTAATACTTTACTTCCTCCGTTAGGGGTTTCTTTAACTCTTTACATTCTCTGTTCCTTTTAGTTTCGGTTTAGAATACTCCACTATGAATTAGGTTTTTGATATAATTATAGTGTGAATATTTTTCTAGAAGAGTATTTTTGTATTTATTTCATTTCCTTTGTCTTAAATCTTAATTTTTTTTCAAACAGAAACGATACAACTTATTAAACCACAATTGCAAGATTTCATTTATTTGCACAGTATTTTGATTATGGCCCTTCAATGTAGCACTCATGTAGAGACAATTGCCAGGATCTGCACCCATATCCTGCGATCGTGTATACTCAATTACAACCATTGCAGTGAAGTTTGTTCATTGAAAACTAATTTTGTTTGCAAAGGCTGTGCAGATAGCAAAGCCAGTGCCATCTATCATGCACTGCCTCGCTGAGCTCCTCCGCACAGCATGAGCTGGTAGGGGCTCTAGCGATCTCACTCCCTTGCAGTCAGAGGCCAGAAGGGGGCATTCTAAGCATCTGCTCTTAGACAGAGGGCAGATTCCACAGGTAGCCCCAATGGAATTAAAGCCTGCCTGACTACCAAAAGGTACGCAGGAGGGGGGGGGGCCTCAGCTAAAAATAAAAACAAGCAATGTGCGGGGAGGTTGAACAAGGAAATACAGCCTTTACACATACAATCTAAATTCAGCAAATATATTCTATAGTGTTAGGAATACAAAACTGTATTCCTAACACTATGGTTCCCTTTGGAATTTAAAAAAAACAAAACAAAAAAAAAACCTTTTACTTGCTCAATTCCTGCACCGATGTCACTTGCTGCTCTGCCTCCTCTGACATCATCTGATGGGGGGGACCTAGTGCGCATGCACTACAAGTGCTGCTAGCGCATTAGGCACGCCACATAGGATTGCATTGTGTTAAATGCTTTGCTATAGAAATTTTACTGACCCTGGAAATCAGAGTCAGGATGTCAGACTCAGAGTCCCTTAGAATTCCAGAAGCGCTTCTAGTGGTTGACTAATAAACTGGAGGCAGTCTTAGTCCTGCAAGATGATCAATGATTTGCATTGCAGTACGGAGTGGGACAGAAACACTGAATCCAAACCACTTCAGTGAGCTGACGTGGTCTGGGTGCCTATGGTGTCCCTTTTATTTCTCACTTTTTTTTTTTTATTTATATTAAATGTTTTATATATAAATATTTGATGTGAAATGAAAGTCTTATTTATCCTGAACAAAATGATATACAATAAGTTGGAAAATACTTGGATTCTGGGGGTGATTTTTCTATAAACCCCATGGTATTGAAGGGATTAAACAAGCATTTAATGTACCTGTTTTTTCCTGCGCTTTTCTCTCTTCAGCCATTTTAAGACGGTAGTTTCCAAAAACCCTGTTCATCACTGAACGTTTCTTCACAAAAGGTGCTTTGCGAGACCGCAGGACTTGAAGCACCTTCTCTGCATCGGATACTGGGAGGGGAATAGTGAGATGATGAATGCAAATTAAAACTCAAAAGCATAAAGCAGGCAAACTTGCTACTGTCTAAGAGCTGGAAAAAATTGTGCAACAGTGTCATAGATTGTCTTTGCATCAGTCAGTGTGGGGCAAAAGCACATAAGGCTATGTCCCACATACATACACAGACAAGAAGAAAACACACACAAACTACTAATGAAAAAAAAATATTTTTTTTGCAAGACATTGCACTATGCATGGCTGCGACAGATGCCAAATATTCCCAGAATTCATGCTCACTTTCGGCAGCAATATGCTATAGCTCTGTATGTGCAATGTTTCAAACTGAAGTTCTGCGCATACAGACTCCAAGCACAATAACCACTGAACTGAAGTAGTCATGGTGCTCGGAGTAACCCTTTAACAATAACATACTGGGGAAAAAACATAATTTGATACAATGAGATAGGATTCACATTACAGTAAATAGCTTCCTAGTTGTGGATCAGGATATTTCCACAGCACAAGATGTAGTGAACCAAAAGAAAGAGATTAATGACAACGCATACCTTGTTTTGGGGATGGATTTCGGCGGAGAAGACAAGTCTCCAGTTTATGAATGCACCAATCCAGTTCATCTTCAAAAGATCCTTGAGGAGCCTGTGGTTTTCAGGGGTATAGAATGCATTTTAAAAACTATTGACCCCTTCACAGCCCCTTTCTATTATTTTATTTGGATAAGTTTCCTGTTTTTAACATTTGTTTTATGCTCATGTACTAATCATTTTATAAAACGACATCAATCCAATGTGTGTGAAATATATATCTCATGCCATCCACTCAATTGTTCTGTTTTTTGTTGTTGTATTTTTAATACTACTTCTGTCACACCTTTACCTTTGTTTTAAAAAACAAAACAAAAAAAAAAACAAAGCAAAACCGCACTTAACAGATGTAATATACAAAATACGTCATGTCAAAGTGATATTTTTATCACAAAAAAAAAAAAAAATGAGGCTTTTCTTATGAGAGATCATTATAAGAAATTACTATTAATGTCTGGAATGGGGGCATGTTAGGGGAATGGCCTTTTGTTTTGAACAAATCTCACTGATTTCTGAGTGGACATACCAACAAATATACAAAGACACCTCCCCACTGCTTTTAATCAACAAAATAATAGTGCGGTGACTCTGCAGACCAAGGAACAAAACTTCCCCTGCTCCCACAGACGGATGGATGGATATAAACAACACTGCAGGTATACTGACCTCCTCCATTAGTGTAAAAATCCTACAGGGGGTTCACCAGCCAAGTCAAATCATCTCCAGCTGAAGGGATGGTAAGGTTGAAAATTTACAAATCTTTGTTGGAAAAACAACCAATATTAACATTTTAATTACTGTGATTATTGACAGACAGACACAAACTCTAAAGCACATTATATATTATACACATTTTACTCTGTCAATTTCAACTCTCCAAATTAAAACTAGTCAATTTCAGTAATAGAGGTCTATTGCATTGCTCATTAAATAATTACAGCTGTGAGGTGTAGTTAAAAGATGTTAATGACATGTACACAAAGATGACACAATGTATCACTCTGTTATAGATCAAACATGCTCCTTGGTGCAGCACACAGGAAGTGGATACAATGTAACCCTGCACTGTCTGTACAATGACTTTATTCACTATGCCAGGCTTTATTCCTGCACACATTAACTAAGAAAATGCAAAACACTTACACTATAGTTTACACACGCTACAGGTCCGTGGATAATTCACTCCCCAACTCGGTCCGTTCAAATAGGGTTCCGGACGGAAACTAGACACGCAGCTTTTTAGTTCCACGCGTGAAACGTGTGTACATGCTTTTCATAGGTTTCTCTCATCACAAAAACAAATGTAAAAACAAAAAACTGTGCTTGTCAGCTACTTGCCTCTCAATGTGAGCAATCACAGATACCAGGAGTACAGGAGACATTCTCTGCTAATATAATCAACCCAAAGAACCACTAACCCTAAAGAAACCCCAGAATTATGTCATGTAACTCCTAGCCCCCCAACATTGCAAGTGCTGTCTGATTTAGTTTTATTATATGTCTCTATAACTGAAGCACTATGGACATTTGGGAGACAGTGACGGTCCAGACTTTATTATTATTTCCATTTATATAGCGCCAACAGATTCTATAGCGCTTTACAATATTATGAGAGCGGAGGATTAAACTATAAGTAGGACAATTACAAAAAACTTACAGGAACGATAGGTTGAAGAGGACCCTGCTCAGAGGAGCTTACAGATTTAAATAATTTAACTTAAGGTCTCAAGTTAATTTACTCTAGGTCTAAAATCCAAATATTACACATTCACCACTCAAAACACAGCAGTTGTAGTATTTTAGGAGTTTTTAACATAACTTTATTTTATATTCAGCATCCGATTTAGTAGTGCATTGCTCTTCTCAATAGGCCTTGAATGATACTTCTGCATCCTTTGTAAACATGTGATCCTGAAAGACATTATCTGCGGGTGTTACCTGTTACAACATCGTATTTGAAGAATCTTCACACTACAAGGGCTCCCTCTACAACAGACAGCTGGACGGGATGGGCGTATTTACTAAGTGTGAATTGTTAGGAATGCAAAGTGAATTTCCAATTTTAGGTTAAAATAATAGGATTGGAAAAATACTACAAATCAGTTGTGTTTTTAGTTCGGCTATTATGGCCTGCAATTCACTAAATTCACTTTGAATTTCCAGTTATCGAATGGCACCATTTGTACCCAGGTACCAGTACTTTTCAGAAAATTTGGACGTAGTCTTGGGGCGTTCTTTCATTTTCCACTCAGAAAGAAGATACGATTCACAGCTTTAATCAATCACAGGTTTATTCTCTGCTACAATAAAACCCAGATGGAGAGAATGATTGGTATCATATCCATGTCTAGGAGTGTAACCCCATCACACAGCATAGCAGCATAGCGCTACAACTAATGAACTGGAGATCATGTGAGACGCAAAGAGAGCAAGATGGAAGAACCAATTGGCCATATTCTATGTTTTACACAATTGTTTAGAAACTGTATGTCTCTCTTAGCATATAGGAAAATTAGTCAAGCTGTAAAGTCAAAATGTATTTATTTATAAAATATTTTACCTGGAAATACATTTTGAGATTTTATAGTTATTAATGTATATCCAATAGTTTCCCATCACTATTGTAGACCATGACTGTTTAATTCCTGATTCACAGGCCAGTAAAACAAGAATATAACTTGACAATGCTCAGCAGTACTGGGTTACTTTTTGTTTATGAGGATATGTATCATTTCTGCAGGATGATAGTAACTGCACCCTCCTCAGAACCTTGAAAAGAACTGTCTCTATTCATTACCCGCAGTAAACACAGCCCCCAAACAGTAATCCCATGTATGCCAGGGTACAGCAACACACTTACCATGTTCTACTTAATGTGCTAAGTCAGAGACAGAAACAAGACAATGGCTGTAAACATGTATTTATTGTCAGTTCAACAATCCCTTTAATTTTTCACTTCTGTGGCATCGCCAATTCAAGTGCCTGAAGTTGAGCTGTATAATACTGTGCCTCCGGAGATCATTGCAAAACTGTCACTAAAAGAATGAGAATAGTCCTATCACAGTGCTTGATTGATGGTTTATGGCTTGTTGTAGGAAATTGTACCCAGGATGTTAAAGAACCGCCAACTTTTTAAATGGTGATTTTCTGGCTTACATTATAATAGACCACAATCACAGGCAGGGCAACAGTCAGAGAGCTCAGGGAGTGCAAAGATAGGTCTCAACGGGGTTAAAAAAAAAAAAAAGAAGTGAAAATTAGATTCACGGATTGCCATACACTACGCCCACAGACTGCAACTAATTCTTGCAAGTGCAGCGTGTATCTTGTACATGAGACGTGGTGGGATATCCATCATCCATTCTCTGGATATATACAGCAAATGTAAAGGAGGCTCTCAAGGTCACTGTGAGAAACACACACTGCTGAGTACACCTGAGGCAAAGGTTAACACACTCAGGGTTATTCAGTAAAGCGTGAATTGTTGGGAATATAACATTTTTACTTTTGGTCACAAAAGTCAAAGTGGAAAGATTTGCCATGTTGGACGTGTTTCCCATTTTTTTGCCTAAATTTGAATTCATTTTTCATTCCTGAGAATTCACACTTTGCTGAATAATCCTGTACGGTCAGAGGCGAATCTCAGGAAAGTAGGAAGTGCAGATATTCTACGTCCATGGTGGAGAACTGCTAGTAGAGCGTCACTTGAAAGGTCACAGCTGCTGGAGTGTAGTCATCACTATTCTATGGAACTGATTGTCAAGCTTGAAAATAAAGATCAATAGACTATATTTTCCATTGCCTTTCCTATTAGACCAAACTCTTTAATGCACGACTTACTAATTAACATTCTCTCATTCGGAGATTTCCATAGTACACATCAGAGGTAAGCTGCCTGTCTATGGTGGAAATTCACGAGAGCTCTTGTTCAGCAATAGTTACAGAATTGGATGAAGAGTGCTTCAACATAGAATGGAGATTAGATTGTGGAAAAAAAGCATGTTCACATGCTGCCTCTCAGTGGCTGTAGTGATAACTGCATGTTATCAACAGATTAGATCAATGTCTCCAAAATCAGTCTTCAAAAACCAAACAGTCAAGGGTTTGCTCAGTATTGGATTATATATGTACACCCTTAAGTCAGTGGCCCTTAAAGACATATCCCAGAAACAGTTAACGATCATTAATATGTTCTCCCTAGTAAAATGTGCAGGTGCTTGGGCTATCAACCCCATTATCCCAGGTAGACAGACATCCACGGGCAGTTAAATACGTGGTCTCCATCTGTTTGAACATTTTACTAAAATTCCCATCAACCATTGCAAAGTAGTGATTGTGATCTTTGCCAAAGGTTTATGGGAGCTGTAGTTTGCTGAGAGGTCAACGTCCAATGGTTTCCTGTAAAGGATCTATCATTTTGAAAGAAACATCTAAATAGATGATTCTTCAAACTTGTGTCAGTAAGGGTAATGGGACCTATGAGAAGCTGCAATCATCCCTTAAGGGGATCTAAAGAGAAAGTCGCACCCTAGGGAGATTGTTATTCTAGGCTCAGTGGGTCAGGAATCGGTAAGTTAAGAATGTATTTTATAGAATGAAATGTTTATCACGATACAAAAATGGAATGATTGTGTGACTGTGTTCAGGAAACACATCGCAGAGTGAGAAATGCTATGCTGAAGATGGAACAGGGGAGCAGCTGGAAATACTCTGCAGCACGAAGTGTATAGCGTCAGGATGGTCTTAGCTGCGTCTGTTTAAGATCTAGGGTTAAATCCTTTGAAAAGTTGTGGTCACTCTGATAAATGGTTACAGAGCGAGTGCTGTAGTAAAGCCATGCGCTAAACATTTTTCCAGTTGCTATATTCTAAACAGCCAAGGATTAAGGCACAGAGGATGGTTGGGTGCAGGTCGCCAGGTAGATCTTCAGTTAGTAGCACCTTAGGAAGGAATCGAAGCCTCCCATACCAGCTCCCCCGCAATATAAGTGGCTTTGACATTCAGGTTGTCATCGAGGAACACAAAATCTGATAAAAGGTATGAACAGGAAAAATATTGGAAAAAATCAGAGTACAATAAATTTGCCATACATTTTGCTTCAAATCGCCCACAAATTTCAAACATTACCCTCTCCCAAAGAATAACATATTTAATTATTAAACCCATGTGCTCTTCAAGAAATAAAATAAGAAAACCCTTTAAATCATTTCAATCCTAAAAGATGCCAATCCTATAAAGTATGAAGAGTAAATCAATAATCAAAGTAAATATTTATGGATTGTCCTTAAAGTCACTGCAATACCTGCGTCTGCTCCAAAATTCAGAGTCCCCTTACGGTGCTGAAGACCAAGATTTTGCGCCGGATGAAGGGATGCTGCTTCCAATGCTTCCTCTATCGTGCATCCTACCAAGAGATGGAACCCACAAACAGTATTGTGCTTTATCCTAAATGATTACAAAGATTCTATCTATGGCATAAATATCCTAAACAGATGACTCCATGTCAATGGAGGTTACACGTCCATCAGCAGAGGGGTCGAACTCTGTATGTGCACATACAGACTCCAGGCACCATGACCACTTCAAATAACTAAAGTGGTCAAAGTGCTTGGAGTAACCTTATAACTTCATCATTGCAGATAACTAGCAAAGGAAGGCAAGATTTACAGGGACACTATAAGCACTATAACAAATTCATCTCATTAAACTGGTTATAGTGACTGGTGTCCACTGGTAATGTCAATCCATTCAGTGTTGAACCATTCAGTCCCTGGTTTCCCATAGCCCCACCCCCACTGGAGCTATGATAAAGAAGATTACACACTTCCTTTTAGCCATACCGATTCATACCAGCAATGGACACTGTGATAGGATAATAGAAGTCAGCTGATACCTTCAGCCAATTAGAGCCGCCCACTGCTTTTCAGGCAAATGCTTCCTCATTAGACCAAACAGAACAACAATCAATTCGTATAGAAAATCTCTAATTTTCCAGCCAGGTTATTTTGTTTTAAAATTTGCAATTCACAGTTTAGTGAACATGAAACACACGGAAACAAAAATAAGTTGGAAGCAGTAAATCACTGCCAGCCTTGTCAATGCACCACTGTTATGGGAAGGAAAACAGCCCGAAAAATACAATCCAAACTTTTTTCCCACACTTGCTATACACAAGAAATATTAATTAGAATAAGATACTGACCAGTAGCCTCACGGAAGTGTCTCACACACATATCCATTGTAGCGATACTGCCCGCTAATGTTTGCGTTCCTGAAAGATAGAGACACTTAACTTTCCTCCTCGCTAAGATCTTAAACAGTGACTACTGAGATTTTAGATCAACTCGTAAGCTAACAATGGGTCGTGCGGAAATGATAGGAAAATACAGGAGACATTTTGAACAATTTCTCTTCTGTCTCAAATTTTTTTAAGGAATGTCAACACATCACATCATGGTATTTACCAAACAAACCACTTTATTTCATGAACCCACTCAACCTGCTCTCACCAGCCACATACGCGTTGAGTCCATCAATGAGTATCTCCTGCTGGCCCAGAGTGTGTTTCCCAGGACCCAGGCCCATGGCAGTGATTGCGTCTGTCACCAGCACGAGACCTGGGGGTGGGACAAAGAGATGAAACATAGAAACATAGAATGTGACGGCAGATAAGAACCATTCGGCCCATCTAGTCTGCCCAATTTTCTAAATACTTTCATTAGTCCCTAGCCTTATCTTATAGTTAGGATAGCCTTATGCCTATCCCACGCATGCTTAAACTCCTTTACTGTGTTAACCTCTACCACTTCAGCTGGAAGGCTATTCCATGCATCCACTACCCTCTCAGTAAAGTAATACTTCCTGATATTATTTTTAAACCTTTGTCCCTCTAATTTAAGACTATGTCCTCTTGTTGTGGTAGTTTTTCTTCTTTTAAATATAGTCTCCTCCTTTACTGTGTTGATTCCCTTTATATATTTAAACGTTTCTATCATATCCCCCCGTCTCATCTTTCCTAGAGTATGTACACAACTGTCACGTAAAACATCCCTATAAAGTAATGCAGGTGTCTGCCAAGACTATCTTCAATTTATAAAGTCACTTAGTTAATACCGGTAAATAAAAAGTTAATTTTTTGGGATATTTTCAGAAGCCTAATACTTCTAAAATCAGTTGCTGCATTCACCTGAAAAAAAATGAGTTACCTTGTTCCATAACAGCTTTTTAACCCTTGAATACAAAGTGTACAACAGTCAATGTGCATTAGGGATGACAAATGATTGCCCTTGGAAGGCAAAGCACGTCATTAAAGGGACACTATAGTCACCAGAACAACCACAGTTTATTGTATTTGTTCTGGTGAGTATAATCAGTCCCTTCAGGCTTTTTGCTATAAACATTATCTTTTCAGGCAAAAACTATTTTGTAATGGTTTAACCCCTAAGTTGGTTGTCTGGTGCCCGACAAAGCTGCCCCCCAGGTTCGTTCCTCTTTGCCTCCAATGTATGAGGAAGGTTTAGCCTACTGATGATAGACTATGTGTCAGCTGAAACTCTCAGCCTATTACTGGACGTCCATTGAGAAAAATAATACGTACCGAAGTGGAGGACTGGGGTTAGACTGTTTCAAATAGTTTAATCCGTGAAGATAAGACAATGCCAGGACACTCCTGCCCCCATAACAACTTCAGAGAGCTGACGTAATGGTTATGGGAGTGCTCCTTTAAGTCTCTGTTTGCTTTAGATGAGTTGCCTTCAGTGAGGAGTCTGCTCGGAAGCCAACTGAATGAAAATATGTTGGACACCGATCAGAGCAGCTAGAAATGAAAGGGACACACCAGCCAACCATACGATGCATACATTGCGGTTAATCCGACATGGCTCAAAGTATAGGAATGATAAGAGATGAATATTTAGTATTGCAGTATTCAGGGTATAATGCTGTGCTTCTTAAATAACCCCCTTAGCACATCTCCAATTCAGTGAGACTGGAGACCAGAGTTATTCAAATGCTCAGGCTTTCCAAGCTTCTGATTGACCAGAAACTCACCCTTTGGATGGGCTCGATGAGCGATTCTCAGTGCTGCTGGGTTAGTGTGGATTCCATCTGCAATCATCCCATAGTACACAGACTTCCCACATGGAATACGATCACTTGTTAATAACCCGACTATTCCAGGATCTCGGTGGTGAAACTGCAGGTAACGGAAATGAAATGATTTAAACATACTCCGTAGCAGGCTGCTCACTGCTCAGAACTAGTTTTGGAAAGATCAGGCGTGTGTATATGCAGATCACAAGTAACATGCAAATAGAGAGGTGTAAAAAAAGGAGAGAACAGAGGGAAGATAGCACATGAAATCTTAATAAAATGTGTAAAAATCATATTGTTATAAAAAATAAATAAACAACTATGTGAAAAATGTATTGTATTTGTACTAAAAATAACTTTTGTTAAAAGTTTTTAAAACACTCCAACAGGGGTCAGTACGCATTAATTAAAATATCCAGGTCATGTTAAACTTTGTTACTTAAAGGGGCACTAAAGTCACCAAAACCTTAATGAAGCAGTTTTAGTATATAGATCATGTCACTTTGTTTATGCAGCTTAGCCCTAGATCTAATTTTTAAACTTCCTATATTGCACAGCCTGTTTAATTTAGAATTTATCTCCTGCTCTGTTAATACCTTTCTAGACCAAGGAGGAGATAAAAACGTTTAAAGTAAATAACATCTGATTGAAAATTTAACCATTTCATGCAGGCTGTGTCAGTCATGGCCAAGGGAGGTGTGGTTAGGGCTGCATAAACAGAAACAGAAAAGTGATTTAACTCCTAAATGGCAGATAATTGAGCACTACAATGGCTAATTGTACACTAATAAAACTGCTTCATTAACCTAAAGTCGTTTTGGTAACTATAGTGTCCCTTTAAAGAAATGATCCATAGAGATTGGCAAACAGATACCAAGAGAGAGTTTGAGCCAGGGGGATGGAAAAATAAAAAAAATAAAAAGAATACAGTCCATGTTAAGTCTAGCCAGATTATAGTGAAGAAGGAACAAACCCACCAACTTACTGGTAGCATGGCATTGAAGAGGTGGGTGATAAATGATGCCCCATTGCACACTGCTTCTTCAGCCTGGGATAAATTGGCAACTGAGTGACCTAGCCACATAGAAAGAGCATTAAAACACAGTTTCTTGATCATATCATGATTTAGTTCAATCACTGTGGAATAGAAAACCATTATTGTATTAAACTAGTGATGGCGAACCTGTGAGATGGGATGACATGGCCACGTATTCTACATCTACATATAGTGCACTATAACTGATCATTGTCATACACTTACCAAGTGACACACATATCCCTCTCTGTAACAGCTCTCTGATCACCTCTGGGCTTCTATCCATCTCGGGTGCAAGGGTCACAATGCTCACCCCCTCTAATGTCCCGTAGGTAGACAGGAGCTCTGCAAATCCTTTATTACTGAATGAGCGCAAGTAATGCTCAGGGTGAGCGCCCTTCTTCTCCCGACTGATGTATGGCCCCTCCAGATGGATACCTGTCCAGTATCGAAAGAGAATAAAAAATAAAAAAACCACAACTAAATAATAGATAAACAATCCTCTTTTCATAGACCCTAAAATATTGAAATAAGACAGATTTGCTGTGATTAAAAACGCAATGTGGACACAGAGAGAGGGACAAGGAGAATCTGATTATGGAAATTGCAGTTCTGCTGTCTAAGTCATCAAACTCATTTGAACTATTTTACTTTTAAAAAAAAACAAAAAAACATAAGATATCTTTATGGATAAAAACTTCCCAAAATACAATTCCTAAATCGTGTTCAGTCTTAATGAATAAACATGTATTCTACTAGCCATGGGAGCAACAAGCGTCCAAAACAAAACATCTCCACCACGAGTTGTGGAGGAGGCGGCATTTTCCAAAAACTTACCAAGAACCCCGGCTCCTTCTTCTCCACCACCCCTCACGGATATCTGAGGAATAACCTGATAACACAAAGGAATATTAACGTCCTAATTTTTAAGTTAAACATCAAGTTCTATCAATTGACTTTTACATTTTATGACAACATTACTCTTTCTCTAAATCCTCATATTTACATCAATGAAAAATTTGCTGTGAATTATGCTTTTGCCATTTACGGAGTAACATGATCCCCCTCGATCTTGTTTTATTTTGAAACAACGAGCACATGTTGAAAATTCTGCTTTGCCGGCAATCTTTTTTTTTTGTTTTGTTTTTATTGTGCTGTCAAAACAATTTATCGCCATAGGTGTTAGGGGGCAGATTTAGGGGCTCTTCAGCCTGGGATCCCTTGAGGTGGCAGGCTACTAGTGATTTAATCTTTTGATATCAGGTGTCTGCTAATGAAAGAATTACAACAGAGCTTCAGCACATTCTAATCAGCCACATTATTGCTCTAGTAACGAGTATTACTGCTAATGTGAGATAAGGATAGAGATAAAAATGGTGAAAGGAGATGGCTTATGGAGAAAAGCCAAACAGCCCCTGTCTAAAAACCACTCTGACCACGATTCCCACCAGCAAATAACAGCTAAATAATACCCTATCTATACCAAGCTTGGCTCTCACATCTTACCTTGTGATAGACATACGGGGGAGAAGTCACCAGGGTGGGACAGAAAGATGTCACACCATGAGAAAGTATCTTTCTGCCAACTAGTGATATACCATGCATTACATCTTCCGTCGCTTGGGAAAAATCGACACCAAAGCCACCTATATGATTAAAAACCGAGGGAAAAATAAACAGGAAAGTGTGAAACAATTGAATAATCCTATTTCCTGTTGGATCTTGTACAGATCCATGATTTCATCATGATTTCGGTGCATGTACAATATAAGGAGGCTTCATACCGTTGATCTGGGTATCAATGAATCCCGGAGCAATAATTCTCCCCTTACAGTCTATCTGGACATCGGCTGATGCTTTCTCATCAAAAAACAGTTTTTCAGGGTTCAGGATCTTCCCCTGCCGCACCCAAAGATCTTCTCTATAGGATCCAGGGAATATTTAGACATACAATGATAAAATAAAGTGCTATGAATCCTGTCCTTCTCACATAAAAACACACAGGCAACTAAACTCATACACCTCACTTTAACATAATGTGTAGTCTAACAGGGTTATTCAAAGTGAGAATTGTTTGGAATTCAAAGTGAATTTAAATTATTAAGGAACACTCTAATGTTAGAAATATAACTATTAGCAATAACAGTGTTTTCCTAACTATTTAGATTTATAAGACACCCTTAAATAGTTAAAGAGTTTAAATTAGTTACCTTTAGTCCCCCCGGCACACTGGTCTTGACACGGTTCCTGCTCCTCTCTTGGCAGAGATAATCATTACAGATGATCTCAACCAATCTAGCGTTTCCACATAGGGGTGCATTGGGGGCTAATGTGCATGCGCAGCAATAGCCACATTGCACCGATCAGCATCTCCTAGAGACACACTGAGCTTAACATAGAGCATTTTAATCATAAACTCTAAACAATTCCCTAACTGCACCAGGAAATGGAAGATCCACCTTTGCCAATGTGGGGTGTCCCACTTTAACTAATGGAAAAAGCAATGCACATAATCATGGCTTGAACAAAGCCCTTATGGCTTTATTACACAGATACATGCAGCACTTATCTATGTTCACCACATGAAAAGTGATACCTTGAAGTATGCAGCATTTATATGGTGCAGGAGCAAGTCAAATTAACTCAAGTGTTTCCTCCTTTGATTAGATCCCACAATTCCTCCTTGATTCTTTTACAGATTGCAATATTGTGACATTTACATACCTACTACTGAGCAACACTTCTAACCATAAACATTTTTCTCCAGAAAAAAAAAGCATGTTGGATCTAGCAACCTTAGAGTACAGTCACCCAAGCCTATATAAGACAATAGAAGGCTAAGGCTTTCTTTTTACCTTATTTTTGTACAATTACAGTACAAAAACAGTTATTCTAACATTGTTTACATATCTTAATGCTGCTAAATATAATGCCTGTGTATCTTTTGGAGTTGCTGACTGGTTGAAATTCAGAATCAGGTGCACAGAATCCTTACTGTAACAAATGACTTCATTTTTAAATATTTAACAATATAAACTATTCTTTATAATGTTCCTTACCACATCTGTGTGTACAGGGCACTTAATGCAACTAATACAAAGTCAGGCAGTGTATGAGACATCACTCCCAGAGTAATTCTGGAATCTTTACACACATCTCTCACATTCACAATACACTACCAAGGTCCATATATCATATTAGCACCCACCACACTCACCTCTGTAGCTCATGGTCTCTCAAGATGGTGCAGTTAATAAACTGGGTGATGGGGGCATCAGACACAGACTTGTTTGAGGGCATCTCCCCCACTTACACTGATCAATTTATTTTATTTGAACCCTTATGTCAACTTGCCCAGATTGTCAGTCCTGCCCATAGTGCTTCATACCCAGCACTGTTAGCTATCCTCAGTCACATGAGAGAGAAGGCCGGTCAGGTGATAGGATTTCCTTTGCCCAGTCACGTGACAGCAGCAGCCGCCATCTTGTAAAAAATTGTGACAGTCTGCCATCGCCATCTTGGGAAGGTCATTGCTGAGCTGGCATTCCATAACACATTATATTGTGTATGGAATTCAGTGAATTTGAGACAGTTTTTTTTCAATTGAAATGTACAGATGTTTCTTTGCATCTGTGTATTGTAATATTATTTTGTACTTATTTCAGTGAATTTGAGACCATTTTTTTTCACATCTAAAATGTACAGATGTTTATTGCTTTATACCACACTACAACCCTTAGTTACCTTTGGAGTTATAATAATGACTCAATTATTAACAAAAAAAAGACTCTCCAGGTTATTCATTACAGTGTGACTTGTTAGGAATTCTAAGTAAATAAAAGTTAATTCCAACTTTTAGACCAAATTACCAAAAGTGAAAACCTAGAGGACATGGACATTTTGTTTCTAGCTTGGCCTAAAATGTTAAACTCACTCAGAGAATTCCTCACAATTCACATTTCAGTGAATAACCCCACTGGATAGAGTGCTCAATCTGCACAATAATACACTAAAATGGGTAAAAATGCATGCAACCCACAATATATATCACACCTGAAATACAGGTACCTTGTGAGAATATGATATTATTGAGTGCATTAAATGTTATTATCAACATATAGGCAGCATATTAATGCACGCGCTAATCAAGAACGTGTTTTTTTTTTTTATCAGGAAATTAAATGCATGCGGAGAAAGTCTTGTTCGTTGGGTAAAGGTCAATTATGGCAGCTGAGTCATAGATAGACCTTGATTAAATTGCTGTTGTGATTGTGAAGTGAAAGGCATAAACAAAAGCTATAATTATTATTTTATTATTTATATAGCGCCATCAGATTCCGTAGCGCTGTACAATGGGTAGCTATGATTGTTACTGACAGAGAAATAGTTGTTATTTTTAATTTAAATAATGTGGAGAAATGAGTCAAATGGAGGTTTTGTTTAAAGGACCACTCTAGGCACCCAGACCACTTCAGCTTAATGAAGTGGTCTGGGTGCCAGGTCCTTCTAGGGTTAACCCATTTTTTCATAATTATAGCAGTTTCAAAGAAACTGCTATAATTATGAATGGGTTAAGCCTTCCCCCTAATCCTCTAGTGGCTGTCTCATTGACAGCCACATAGAAACAAGTGCTGTGATTTTCACATTGAAGTATAGCGTCATAGAAGCGTGTAAATGCTTTCTATGAATTCCCGGCGATCTTGTGGCGCGGCCTCTTGTAGCGTGCGCATTCAGCCGGCGGGGCGTAACGGAGGCGGAGAGGAGGAGGAGAGCTCTCCGCCCAGCGCTGGAAAAAGGTAAGTTTTTACCCCTTTCCCCTTCCAGAGCCGGGCGGGAGGGGGACCCTGAGGGTGGGGGCACCCTCAGGGCACTATAGTGCCAGGAAAACGAGTATGTTTTCCTGGCACTATAGTGGTCCTTTAATACACTTACATTCAAACATTATGCTTGCTAAACCTTTAACTGTTGTAGATCCGGTGAGTCTATCACAATTCGAGACGTGTGGCACGCCATCCTGGATTTTTTTTTCCGACAGATTCTCTACAAAATGGGAGATATTCCTTAAAGAGCACATTAAAGGGTTACTCCAATCACCATAACCAGTACAGCTTGCTGCATTGGTGGAGGCTGAGTCCCACCTCCACCAGCCCATGTGAAGCGTTGCAAAGTAAAACACTGCACATACTGTCTCCAGACACCATAACCACTTAAACAACAGGAAAGGGCAATGTAAAGTAAGCGAATTAAAGAGCTACATGACTCCATAATTTTTCTTGGAAATTGTAAGCGTACCTAAAATGAAAAATTCCATATTTTCACACATTAAGCTGTGGTTATACAAAGGTCTTCAAGGCGAATCTGTTACTTTGAGGGCTTTCTGAAAAATATAGCCGCAGGGTGCAGTAGGTTTACTTACCTGAAATTAACCCCGGCGGCAGCCGTGGTGCTCTTTTACGTGAAGGTCTTCTTCAGCTCCTAGCATTTCATTTGCTAAGCGCAGCGAGTACAACACCAAAATCTAAGGAAGATCCAGTGGGAGCCTCCATAGATGCATACCTCCCAAGTGGCCCTATTTAGGAGGGACAGTCTCTATTTCGGGCCCATATTTCTGTCCCTCTTTTCTAGGAGCTCCATATTGTTGGTGTCTCTGAGTGTATAACAGAGCTCAACAGCAATAATACTCCCAGCAATGTGTCTAAACTACGATAAATGTGTTTAGAAACCAGTCTGAGTAAATAAGATACACAGTGTTTGCTCTAAATAACATTTTAGTTGTATGAATAGTTATTAGTAAGTCACTTAAACATCTCTTAACCCACACCCACAGCCTAAAATTAATGGCCTTTGTCCATTTGAAATGTTGGGTGGTATGTAGATGACCTCTTGCAATGAGCAAAATTATTCCTGGATCACACAGTAGTTCCTATTTTGTCTTTCATTGAAATTCGAACACACTCAGCATTTCATAACGATGCATTATAAAATACAGAGAGGTGACAGGCGCATTAAACTGAAATTACAGCGCCATCTAGTGGCATCAAATTCAAACTGATCTGGAAAATTCTCCGATAGTCAAGGCATGGCACTTTAGACTAAATTTTGAATTTGTGAACTCTGCAATTATTTAATTATTTAAATAACGTTAATCAACACCCAATTTTAGAAGAGAAAAAAATATATACTTTCAGGAGAAAGGAACTGTTTTGAGTACTGGTGGAATTAAAATCATGTATGAAATATGTGACCATGAAATCTGTCACTCTTACAAGGTTATTTACTTATTTTATTATTTATATAGTGCCAGCAAATTCTGTAGCGCTGTACACCTATGTGAGAATTGTCGTTATTCATAGTGAATTTAAAATTTTAGACCAAAATAGACATCCTGGAATTATAGCAGACTTGAAGAATGTTTCCATGTCAGCTATTTTGGCCCAGATTTCAAATTCACTTTGAATTTCCAACAATTATCACAAAAATAACCCTTTTAAATTTTCACTCATAGATTGTGAATTCGAGTTACTTCAATGCAACAGAAAATTAAATACTTAAATGAACACTATAGTGTCAGGGATACAAATATGTACTACTGACAATATAGCGCTAAAATCACCATTTAGGTGCCCAGATCCCTTGCCCTTCTTTAAAAAGGTGATTCACTCACCTTTTTCCGTCACGCAGGTCTCCAAGTGGCTGGTTCCACTCTGAACTTGATGATCTCAGCCAATCCAGTGGAAAGCATTGGGAGGCTATTACATATGCATGCATGGCATAATCAGCATCTCCTCATAGGGATACATTGAATCAATGCACCTCCATGCACAGCATGGAGACACTGAATGCCTGTGCTGCACTGACCCAAGAAGCACCTATTATGGCCTCCTGAGTGGCTTCCACTAGAGTTGTTACTAAGCAGCAATGTAAACACTGCCTTTTCTCTGAAAAGGCAGTGTTTACATTAAAATGCCTGCCATGACAGACAGAGGACACAAGAACAGCTACATTAAGCTGTAGTTCTGGTGACTATAGTGTTTCACTTCATGGGACACACTGGGCACCAATACAGCTTTAATGCCGATGGTTTGGCCTCATTAATATGAGATTTTATGTGCATGTTCAAAACTTCAGCCTGGTTGTGAATTAAAGCAGCTCACTCAGTACTGACAGCGGTTGAGCTGCGTACATACATTTCATAACTAAGTCTTTTTCAGGCATAAGAATTTTGTGCAACGCTGTACACTTAAAAAAAAAAAAAAAAAAAAAAAAAGGTTTTTTTTTTTTTTAATACAGCATATTAATGATGCTAAGCCCTAATAAAGTTGTATTGGTGTCAGGTACGATTCTTTAGTTTTTCAGCACTTATATTCACAAAGCTACAGAGCGGATGGATTCATTGATCTCTGAGCCAGTGAAAAATCCAACTGGTCCTTCTTTGCACCAAAATAGTTGCCAGTACATGAACTGTATACATAAAGTACTTATCCCCCCCAAAGGGACTTTCCCTCCCACCCCCGTGTTAAAATCCCTTCAGTGACTTACCTGAATCCAGCGCTGATGTTCTCGGGGCTGGCTCAAGCTCTGCCCATGCTCCTCCCTTGCCAACATCAGCCGGCGGGGGAGTCCTAATGTGCAGCAAAAGCCGTGCACGCACATTAGATCTCCCCATAGGAAAGCATTATTCAATGCTTTCCTATGGGTATTCCAGCGATGCTGGAGGTCCTCATGCACGTCTTTTAAAACACTTTTCGTGTTCTAAAAACACGGAAGACCCTCTAGCGGCTGTCTGATAGACACCACTAGACGAGGACTTTACCCTGCAAGGTAATTATTGCATTACACTTGCAGGGTTAAGGGTGGTGGGAGTTGGCACCCAGACAACTCCAATTGACAGAAGTGGTCTGGGTGCCTGGAGTGTCCCTTTAAGTTTTCAGAAAATACATAAGGAACAGTGGAGGACCACTCTTCCTCATGTATAGCAGTCAGTTGCCAAAACTGGACATAGCAAGGATCTATTTCAGCTGCCATAATTTACCTATAATCCTTGATAAAATCAATCCCACGGAACAGCAAACATCATGGGCAGAGAAGGAAATGTCTGTTTCCAGATACTGAGATCCAGCACAAGGAGGAAATGATAATATAAATAATGGCAAGTGGCAAAGATGGGAGTATAACCATTAAAGGGACACTAGTTATTGGGGCAAACTAGATGGCCTGAATGTTTCTATAGGCACCCAGACTACTTCATCTCATTGAAGTGGTCTGGGTGCAGTGTGCCAGATGCTTTAAGCCTGCAACTGAAAACATTGCAATGCAAGAGTTTGCAAAGGCTGCAGTTCAGAACAACTTTGGATTTTTCACGCTCTTTTAATAACTATGTTTTCTTTTGTTTTGTCCAGGAATAAAGTGGAGTGGTCTTTTAATGTAACAATCTAGACCAGTGATGGCTAACCGTGACACCATAAATTGTTTGACTACATTTCCCATGATGCTCAGCTAGCTTTTAGAGTCTAAAAGCTATTTGAGCATTAAAGGGACACTATAGTCACCTGAACAACTTGAGCTTAATGAAGCAGTTTTGGTGTATAGAACATGCCCCTGCAGCCTTACTGCTCAATCCTCTGCCATTTAGGAGTTAAATCCCTTTGTTTATGAACCCTAGTCACACCTCCCTGCATGTGACTTGCACAGCCTTCCATAAACACTTCCTGTAAAGAGAGCCCAATTTAGGCTTTCTTTATTGCAGGTTCTGTTTAATTAAGATTTTCTTATCCACTGCTATGTTAATAGCTTGCTAGACCCTGCAAGAACCTCCTGTATGTGATTAAAGTTCAATTTAGAGATTGAGATACAATTATTTAAGGTAAATTACATCTATTTAAAGTGAAACCAGTTTTTTTTTCCCATGCAGGCTCTGTCAATCATAGCCAGGGAAGGTGTGGCTAGGGCTGCATAAACAGAAACAAAGTAATTTAACTCCTAAATGACAGTGAATTGAGCAGTGAAATTGCAAGGGAATGATCTATACACTAAAACTGCTTTATTTAGCTAAAGTAATTTAGGTGACTATAGTGTTCCTTTAAGGGAATTTTAGTCAATTTATGGTGTCACGTTAGCCATCACTGATCTAGACCTTACTCTACTGGTTCCAAGTATACACCAAAAGGACAGACTACAGCAGAGGGGAATTATTTAAAACCTGAACACACTGCAGGCACCATAACCACTGCCTCACAGAATTTATTATAATGTCTGGATTCTCTGGCACTGTCCTACCCTTCAGCATTAAACTTTTTTTTTTTTTTTTTTTTTAATGCTAAACAAGAGTTCACTCGCAACCTGTCCCCTCTACTGCTTGTGTTAATCATGCATTAGCCTTAGGATCAATGCTGCGAGGAGCTGAATGTGGTCAGGGTTATGGGAATACAGGGTCACTGTTATATATCGTTTACCATGGAATAGAGATACAGAGCCAGGGGACTAGATGCACTATTACCAATTCAAAAAGGTAAAGTTTAGGGGCTAGTTTCCCTAATATTGACAAATTTTATTTGCAAACCTCTCCTGCCTCCAACTGAATGCATTGCCACGTCTGTGATAGAGTCCAAATCAGTTACCCAACATAACTCCTACTCTGCCGCTTCAAGTTTTGCTGGTCTGTGTAGCTCACAGAAAGGCAGCTTGTGGTCCTCCTTCAGCACTCCTGTTTGCAGATCAGTTTTCCATGTTGATTGCTATATTTTGCTTTTAGTGGTCCGAACAGAGATGGAACCCATTTACCAGTTTCCGCAACTTCTCTGGATGCTCTTCACTTTACACAATTTCCTCCTTTTATACAACATTCATCCCGGCACAGAACAAGACTTTCAAAAGGTGAAAAGAAGTCCAAATGTAAACATTTAGCCATACGTGAAGGGTCTTTTTATAAGCTGCAAAGCCCCACATCTAATGTAATGATCACAAAGCCAGGACATGATGCCAAGAATGGCAGTGTTAACTTTCCATAGCACTGCTACTACTACTGTAGCAGCCAAAAATGAAATGTCAACTCTCAAATACAAATCAAGGTTTCTTCTACAGCCAGTTATAAATGCTGGCTAGAAAAGTGACGTCAAGGAGCACACCCAAACCACAGTAATCTTCACTCATAGCACCTAGAAAATGAGAATGATTTTGTAAATAGGCAATGAGGCCACTGGATAACTGTCAGATTCAGTGTAGACCAAAAAAATTAAGATACAAAGATCTAGTCAACTTTAAACTGGATAAGTGTTCTACATCATTTCATGGTCATTTATTTATAAATGCTTAAAGTGTACCTACAATATTACATTGGTCTAGAACCTTGTATCACATTAACTGCAAGAGCTGGCTGATAACCTCAACACCGACAAGACACAGCCAGCTGTGCACTAAAGCAGAGTAGGTACCTGCATACCCAGCCATCAAGTGCCTACCCTGCACAAGTTAGTTTCTGTGGAGGAAAAGAAAAAAGTTTAAGGATGTCTTCTCATGATCTTCAAGCAGTGCCCTTGCATGTCGTGCAATGATGCCTGGGTTGACTTCTCTGGCCCCTGGCATCATTCACAGCTCACAAGGACGGTTATACGTGACCCACACCTCTCCCAAAGGTAGGGATGCTGGATGGGTTTAAAAATACATTTGTGAAAGGGTTTTCGTTGGGGTCTGAGTTAGTGCAATGTATGTAACTTGTGTTTATATTTTCCATTTTGTGACCTTTATATTTCAGATCACAATATTCACATTGTTTAAAAAAAAAAATATTCTTTACTATATTTAATAAGTCTTCTCCAACATGGGATTAACAGGAGAGAATCTAGTCACCATAACTACAACTTAATGTAGCAGATTGTGTCTAAAGCCTGTCTCTGCTGGCTTTTCAGAGAGCAGGCAGATCTCTAGTGGCAGTCAGAGTTGCTTCCTAATACAGTGCTCTGCATGAAGAGGCTGAACACTCCCCACGGATGCACAATAGCCTCCCAATGTTTCCTACAGGAAAGCAAATTGAGATTGTCAAGTGTGACGACCTCAGTCATGGGTGTAGAGCAAAGTGGGACCTGATAAAAATGTGAGGAAAACCTCCCACCTTTATTTAAAAAAAAAAAAAAACACACAAAAAAAAGAAAACCTATTTTACCGCTACAATGTCTGGAATACATGTTTGTGTTCTTGACAATAGTGTCGTTTTAAGTACAAGTGCCTAAACATTTAATTTTGAATTTAAACAGAAATTACTTGAGGCAGGGGTACTTTTTTGTAAGACCTGCACAGGTCTTTCGCCATAAAAATATTTACAACCGGTCTAGAACAGAGATGGGTAACCTTTGCCACTCCAGATGTTGTGGAGTGCATCCCCATAATGCTGGCAAAGAATCATGGGAGGTGTAGTCCAAAACATCTGCAGTGCCAAAGGTTGCCTATGCCTGATCTAGAACATACATAAATCTAGCTGCAAAGCTGTGTGCGAAAGGGTATTGACATGGGAGCCATACAATTCTGGTTAGAAATAAAAGAGCGCAAATGTATTGGAGATGTTTTATTTGGAAATATGTAACCAATACCCAGTAGCGGGTGTGCACCTTACCATACACGTCAAGGTTTTGCTTTTTAAAATGTTCTGGTTACCAGTTTACACGGACGGGAATAAGTTTTCCTTGTATTAAAACAAGAAAAAAAAAAAAAATAGAACAAAAATATATATATACTCCAATGTCAGAACAGTACAATCTTTAACCAAATTACATCCAGGAAATTCAGTACTTACAAGGAAACCCCACAGATACACAGCTAAAGATTAAATACATACGCAGCAAAATAGACTGGAATAAGTTAGGAGAGGAAATAACAGCTCATTTCAAAGTATGAACCACAATTTTCTTTATATTTATAAATAAAACATTGAGTGGAGGGGAAATTACAATTCTAGATCATTTATACATTGTACTCGTTAGGAAACATCCAGAAGTGAGATGGGAAAAAAAAAAAAATACAAATAAACTGCACGCAGAAAAGGAAAATCATGTGAGCGTTGCAGGAATGACTGCGTCCAGTCCACAAGCCTGGTGTCAGGACTTTATAGCCTGAAGTCCAACTGTAGGGTATAGCTAAAGGATTACACACAAGTCACTAACTTACAATGGCGCAGGTACCGATTCAGGGGGTTAGAGAAACTACTGAATTGGGGAAGGTGAAGAATGACTGTACACATGAGATAAAACCATTATTTGTAAGAGGCTTCCAGAGATTTGGAATCTGGATGAGATCTTCATTGTGTGGAGAGGATAAGGGCCACAATCAGACCGTAGAGACCCAAGACTTCAGCAAAAATGAGGATGAGGATCATGCCCACAAATAGTCGTGGCTGCTGTGCTGTCCCTCGCACACCCGCGTCTCCAACAATGCCGATGGCAAAGCCTGCAGCTAAACCACTCAGGCCTACACTCAAACCGGCACCCAGCTGTAAAAAGCTCCTGTAGAGAGAAAGAAACTTTATTTGGATAGAATGGTAGTGCACAGGCTAGATTGCTGACAGAAAATACAAATTTAAACTTGCAAGAAGTTCTATACTTAAAATTACTTTATATTTGAGCAGACAAGTCTCTTTAGAAAAAGAATGTTAAACCCCCCACCCACCTTTAGTTATTTTAAAAGGTGTTGCAATAAAAATGTTACAAATTTACAAAACATACAAAATGTATCCTTTTTTCGTGCCAACAGTAACCCCCTGCAGCACCCCACTGTCACATGACAACACTGGTCAACTCCAGTTCTTTTCATAGATCAACATTGTGAACCTAAAGGAAAGCTCATGTGAGTTAACCACCTCGATGTACCAAACAAAAAGCTTCTCAGAATCAATGACTGCAATGCTTCTATGGAAACCAGAAATTACCAACGAAGGCATGTGCGCACACTTACAAGAGGCAAGCTAAGGGACAACTTGGTCTGCCACTTTGTTCTAAGCTACTTTACATTGATATTCAGCACCACATTGTCTACAGTGCAGAATGCTAAAATCACAGGAACTTGCACAGCACCTAGAAGGCCATACAAGTCCTTCAAAGTCAGTACAAACAAGTCACCAGTGACCGATATGAGAAGCTTACATTTGGTTATATCTAATTTAATGAAATTCCCTCCCACACAGCTACACTCCAGGGCTTGACGGATTTTCTTGTAATCTAGAAGCCAGCTAAAGGAAAAGTTAGGAGTCAGGTTTTTCAACAAAAACCTGTTCTTTAAAAGGGACACTAACCAGAACCACTACAGTTTAATGTAGTTCTGAAGTCTCTTGCCTCTCCCTGCACACTTTAATGTACAAAACTGCCTTTTTTTTAGAGGAAAAAAAAACAAAAAAACACAAACAAAAAGTCTATCCAGCCTCCTTTGGGACAGCTCGAATGGATAGTTTTCCCTTGCTCTACTCCCTTGTGCCATTTAGTGATGCCGGGGTTGGAGTGATGTTATAATCCAGCTCCTGGCATCACTGTAGGAAGGTTACAGCTAGATGCCTCTGCCCTGCTAAAAGCCTGCCTCAGCCCTCCATGAGCTGCCAATGTATTCAAACATTAATACAAATGTCCAAGTCTAGCAACAATTACTTACTTGTATAGTGTGATATCTTGATTAAGAGAATTTGCAATGAGTACTGCCACTACTAGGCCATAAATTGCTATGATACCAGCCATGACAACTGGAATAATGGATTTCATGATCAGCTCAGGCCTCATGACGGACATCGCTGCAATACCGGTACCACTCTTCGCCGTTCCATATGCAGCTCCCAGGGCTAATGAGAAAGAAAAGTGTGGAGTTAATAAAATACAAACCAATGTCTGAGTATCATTATCTACCATTTCTTTCAACAGGTGCCCAGCGACTAACACAGCCATCACCAGAAAAGTGATTCATGGCCAGCAATGCAGAATTCCAGAGACCAGCTGAGGGGGGGAGGGAAGAGGAATTCACCTGCTGGACAACTATCCATTTATCCTGAATTAAAAAGACCAAATGCAGCCTACAATATAAGCCATCGTTAAAGAACTACTATTTCCACTGCATCTGAGGGTTGTTTGTTCCCCCCACACACATACAGAGACATGCTTATGGTGGTGAGTACAGTAAATAAATCAGCCACAGCAACATATCTAGGTGTTGGTATGGATCACTCCAATTATTTACCAAGGGCACATGTTTAGGCATGTTACCTTAACGTTGGGCCATGTGCAAGACAGACATGCGTCCAGTACACCAAGCATACCCATGGGCGATTTCCATTGTAGTCTAAATTACACATTGACAATCAAATGCAAAGAGATCCTAAATAGAACAAGTGTCACATGAAGGGGGGACATTTAGTAACCACTAGTAAATTGAAGGCCTTCATAGATACAACAGAAAGCCATGTATACCCCACCATACCCACTACATTCTAGGACTTTCAGAAACAGTGTACTGAAGTACTGTTTCACACAGAATTTAGATTGCAACAATTCTTCCAACAGTTTTACACCTGTGTACAGCAGCGTTGGACTTCACAGGTTGTTCTTGAACATATTTCACACAAGACAAAAATTACTTTACTGCGGGCTATTTAACTAGAAGGTTCAAGAAGTCCAACTTGGACTGTTTATTGCCTGCAGATGTTAACATCTGAAACAAAGCAGGTCCTCAAGGCACACCAGCAATCCAAGATTTAAATGTTACCCAAAACTGCTCCTACAAGGACACAAAATAATCTGGACAGTGCCAAATTAAATGGCACATGAGCAGGGCACTTTAATCAGAAAGCAAAACAAGCCAATCTAAAGCAAGACACCTAGGACACATCAAAACTGAAAGTTGATAGAACAGGACAAACCAGTAAGCCACAGGGGCTGGGTGGAAAGTTCTTTTGTGAAACTGTAGCACCAGAGTGGCAAAACAAGTTGTTACCTAATGCTCAGATTACACAAAACTGTAGTAAATATTTAAGCTCTGGCTTAAAAAAAAGAAATAAATAAATAAATCAGAAACTGTAACGCTGAAGAATGATGTATCGACCCGCAAGAGCGGAGACTGCTGAACCGGTCTGGATCTTACATCCCACAAATATATATGGACTCCTTTTACAGTAGATAACACATGCCATTGCCTGCTAAAGTTATGGCCCAATAACAGTACAATTATACAAGAGTTTAATAGTGGCAATATAGCATATGCAGCTTTTATTCTTTTGGGAATCTGCCATATATAGTATGAAGGTTATTGCCCTGCATTTAGTACTGTCTCTGGCAAGAAAGACTACATGTCTGAGGGAAGGAGAGGAAAAAACCCCAGAAAAAAAAACAAAACTTTACGAACCTTACGTCACAACGCTAATGTTTGATCTATAAATAGAAGGTGAAAGTCTGATGAAGCCATTTTGATAGTGAATTTTTCATATCTCAATAGAACAGTGCATCAAAACTGAGGGGGGATGGGTTAATTCCTTACCCTTTTCTCCAGCGCCGGCACTCCTCCCTCTTCTGAGGTCACCGGCTGAATGCGCGGCAAGAGCCGCGCACAGCCAGTCTCACAGGAAAGCATTATCAATGCTCTCCTATGGACGCTGGAGTCCTCGTCTTCTCTGTGAAAAATCAGTGAGAAGCGCCTCCAGCGGCTGTCAATGAGAGACACTAGAGGCTGGATTAACCCATAGGTTAACATAGCAGGTTCTCTGAAACTGCTATGTTTATAGCAAAGAGGGTTAAACCTATATGGACCTGGCACCCAGACCACTTAATTAAGCTGAAGTGGTCTGGGTGCCTATAGTGATCCTTTAAAGATGTGGTAAGTGACTGCATAATCCACTTCAGACAAGGCAAAGCAGGGGCAATTATTGCAATTTTGAGGGAGAACAGAAATGGTTTAATTTATATTTGCCAGGTGCCAAGGACATGTTATAACCGTGCTTGACAGCCAAAAGGGGAGTATTTTTACATTGAAATTTTATGTTTCGAGCCTCAAATACACAAGTTAAATAGAGGGATACCGGTATATTAATCCTGGGAAGTGACAGCTCCCTTGAAGGAGTCTGCAAGAAAAATTCAGTTTAAGTAAGATATTCGGAGTTTAACATGGGCAAGGTAAACACGAGTATATTCCAAGCTGTCCGTTTCAGAATAGGCGTGAGGGGTGACATTAGGGTCAGTCTGATCTGAGCACTGCTCTAGTCACTGAAGATGTTCTTGATTAGCTAGATTTGGTCAATTTAAGATATCTAGGGGAATATACCTGTGCACAGAATGCTCCGTCACGGTTGAATCTAGTTATAACTGATTATGTATGAAATTTAGATCTAGTTTTTATATTGTATTTTTGCAATAATGCAACGGTGTGGACAAAGACCCAGGACATACTTGAAAACGAGAGAAATCTCAATGGATCTATCCTGGTAAACTATTTTATAAAATATCAAAGTTTGGTTCCAATCATGGTCAGAGTCTCTAAGAAAAAAAAAAAAAGCCTACAGTATGACAAATCTCAAAACATGCATATTTGTCTACAGTTTTAGATTAAAACCATTAATACTCAAGTGGATTTTGAATGACAAGGTTGTGTATTCTGCAGTTTTGCAACACTATCATGTCAATGTTAACGTTATTCCAGGAATGCAAGTCAGCAAGAAAAACAGTTACACAACTAGCTCTGCAGTTCTTAAATGTTTCAAGTGAGAAGCAGGATAAAAACTTGCAACACTGCAGTGCCTGATCGCCAGAGAATCAGGAAGTAGAAAAACTAGTATTACACCATAGACCGCCATTTGTATCACTAGTAGGTACTCTACAGAGAGTCTGAAGGAAGCCACGATTGACCCAGAACATTAATAGTCTAGCACCTTTGCTAGATTAACGGACCACTATAGGCACCCAGACCACTTCAGCTCAATGAATTGGTCTGGGTGCCAGGTCCCTCTAGGATTAACCCAGCAGTTTCAAAGAAACTGCTATGTTTACACTAGGGTTAATCCAGCCTCTAGTGGTTGTCTCATTGACCCCCGCTAGAAGCGGTTCTCAATGAAAAATAAAAAATTAAGTGATACGATGCGGATGTACATAGGAGAGCATTGAGTAATGCTTTCCTATGGACTGATTGAATGCACGCGTGGCTCTTGCCAGGCATGTGCCTTCAGCGCTGACGTCGGAAGAGGGATGAGAGTTCCCCAGTGCCAAGGGAGCCCGGCGCTGGAGAAAGGCAAGTGTTTAACTCCTTCAGCCCGGCGAGAGTGGGAGGGACCTAAGGACCTAAAGTGCATGAAAAAAACCAAAAAAAAAACCAAAGTGTTTTTCTGGCACTATAGTGGTCCTTTAAGGACAACCAAGTAGAAATTCTATGACAACTAAGAAGATTAAAAAAAAAAGTTGTATAAAGTTCCTCCATAGATGTTGCTAGTTCAGTATGGTATTCACTTCTCAAATTTGCATTCAAGCACCACCTCTACAGTTACCACCTGCACATTTACTGCAAGGACCAGGAAGTAACCAAGATATTAGACTCCTGCACTACTAGAACGGTACTATTTTTTTGATTGATTCTCGGCAAAACAGGCTTAAAGAGGAATGACTTGCCAATTAAAAAACCCTTCAAGTAACTTGCAATACACAATTGGCAGCTCCACAGTTAGACTAGCTGTTCAGAGGTCAAGAAAAAAAAAAGAAATATGCTGGAGGAGTGTCATTTCACAGTTTGTCGTCAATTCCAAGACAGTTAAGGCATTTTCTTTTCAGAATCCATTGTAACACTATCAGGAATGTAAATTTGAGCTCCACTGTCGAAGCTGGAGGTTTTGCTGTAGGAATAGGTTAGGTCTGCAGTCTGTCGCTGGTATTGAAAGGATAAAGGTAATTTGAGGATCTCTGTGTAGGTTGACTTTAGCTATAAAGGTTGGAGCAAAGTACAAGTTTACATTACAATGCACACTCCTTCCTTGGAGGATGACATGTTAGGGAATGTTAATCACTGCAGTAATTCTGGAAATGGGGCAACAAGTGAAAAAAGGAAGCCGCGTTAAAAGGCAAACCTGGAGATAAGCATTATGGCCATTATGAATAATAGTCACAAAAGCCAAGATAGTGTGATTGTCTTAATGCGTTTTTGCATGTGTAAAAGGCTAGAACAGAGTAATCCCTAGAATGTAAAGTTTTTAAATGGCTTATTAAGACAAGAACCAAATGTAATGTGTTTTTTGGGCTAAACTATCCTAGTGATCAATGCAGACGGGAAGCTTTAAGACAGACTTGCTGACTTTCAAAAACCAACCTCAATTGGAACGGAGACCTTTTTTAAATCTAAAAAACACAAAGATTCAGCCACTAGTTAAGATATGTATTTATTAAAGGGATACTAGTCACCAACACAACTTTAGCTTAATTAATCCATTTTGGTGTATAGATCATGCCCCTGCAGTTTCACTGCTCAATTCTGTCATTTAGGAGTTAAATCACAGTTTATGCAGCCATAGCCACACCTTCCTGCATATGACTTCCTAAACACTTCCTGGATAGAGTCATCTAATGTTCACTTTACTGCAAATCCTATTTAATTGTGTATCGCCTGCTTTGTTAATAGCTTATTAGACCCTGCAGGAGTCATGTATTATTTAAGTTCACTTTACAGAGCAGGATATAAAAATGTGAAGTAAAAGCCTACGACATCCCCATGATTGACTGAGATCTGGGGCAGCTACTGGAGAGTAAAGAAAATAGTACAAAATGCCCTTATCTGAGCATCCCTTCAAGCAGTTCTGCAGTACACTGAAAGAACTGGTTACAGTGCACCCAGAATTAATCAGTCTAAGTTTACCAGTAATGTACAGAGTACCAGATTTTAGAGCAGGTGACAACATAATGTGGATATAGGTTCTGAGAGCAGAGTGTTTGCTATTGTAGTAGTGAAGTAAGGAGGGGGAGGAACCTTCAATATTGGATGCAGACAATTTAAAGGGACACTAGGCACCAAAACAACTTTAAGCAGTTTTTTTTTTTTAAATAAATGCCCCTGTTGTCAAACTGCTCTATTTCCTGCCATTTAGGAGTTAAATCACTGTTTATGCAGCCAGTCACAGCACAGCCTTCCTAAATACTTCCTGTAAAAAAAATAATAAAAAAAAAAATTTACACTTTATTGCAAATTCTGTAAAGTTTCTATTTGTATCTCCTGCTCTGTAAGTGACTTTCTAGAACATGCAGAAGCCTCCTGTATGTAATTAACAGAACAGGAGATCATTTACTTTTAAGTAAGTTAACATCTGATTGAAATATATAGTATCCCTTTAACAGTTGCCAATACTTGCACACTAGCTCCCTGCATCTTCCAGGAATGATCATTAACCAGTTACAAAAGTTACAGCAAAATTAAATATCAGGTCACAAATAAGTCATTTTGTTGCTTTCAGAAAAGCCTTTACAAATTTAATTTATGCCCACAGATCCAGGATGACCATGTGGATTTAAACCTGTTCAGCCTTTACACTGCATTCTTACAGAAAGAGGCTCCAATGGCATCTATGTGAACATCTGGATCACTGCAGTTTATCAGAGAATAGTTTAACTTAAAGGTTTCATTTTTAATGGTATACATAGAAAACTTTAAGTGACACTATAGTCACAACTAAAGCTTAAAGGACCACTATAGTGCCAGGAAAACACTCGTTTTCCTGGCACTATAGTGCCCTGAGGGTGCCCCCACCCTCAGGGACCCCCTCCCGCCCGGCTCTGGAAAGGGGAAAGGGTTAAAAACTTACCTTTTTCCAGCGCTGGGCGGGGAGCTCTCCTCCTCCGTTCCTCCTCCTGGGCTGAATGCGCATGCGCGGCAAGAGCTGCGCGCGCATTCAGCCCGTCGCATAGGAAAGCATTTACAATGCTTTCCTATGGACGCTTGCGTGCTCTCACTGTGAAAAATCACAGTGAGAAGCACGCAAGCGCCTCTAGTGGCTGTCAATGAGACAGCCACTAGAGGATTAGGGGGAAGGCTTAACCCATTCATAAACATAGCAGTTTCTCTGAAACTGCTATGTTTATAAAAAAATGGGTTAACCCTAGAAGGACCTGGCACCCAGACCACTTCATTAAGCTGAAGTGGTCTGGGTGCCTAGAGTGGTCCTTTAATGTAGTTCTGGTGAGTATAATCATTCCATGCAGGCATATTCATGCAAAAAAAAAAAATATATATTTTCAGAGAAAGGCAGTGTTTACATTGCCCTAGAGGGATACCTCCGGTGACCACTGGAGCAGTGCTGCACACTGCAATTCAGAGTCTCCATGGATACACTGCATTTTCCTCAGAGATGCATCTATACGAGAAGGTGCCAATTGTCCTACGAAAAAAAGCATTGAATTGCCTAGAAATAATACAGTCTGATGTCAGCAAGGAGGCGGATCGACACCGGGCCAACAGGTTTGTGTTCCTGACCATATAGTGTTCCTTTAAAGCTATGACAGTGTTGCCAATAAATTTAAAAAAAATAAAAGATTCAGCCCTGGAACTTTACTTTGACCAAAGAGCCTAAATGCAATCAGGTTTAAGCAGTAATGATGTGCTGCAAACCAGATCAATCAGAGTGCTATTTAGACAACATGCCATGCTGGTAGTAAACAGACCAAGAGAACACAAGGGCTGCCACTAAGTTCACATTACTATGCTTTCAGACTCAATTCTTTAAGATTACAAGACTAGATTTAAAATTCCCTTTCAACAAGAGCAAGATCTGCCAGTCATGGATCATTCTCCCACTGGTCAGTAATGTGAGCTATAACAAATCAAAGGGAGGTAAACAAGAAACAGCAATTTTGACACTTACCAAAATGCCACTTTTCCAGATTCACCAGAAATCAGCATTACCTTCAAAAGGCTGTCACATGGTCTTTGAGGTCTGCCTTTTCATGTACTAAGGCAAAAGCTATGGCCAAACTAGCTACTAGCATCTCCCGTGCCAGTTAAAGAGTCTGATTATTAAAGAGCATTTTCACCGAAAAGCAAACAATGTAGGACAGTCACGCCTATTATGGAAACCTGAAAACTCAAGACAGACAAAGTTCCATAAATTGATACACTGACTTTATTTAGAATATCCATGTCATTCCAAAAATGTATCAATTTGAATACATTGCTGAGGAGTGCAAAAACATTTGCTGGGATTAGGTTATGTACTGACAGTAGAAAATTATATGTATCCTATTCAGGCTCTTCGCAAACGGAATCAGCAGCGCCAGTTCCAAGGCTTCCAGGGATTGAGCGTTAGTACAGATACAGAGCAATCAGGCATCAACTTTAAATTAAAGTGTTTAAGCTATTCCATTAATTGCCCCCTTCAAGTAACCCAGCACTTTATGCTAGAAGTTCATTGTGATAGAAGTTTTGCTGCCTAGAGTGTCACTTTAAAGACTAGGTACAAGTCACTGCAGTCAAGATGCAGACTAATCCAAAACAGAATATTCCTACTGTTTTATTATTTGTCCACACCAGTAAGCCAACCTACAGATGATTTAATACATTTCATCTAGGCCACAATTCACCATCTGATTCAATTACCAATTTGTAATAAATTTTTTTTTTTTTTAAAGTACAAGTTAATATTTTGATAGGGAGGTGCAGTTGGAAGACCTGCTGCAAAAGCAGTCTATACCAAGTCAGGAAGCTTAGGTTTTCCCCCCAGTGACGCCTGCTAAGAATTTACGCTAATGTCAAGCCTTTAGAAGATAAGATGAAGCAGTTTGTTAACAAGTGCGGCAGATTCTCTGGGCTTCAATGGCTACATTTATAGCTGTACAGTTAGCTGACAGCACAAGGAATGTACAAGATTCAAGCATTGTGCATTAAAGATGTGAGATTCACACCATCTGCCAGGTGATTGTGAAGTAATATGGCTACAGACGGGCCAGAAAAACTGCAGGATGATAGAACTGCAAGAAACAGTCCAAAAATAGATCCATGCCACAAGTCATTGTGCAGATTTAGTGAGGACAGACAATCTTGCAGGAAGCAGTAGTAGAGGTAGATACATCTAAAGCCAATCATTACAAAAACACTGAAGGTCACATTGCCCTGATTCCTGCAGCATCCATCAACCCATGCTTGATCACACAAGTACAGCCTCAACTTCCACAATTACTTAAAACACGAGCAATAAAATGACCTCCAGCACACTGTCATCTATAGAACAATTGAAGTTTTATATTACCTTTTGCTGTAAACGCATGACCTTCCTCTAGAAGTGATCATGTGAAAAAAAAAAAATTTTTAACCACAAGACACTGGGAAAAGGGTTCAATTATACGTTACAGGGCAAACTATGAAATGTTCTAAGTTTAGGCATACAGGAAGTATTAAACTAAACAATTCAAATTAGATTTTTTTTTTTTAAATTGTATAATGTCAATTATAAACAAAATACTAGTTATGTTCAGATGGACCACAATGCTGTTTGAAGAGTCTGAAGGAAATGCATAGAACACACATCATCCTACAACTAGTATAGGAATGTCCACTATTAGCTTATGGTCAGTTTAAAACTGATGTAACAAGAGGATTTAAGAATGAATGGAGGGGGAAAAACCAAAATACATCTCTATAAAACCAAAAACCACCCAGTATATTCTGCTCAAGACAGTCTGGTCTGATAACTTCCTCTTATCCCATTTTTTTTACAACCTTAGGGTTTTTAACAGTAAAACATGGCTACATATCAGAAAGTCACGAGTCTGAACATTAACCCCTAAAGCTCATCCCAATACTACATGGATAGTAGTACTGATCCCAACCCCCATGCCATTCTTTCCTCTGCAGTCATGTGACTGCTCACCAGCTGCTGGGATCACCCAGTGACGTCAGCTCTCGGCGTCCCCCGTGGGCGATTCACAGATTCTCTCCCCCCCCATCCTTACTACAGCCCTGGAATACAGAGCATCCCGAGCGGCCGCTCACGGAAACAGCCGAAGCCGCTCGGCTCTGCAGGTAGAAACAGCAGCCATAGGAGAAGCCAGTGAACCGAAATGAGGAAGAAAGATGGCAGTATGGAGCCTGGTCACATGATCCACGGAATGAGGATCGGCCACCTAGAGACACCATCACCCCCAATAGCAGCCTAAAACCAAGGGCAATTTATAATATAATCTTATAGACATACAAACCGAGGACAATTTATAATATTGTCTTATAGACATACAAACCAAGGACAATTTATAATATAATCCACCTCCTATAGAGACATACAAACTGAGGATAATATAAACATAACAAGTCTAGAGTCAGGGAAAATGTACAGTATAAGCCATATACCTCCTATAGACAAACAAAGGACAATTTAGAAAAAAATATTCCCATATGCCTTCCTATAAAAACACATAGGAAGCAAGCCAAGGAATATCAACAATATAATCCATAACTATACACCTCCCATGATCAGACATTTCATACAAACCGCAGTTATAATTTAACACCCATTACCTCCCCTCCATACATCCTCATAGCAGCACACAAATAAACCAGCGATAATTCACACCATAACCCAGTACCCCTTATATACATTGCATGTCAGCCAGTGATAATTCAATATATATCCCATCTATTATATCCTTGCCATATCATACATTGCATGTCAGCCAGTGACAATTCACAATATATAACCCAGTATCCTTTATAGCATCCCCCATATCAGGCATTTAAATGTCAGCCAGTGAAAATTCACAGTGTATATACCCCCCATAGATAATACATTACATGTCAGTGATCTATCACAGTAAATCCCCCATATATAATACATTACATGTCAGTGAGAATTCACTCTATAATTCAGCACCCACCATACCCCATATAAACCAAGGACAGCTCACATCAGGAGCCAGTGACCATGGCAGCTCCTGACCCACAACTCTCATCATGCACAGCCAGCCTAAACCCCAATGCAAACCAGACACCCCCATTCTATATAAATATAAGCAGGAAACAATGTATAGCATTATCGATAGGAGGACACCCAGTTATTACAGATATCGGCTCTGTGGCCCTGAGAGACACGATATTGATTGATGGTTTAACCCCTTGCCCCCCAGCACTGGCTGCCAGGTTAGTTAACCCCCTGAGTGCCGGGGTGGGAGGGCCCGGCTATAGGCGGGTAATGGCGGACAGGGGGGTCTCACCGCTGAAGACCATGGCAGACGAGGCGCCCATGACGGCGAAGAAGGCGGAGTACTCGGGAGCGGCGGCCGTGCTAGACATCGTGTCCGGGAGAAGGTGCTCCTTTACACCAGCAGAGAGCGGGGCACAGAGTACGCGGAGCTGCGGGGGAGGTGGAGGATAGGGGGTCTTTCCGGGTGGGTATCCTGTCGGGGCGGCTGCTGCTCTCACACTGACGGGCTCGGAGGCTGCTCGACGCTCTAAATACCTCTTACCGCAGCACAAAATGGCCGCCGCGTCACGTGACGCCAACTCCCTCCCACCATTCGCTGACGGCGCCGAACGCCCCGCCCAGACCCCTGGCCATCAGATGGGACGTGCCACATGCACGACGGCATGGGGGGAGCCAGGGTTCACTCGATTGGGCGGTCAGGTCTATTATGAGGTCAAACACGGCGAAGATAAGCCATAGGGGAATGAGATAGTGTTTGTTGAGCCGGATTTGAGAGTATATATATATAAACGTGACAGGGATCATTCTCAGGATGAGTTGGTACAGTCCGCTTGGGTGTAGGAGACTGATGCGTCATTCTGGTTTCATTAACATAATGTAAATGGTGTGAGGCAGATCTGGTTCTGTCTAGGGAGATAAGCCTTCCCATAATATTTAATGTAAAGAATAAAGTGTTAAACAGAGTGCAGCCCAAAATAGACCCAGAATATAAAATTAATTAAAATAATGTCTGAAAAATGACAAGGTGGCCATTTAAAGGACATATTTAATAATAATAATGTGCGCATTGGGGTTTATGTAAATTTAAAACACAATTTATTAGAGAATTAACGAGGGAATTGCAAATTTAAGACCGATGTAGCCAAAACTGAAAAACAATTTTTTTTAAAAAGCTCGACTGCTTTATTCCACCTCTGCCTTACGTGTGCAAATCTTATGTCAATTCTCATAAATTCCCAGTTTGGTAAATTAACGAACCCTCCGCCAGGTTTATTTGCCAAACAGGGCGCCGACCTGAGGATTGCCAAAATTTGGGTGGAAATGGAAAAATTGGAAAGGTCTGGAAGTCAGCTAGTTTCTTTTGTTTTTTTTTCTTTCAACAGAGTTAGATATTTTTAATTATTATTATTGCCGTTTATATAGCGTCAGCAGATTCTGTAGTGCTTTACAATATTATGAGAGGGGGGGTGGGTAGAATTTAACTATAAATAGGACAATTACAAGAAAACTTATAGGAACGATAGGTTGAAGAGGACCCTGCTCAAATGAGCTTACAGTCTATAGTATAATTTGTTTTATGACCAACCCAGAATGTGTTTAACACATTAAACAAAAACGCAATCTCTACAATCACAATGTAGGCCTGGAATTTTAACATTTGTTTTTAAAGGATGACTGTCATCAGACTTTCACTTCTCACTTTTTTCAAGTTATTACATTTAATGAAACTTAATTATATATATATATATATATATATATATATATATATATATATATATATATATATATTAAATTATGTATACTGAAACTGAAATTCCTCGCTTTACCTGGCTAAGCGTTCATGTTGGGTCAGACTCTACTGTTATCTGACCAACTGCTGCTTAACCTAACTTGCCCGTTGCTGTGATAGTTCTATGAGAAACTGCAGCAGTAGGCAAGTTAGGCTGAGTGGTAGATTCTCAGATAACAATAGAATCTGGCCCAAAATGGCTGCTCAGCCAAATTGAAAAAAAGTGAAATTTTCTTTAAAAAAATAAGTTTATGCAATTTAAAAACAATATTAAGTTTAATTAAATGTAACAAACGTTTCAAAAACAAAAAGTGAATATTTGACGAGAGTTGTCCTTTAAATTTGCTATAAGCTCCCCCGTGTCATTGAAGCACCATTTATAAAGACACCATTCTCAGTTGTGAGGTTAGATTTAAGGAACATGTCCATCGCATTTCCAGGCTTCAAGTTTGGGGTTAGGCGACTGTCTGTGATGTACACAGTGAAACTCTATTCTACAAATCACGTGGATGAAAAGTTCCCCCTTTCAAGGTACATTCTAAGCTGACACCACCCACCTTCTGGACAGACATTAGCTCCTGTCCTACGCACACAACTGGAAAGAGAGATTTTTAACTTTCTTTTTATGTCCCATATCCGCCTTTATAACAGTGAGTTCCTGGAGTGTCCCTTTTGATAGGGGAGTCCTATTTACTTGATAGGAAATAAATTCACAATCATTTTTTTAAGTATTAATATTTCATACTTTTTGGATATTAGGTTAATATGAGTGTATTTATTTGTTGTTACAGCTGTTACAAGGTGAAAAAAATAAAGCGTTTAAAACATTTGACAGTATTTCAGACCAGTTTTCCTCAATGATTCTTATTAAATTCATGTTAGATTAATCCAGCCGAGTAATCAAAATAGCAACATTTTATCCAACAGGCACACATAAACATTATAGTTTCTTAGCAAATACCTGTAGATTCTGATATTAAAAACAGAAAGAAAATCTGCGCTTAAAAATTCTCAAAATGATATATGCATAAAAGCTGCTACCACACTTATGTGAGTTCCTCCCCAGCTACATACAGCATAAGATAATATGAACAAACGTACTAGGTGGTGATACTACCACCAGTGCACAGACTGCCTCATTCTTTAAAGTTGAAGTAGATTCTGAAGATGGCACCAGACAATATTAGCAGAAAAGTAAGTAAAGTAAGTAAATATGGACAAAGACAAATAGTACTTACAATAAAAACCATATATAATCGTCCGAAGGAAAAACCTTCTAACATGTTCATCCATTTCCTCAATAAAGTCTTCTTCCTCCTGAACGAATGAGGGATTATTTTAAAATCTAAGGCCTCTAGGGGTTATTTTTTCTTTTGTAAATTTTTCTAATGTTGCAATCTCTCATTTAATTTGAATCTCTCTCCCTAGTGCCCTTTCAAGTCTCCGTTGACAGTTTAGAATTTTAGATCCTGACTGTTATGGGGGATACTAAAATCCCAATCGTTAAATAATGTGTCTGTGTTTTTACCACATTTCGTCCTGATTTTGAATAGGGTAATTATTCACAATTAGCAGCAACACAGATACTATTAAGTACTATTTGTCTAATTGTCTTAATAAATATTTACTTACTTTTCTGCTAATATTGTCTGATGCCATCTTCAGAATCTACTGCAACTTCAATGAAGGGCAGTGTCACCCCCTAAGTGACATAAGGCTCCTAAACAAGGTGAGTGGTTTATCTATGTGATTATGCACACTTTATAGTCACTTTATATTGCCTGACATACTTCACTAGAGGCTGCCACTTTCCTCCGTTTTATTGTCTCCCCTTTGAGTGTATCCAACTTAAAGACAGAACAAGGACAGTGTCCCCATAGAACACATCTCCCAGGGTGATTTGAGCCTATCCCATTGGCTCTACACTTGTGATGTGTGTTACCATTTATCATTTTTCCACACTTTTTGATTTAAGACTTTATTGCACCATATAGCGCTCTCTTTTTGTATTGTAGGTTTCCTATGGTAACCCTTATTGTATGAGGGTAAGTGTACTGTTTTTCATATCCTTTTAGCGCTCCACTGTATGCACTGGTAGTATCACCACCTAGTACGTGTGTTCAGATTCTAATATTAACCAAGTAGCAGTCTAAATCATTAGAAATACTAACAAGATAGACAGACTACAGATTGAACAGCTCTAAGTGTAGAATGTTGGTTTACAACACAGAGCTAGGCAACCTTTAGCACTCCAGATGCTGTGGACTACATCTTCCCTGATATTTTGCCAGCATTATTGGTGTAAGAGCATTATGGGAGATGTAGTCCACAAACTCTGGAATGCTAAATGTTGCCTACCCCAACACTTTAGGTTTTGTCAGTATCCCCATTGCTATACAAAGTGCCTAAATCTTGGATTGCTTGTATGGTTTGAGGACTAAGGTTTGAACCACTGGTTTAGGTCATTGTGTCTCTGTCATTGAAACTCAGATGAAAATGAATGCTTTGAGGAGCTTTTGGAGCAGATTTGGCCCACTATACGGAGACACCAACAGAGGTAAAACATTTACTGAAAATCAAACAACTCTCAGAAAAGAGAGGTACAAAGCAGGAATTGTCTAAAACAGTCTTATCTAGTTAGAAGGCTAGCTGCAATCACATTGAAATATGTGTTCTGCAATGGAGAGATGGAGAGCAAAGGAAGATAGTACGGGATAAGTAGTTTTTGTCATTGTCCAAGTGTCCCAGGGGTATCTCTGTTATGGCTGCTTTCTTGAAGGACCACATAAAGGAGTTCTGCAGCAAACACACCTAAATGTGACAGAAGATGTTTCCAATGAATTATAACTGCAAGTGTGTTCTGAAGAGTTTCCATACAATTATCTTCAGCTTCCTGAACCACAGATTGCTGATATGTAGAATTCTTAAAAATCTCCAATGATGTAAAGAGGTCAACTTTGCATAGAGGTCAACAGAATATACAGTATACATTTGCAATACCCAGGCTCCCTCCATACTAAGACAAGGGTGACACCAGGCACCACACGAAAGGCTTGGTAACTGTCCCTTTAAGTATTCATCTGTTATCCCTCGCTTTTTTGTGTCTGAAGTCCCAGAAAGGAATGTAGATCTTGTGAGATAATTGGTCCGGACCCCATAAAAGGACAGCTGAACTGTGTTTTAATTTAGTTTTGAAGATCAAGGAGTCACATGTCGAGGCCTAGGAAAAAAAGAAAGTCATAAGGGGGCAAGGAGCTAGATAGAAAAAGGAGAAAAACTGTGAAATTGGCACTTGGGATCACCAGTGATGGGGTTGAGTGAATGTTTAAATTGCTTTCACTGCCCTATACAAGAATTACAGAACATTTTAGCCTGTTAGGGAGCGCTTCAGAGGTGGTCTATGTATGGGATGCACTATTTGGCTTCTTTGCCTGTCAGCCTGTCATCCCAAGATAACATGTCCTTTTCATGGCCAAACATGTCACCAGTAATGGAATATGTGGTTACTTGCTTGGCCGTAATAAGGTCGTGTCATCAAGATACACCGCCATGTCAGTTCCACCCCCATCTGCCCAACACCCATCCTGGAAACAGGGCTTTGAATTTTAAGTCCTAAGATACTATGAAGGTCTTACAATTCATTTGCCGCTGCGGGCCTACAGGGTCTATGAAATATTACTCAGGAGGAGTGTTGGAGCCCTGCTGGAAGTATACTTGTCATAGTTAAAAAAAGAACGAGAGAGAGAGAGGCACAGCTATTGTCCAATCTAACTAGAATATAATAAATTACAGTGCACCATCCAGATATTTGAAATATGCTTTGACATGTGATTTAAGGTAGGTTTATGTGTGCATGAAAACACTTACGAGAGGCAAGTTGTAAATTCCACAAATGATCCCAACACGGCATTTGTGACAAAGCCAAACTAGCATGACTCCATTTTCCTTAAATTAACCTGCCCTTTTAAAAATACCTAGAAGTTACGTTTACTCAGGTGCTGGATTTTTCCACTGCAATCAGAAGCAGAATAGCCAGGGGGGGTTGAAGGTGGGGAATGCATGAGGCGGATACCCAACCCTGAGCTGGTAGTGTTTTGGTCACAAATAATGGATATGCTAAATGTGTGTCATGTCACAGCAATGATATCTCAACTAGATATGATTGGAGATACTCAGAAATGTTCATTACATTCAAACACTACTAGCACCTTGAATCAATAGACAGACACAAAGCATACATACATAGATGCTAGTGAACTTCAGTTATTTTTATTTTATTTATAGAGCACCACCGCATATTGTAGCGCTGTACAATAGTTGGACAAACAAGTAACTGCAACAAGGGAAGTTGGGCGTACATTAACAAAAAGTGCTTTGTGCTCTGCTCGGACAAACAAAAGTCTGAGTGAGATTAAATCATATATCGAGGTTAATAGGAGTTTCATTTTCTTGTGATTCACCCTTCGTATGAAGTACTTGTAGATTATATATAGTACTCAAAGGGTACAGCCAGTACTAGGGCCTGCACGCAGCCTTCTAACACTTTGTAATCCATGTAGGGAGACACACGTACGTACATTATGTATCTATGATGTCCCCTGCTCAGGCAATGTGTAAGTGTGTCTTGCAGTGTGTATCTGGTAATGTGTGTATCTCTGTGTGTATCTCTGTGTGCATCTGGCAGACAACTGGTCCCGTTACTTCCTGGTTTAGTTAGCTCAGTGGAGCTAATCTCAAAACAGGCCACCTGCTTTGCAAAGACTTTTTATTGAGCTGCATTGGGAAGTCAGTGATTGGACAGATGCAGAAAGTCTGGATTGGGGAAAAGGGGAGGGCTTGCAAAGGCTGCAGACGAGAGACCCGCAACTTTTGCAAGCTGCTTTTTGATATATCCCCAATGAAAAGGGCATAATTAGGCAATATATCTACTAAATAGTGTGGGGGGTTATTTAGGCAATTTATTTTACAAACGACACGCATCTAATCAGGATCTAGTGTGAATTCACAAAATCCTAATGTCACATGAAAGTGCTGGGTGTGTAAAAAATACACTCTGGGACAATTTCACACCGTCATATTGTGTGATCTTAGCAGATATAGCGCTTCTGACTAAAAATGGCTAATCTTAGGCTCCGCCATAGAGAAAGGAAGCCAGAAAAATATTTATTACTCACATCTATTAATCTGTTGTTTTCAGTAATAATATAATAATAAAAGATGGATGACAGGTTTGAAAAATGATGGAGTACAGAAGCAAAATGAGAGCTAAGTAATTCAAATGAAGCAGTGAAGGAGGGAACGAGGAAATAGACCAGGGGATGGGTAGATTGCATAAAATAAAACAGGTAACAGGCAGCGTTTTAAGGATATACGAGGGGGAAGGAAGGGAATGCTGAACGTCTGAGCAGGGTATAGGATGTAAAGGAGGGCAGACATTATGTGTGAGATTTAAACAAGAGATTAACAGGATTATAGAACATAAACGAGAGATTGGGTAAAGTGTGGAAAATACGGGGAGATTTGCAGGGGTTGTAGGATAGAATCCAGAGGAGATAAACAGGAAGGGGTATAGAATCAATACGAGACGTGATGAATTAAAGATGTCATAAACTCACTAGGATAAAAGAATCTAAGGAGAAGAGCTTGGGGGGAGGGGAGGATAAAATATGAAAAAAATATAGAGAAACGGTAAAGAACCGAAAGGCAACACAGAGAAAAATCTAATTATACCAATGCGTAAAAGAATGAATGTAGAGGAGAGGAAAACAGCAATGAGAATGGCTATGAGGGTGGGAAATGGCAGGAGAGAAAGACTGGGAAGGGGGATGGGAGTGACGAATTCTATGAAAGGCGAGGACCAGTGTCTGGGCGCTTAGACCCTGGCTGTATAATATGCAGTCACTGTGGGTTATTTTATCAATGGCTCTCCCTGCAGTATTAACCAGCAAGGGATTCACTTCCAATTATAGCAGAGAGACCGTGTATTGCGATGGGATGTTACAAGGCAGGCTACTGCAGGAACATAAGAAAATAGCAGCAAGCATTGCACAGGATCCCTAACTGCAAAGGCACCTCTAACTTTCCGATACTGGCAATCGGCTGGGTCCCACCCTAGCAAAAAGGGGTTCAGGGAGGGATATTTAACCTCTTCATGACCAGCTCTAATGTAAGCACATTGGAATGTGTCAGGTGTTAGAATTTTGTGACATGTACCAGCAATTCATTACCTAAAAGATGAAGATAGGACTGTACATGTTTCAAGTCAAAAAAATACAAATTTGCTGAATCAGCTGCTGGATTTAGCGTCTCACAAAGAGGCTGATACAATCCTCTGCATTATAGGTTCTGCTTTCTTCCCTAGCAGCTCGAGTATAATTAGAGCTGATCTGGGTTCTGGGAACCGCCTGATTTGCCACTAGGTCTCAGTGTAATCAGCACGATTGGTCCTAGAGGCAAAATCGGGCTGCATGGGGGCACCTCACCTATTGGTACCTGTACAGGAAGGAAGAGGGGTCCACATTCTGTTTCTTTCTTATGTTCATAATTCTAGAATGTAAGCTCATTGAGCAGGGCCCTCCACTTCTCTGTTCCTGTACATCCAGTTGTCTGGTTACAATTACATGTCTGTTAGTCCACCCATTGTACAGCGCTACGGAATCTGATGGCGCTAAATTTAATTGGGTATATAACATCTATATAAATAATAAAATAATAATGTGGAAGGAGGATATCATCCTGGACATTTCTGATATTGATTTTGCAGGAAAACATTCCATTAGAACCTTCCTTAGCTATCGTGTTGTGCTCTAAAAATATTGCGGCCTTTGTCCTCAAACACCCTTAATTCTACCCATGTCAGTTGGGGAGATGTGAAAATCAATACAGTTGGACCAACTGGCCGGGTTCCGGTGGGACAATGCAGACAGTGAGGGCGTTGGTTTCAATCACTTAACTGCAAATTATGGAAATCGGATAAGATAAACATTTTGTGATTAATAGCACACAACAACATTGATTGGTAGAAAAATAAATAACAGGTTATTAATCAAAGATAATAAATTAAAGGAAATATATTCTAACACTACAACCCAAAGAATTTCTGACCTAATAAACTTGGGTGTCCTCGTCAAGACCGCCTTAAGCCATGCAGCATCCAACGTACCCAGAGCTAATGTTTTAATCTTTTGAAAAATACTGTAATATTTTGATATTTTTAGCTGTATTGCTATATTTATATATATCAATAGTTTAATATTTTAAAAAAAAATAATATTTGAAAAGTTTATCCAAAAATATTAAATCATTTGAAAAAAGTTTACCCAAAAAGAAATTAAATCGAACCTTATGTATGGTAACATAGAGTGGAGGAAATAGACAAGGGGTTTGTAGCGTGGTGGGGAAAGTATAGAAAGATATTTATAGCTATAAATAGATGGACAGCAGTATAATGGAAGCAGCAGGCAGAACTGCGCCTGACAAGTAACACACGGCGCAAACCTGCATTTCTATGTTAGAAACACATAAAGCTTTGAACATTGAATGGGAATATACACATTACTTTCAATAATGTAAAACCGCCAAACCTTCCTTACATCTCCTTTTTAAAGAGTCCTGCCTATCCCCTTATCTGTACACAGCATGAGTGTATGCAGAAAACATTTATTTTGTTATGTGTGAGGGAATGAGATAGTCTACACCCAATAACAGACCCAATAAATGTGTCTATTCAGGAGGTATTTTATAATGAGAATAGAATTTAAAGTGACGTGTCTTTTGCTTTAAATGGACAATCCAGGCATGATTTGATTAATAGTTTTTTTTAATACATTATATAGATATTAAAAATATTAAAAAATAATATTAATAAACAAATTTCTTTTTATATGCTCCTCAACATGTCTCTCCAAATACAGTTTATATGGACCTTTTTTTTAATGGATTTTTTTCTGAATGCATGCCACAATCACTGGGTGACCGGCAGGAATGGAATCACTCCCCTCCTGCCGGTCACAGTGTGACCGAGCAAACCGGGGGTGGAGGAGCTTCTGTTCCCCTACCCGGCCTGATAGAAGTGCTCACTGAGAGCGCTAAACTGCTTCCTGTCAGGCAGGGGCTTGGCCATGCTACAAGAAGGTACAGGAGGGGCTGAGGGTGAATGGGAAACATGGAGGGGCTGGAGGAATGAGACCTATGGTGGGTTAGGGGGGGAAATGAGACACATAGAGGGGCTGGGGTATGACACATATTGAGGGGTTGAGGGAAATGAGATACATGGAGGGGCTAAGGGGTGAATGGGACACATGGAGAAGCTGGGGTGTAAATTAGACACATGGAGGGGCTGGGGGAATAAGACACATGTGGCAGCTGGGGGGTGAATAAGACACATGAGGGGCTGGGGGGAATAAGACACATGGGGGAGCTGCGGGTGAACAAGTCACATGTAGGGGCTGGAGAAATAAGACACATGGAGGGACTGGGGGAGTTAGACATATGGAGGGGATGGGGGGAATAAGACACATGTAGCAGCTGGAGGGTGAATAAGACACGAGGGGCTGGGGGGAATAAGACACATGGGGGAGCTGCGGATGAACAAGTCACATTTAGGGGCTGGAGGAATAAGACACATGGAGGGACTGGGGGGAATGAGACAAATGAAACAGGTGGGGGGGAATAAGACACATGGATGGGCTATAGGGCAAATGTTACACATGGAGAGGTTGTGGGGGGAAATGAGACACACAGAAGGGCTGGGAAAGGGTAGAAAGAGACAACGGGGAATGCATGAAAAAAAAATCTATATATACATCTTTTCACAGAATGTTCAAAGTGTATTAAGGATAATTGTTAATAAATGTAAATTAATCAAGTTTAAATACACAAACAGTAAGGCTTTATGTTCCCCAGTGTTTTCCTGGTACCGTGTGTTTCTGATAGAAAGAGTGCTATAATTCATGATAAATAATATGTCATTTTCTAAAGGGGCAAAAATAGACGTTTGGGATTTATTTTTCATTTTTTCCCCCAGCTGCAGATGATCATAGTTTCCAAAGCATGTGGCACTGAGTTCCCATCCGAAACGCAAGCAGAAGGCGGGTGGAATCCATCAGTTACAAACATTGATTTTATTTCTATTTTTATTGTGCAGTGTAGTTATAGAAAATCAGAATATATATAGAAAACACGAGAGACCGGAAGGTAAGACAGAGAAAAACCTGCCCCCCTCCCCTCTCTTGAGTAAATAAGGTCACCTAGACTGGTTAGTAGGGGGTAACTCAGAAGATAATAAATTAAAGAAAATATAGTATCCAGAAAGCTGCCTTACTAGAAGGTAGCCAATAGGAAAGGAACCCAGTCCAATCTCAAAAGTAAGTATAAAGAGTACCAAAAAATAATAAAACTTTATTAGAATATAGTAAAAACCTAGGGCTAAACAAAGATGTCTAGGATCTGATATGGAGAGAGGTATAACATGTTAAGAAGCCAATAATAAGCTTAATAAAGAGCCAAAGTGACAGTAAACTAAACTATGTATACCTCAGGGGATAACAGCAGAGAGAACATGAGAAAAAGAGGTGAGAGGAGGGTAAATTGAATGGGTATATAGTATATAGTAGCCCAAAAAGGGGTAAAAAAGCACCAATTATCGTAAGGGGTACAAATAAAAATACTAGACCCAAAAACAAAAACCCTTTCCCAAACCAAAGGAATCCCACAATATAACCATCTCTCTAAGCTAACCCTCTATCTCCTATATAACACCTTCATGGGTGTTCTAATCTAGTATCTAGACCTAGACATCTATAGCCCGAAATGAATCAAAATAACATTGTGCAAAGTGCTCGTTAGTGCTAGATAGACGAAAAATAAATGAACCCAACACGCGTTTCGGCGTGACTACACGCCGTCCTCAGGGGTATTGCAATGTAGTGCAGTGACAGAGTTTAGGATACAGTGATACCCCTGAGGACGGTGTGTAGTCACGCCGAAACGCGTGTTGGGTTCATTTATTTTTCGTCTATCTAGCACCAACGGGCACTTTGCACAATGTTATTTTGATTCATTTCGGGCTATAGATGTCTAGGTCACTGTCTGTCACTGTATCTTATACTCTGTCACTGCACTACATGTATTATCACTGCACTGTCTATCACTGTATCTTTTAATCTATCACTGCACTACATATACTATCACTGCACTGTCTGTCACTGTATCCTATACTCTGTCACTGCACTACATGTATTATCACTGCACTATCACTGTATCCAATACTCTGTCACTGCACTACATATACTATCACTGCACTGTCTGTCGCTGTATCTTATACTCTGTCACAGCACTACATGTATTATCACTGCACTGTCTATCACTGTATCTTTTAATCTATCACTGCACTACATATACTATCACTGCACTTTCTGTCGCTGTATCTTATACTCTGTCACTGCACTACATGTATTATCACTGCACTGTCTGTCACTGTATCTTATACTTTGTCACTGCACTACATGTATTATCACTGCACTGTCTATCACTGTATCTTTTAATCTATCACTGCACTACATATACTATCACTGCACTGTCTGTCACTGTATCTTATACTCTGTCACTGCACTACATGTATTATCACTGCACTGTCTGTCACTGTATCCTAAACTCTGTCACTGCACTAAATATACTATCACTGCACTGTCTGTCACTGTATATTATACTCTGTCACTGCACTACATGTACTATCACTGCACTGTATCCTATACTCTGTCACTGCACTACATATACTATCAATGCACTGTCTGTCACTGTATCTTATACTCTGTCACTGCACTACATGTACTATCACTGCACTGTCTATCACTGTATCCAATACTCTGTCACTGCACTACATATACTATCACTGCACTGTCTGTCGCTGTATCTTATACTCTGTCACTGCACTACATGTATTATCACTGCACTGTCTGTCACTGTATCCTAAACTCTGTCACTGCACTAAATATACTATCACTGCACTGTCTGTCACTGTATCCTATACTCTGTCACTGCACTACATGTACTATCACTGCACTGTCAATCACTGTATCCTATACTCTGTCACTGCACTACATATACTATCACTGCATTGTCTGTCACTGTATCTTATACTCTGTCACTGCACTACATATACTATCACTGCATTGTCTGTCACTGTATCTTATACTCTGTCACTGCACTACATGTACTATCACTGCACTGTCTGTCAATCACTGTATCCTATACTCTGTCACTGCACTACATGTACTATCACTGCACTGTCTATCACTGTATCCTACACTCTGTCACTGTACTACATGTACTATCACTGCACTGACTGTCACTGTATCCTATACTCTATCACTGCACTACATGTACTATCACTGCACTGTCTGTCAATCACTGTATCCTATACTCTGTCACTGCACTACATGTACTATCACTGCACTGTCTATCACTGTATCCTATACTCTGTCACTGCACTACATGTACTATCACTGCACTGTCTGTCACTGTATCCTATACTCTATCACTGCACTACATGTACTATCACTGCACTGTCTGTCAATCACTGTATCCTATACTCTGTCACTGCACTACATGTACTATCACTGCACTGTCTATCACTGTATCCTATACTCTGTCACTGCACTACATGTACTATCACGGCACTGTCTATCACTGTATCCGATACTCTGTCACTGCACTACATATAATATCACTGCACTGTCTGTCACTGTATCCTATACTCTGTCACTGCACTACATGTACTATCACTGCACTGTCTGTCAATCACTGTATCCTATACTCTGTCACTGCACTACATATACTATCACTGCACTGTCTGTCACTGTATCCTATACTCTGTCACTGCACTACATGTACTATCACTGCACTGTCTGTCAATCACTGTATCCTATACTCTGTCACTGTACTACATGTACTATCACTGCACTGTCTGTCAATCACTGTATCCTATACTCTGTCACTGCACTACATGTACTATCACTGCACTGTCTATCACTGTATCCGATACTCTGTCACTGCACTACATATACTATCACTGCACTGTCTCTCACTGTATCCTATACTCTGTCACTGCACTACATATACTATCACTGCACTGTCTATCACTGTATCCAATACTCTGTCACTGCACTAAATATACTATCACTGCACTGTCTGTCACTGTATCCTATACTCTGTCACTGCACTACATGTACTATCACTGCACTGTCTGTCACTGTATCCTATACTCTATCACTGCACTACATGTACTATCACTGCACTGTCTGTCAATCACTGTATCCTATACTCTGTCACTGCACTACATGTACTATCACTGCACTGTCTGTCAATCACTGTATCCTATACTCTGTCACTGCACTACATGTACTATCACTGCACTGTCTATCACTGTATCCAATACTCTGTCACTGCACTAAATATACTATCACTGCACTGTCTGTCACTGTATCCTATACTCTGTCACTGCACTAAATATACTATCACTGCACTGTCTGTCACTGTATCCAATACTCTGTCACAGCATTACATGTACCATAACTGCACTGTCTATCACTGTATCCTATACTCTGTCACTGCACTACATGTACTATCGCTGCACTGTCTATCACTGTATCTTATACTCTATCACTGCACTACATGTACTATCACTGCACTGTCAATCACTGTATCCTATACTCTGTCACTGCACTACATGTACTATCACGGCATTGTCTATCACTGTTTCCTATACTCTATCACTGCACTACATGTACTAACACTGCACTGTCTATCACTGTATCCTATACTCTATCACTGCACTACATGTACTATCACTGCACTGTCTGTCAATCACTGTATCTTATACTCTGTCACTGCACTACATGTACTATCACTGCACTGTCTGTCACTGTATCCTATACTTTTGATCACTGCACTACATATACTATCACTGCACTGTCTATCACTGTATATTTTAATCTATCACTGCACTACATGTACTATCATGGCACTGTCTATCACTATATCCTATACTCTGTCACTGCACTACATGTACTATCACTGCACTGTCTATCACTGTATCCTATACTCTATCACTGCACTACATGTACTATCACTGCACTGTCTGTCAATCACTGTATCCTATACTCTGTCACTGCACTACATGTACTATCACTGCACTGTCTATCACTGTATCCTATACTCTGTCACTGCACTACATATACTATCACGGCACTGTCTATCACTGTTTCCTATACTCTATCACTGCACTACATGTACTATCACGGCACTGTCTATCACTGTATCCTATACTCTATCACTGCACTACGTGTACTATCACGGCACTGTCTATCACTGTATCCTATACTCTATCACTGCACTACGTGTACTATCACTGCACTGTCTATCACTGTATCCTATACTCTGTCACTGCACTACATGTACTATCACTGCACTGTCTGTCAATCACTGTATCTTATACTCTGTCACTGCACTACATGTACTATCACTGCACTGTCTGTCACTGTATCCTATACTTTTGATCACTGCACTACATATACTATCACTGCACTGTCTATCACTGTATCCTATACTCTGTCACTGCACTACATGTACTATCACTGCACTGTCTGTCAATCACTGTATCCTATACTCTGTCACTGCACTACATGTACTATCACTGCACTGTCTGTCAATCACTGTATCCTATACTCTGTCACTGCACTACATGTACTATCACTGCACTGTCTATCACTGTATCCTATACTCTGTCACTGCACTACATGTACTATCACTGCACTGTCTATCACTGTATCCTATACTCTATTACTGCACTACGTGTACTATCACTGCACTGTCTATCACTGTATCCTATACTCTGTCACTGCACTACATGTACTATCACTGCACTGTCTATCACTGTATCCTATACTTTTGATCACTGCTTGCACAGCTCTGGCACTGCATGCCTGACTCCCTGTTATTCTGATGCAGAATCCAACGTTCAATTATTGCATCCTCTGAATCTTAATTAATGCTTCCCCATTATGTCTTAGACTCTTAGTGTTTAATTACTCCCCAATTATAGCATCTTCAGCATCTCATTGTTTAATCACCAGTAACACTTAATAACTGCATCCCATTGAACCAGGACTGGGTAATCCCCCAAATCCTTAATGCGTCTTCTGTCTAATCACTGAACAACCCTCTGTATTTATGGTTGGCTGTAAAATAATATACAGGAGCTTGTTCCCATGAAAAGATCGTTGATACAGATTTGATTCTCCATCCCTTGAAGACCAACCAGTTTGCCATCCAATAACCGTAAATATACCTGTCCAACCCCAGATCTCTGATTTCCCAGTGTGTTCCACATTCCCAGGTCTTGGTGTTTTAATTCATTCGGAATCAGTTACATATTTTGATCCTGGTTCCTTTGTCACCTGTACATATTTCCAGTTATTATGGCAAAAATCAATGTCAGTGAGTCATTTTACTCTGCAGTTCCCTGACCCAGGCTCCTGAGCCCACAATTAATACAAAGCCATGCTGTTTCTATTTTTTAGTCCTTCTTGTTACTGGGCCAGGGATCCTCTATTTAACATCAGTGTGAAGTAGTTTCATTAAAGGTTTACTATAGTCATCACAGAACCTTTGATTAAAGGAAGTGTTTAGGAAATCTGTGTAAGTCACATGCGGGGAGGTGTGACTAGGGCTGCATTAACTCCTAAATGGCAGAGAATTGAGCAGCGAGACTGCAGGGGCATGTTCTATACACCAAAACTGCTTCATTAAGCTAAAGTTGTTTTAGTGCCTATAGTATCCCCTTAAGTCTCAATGCAGTATAGTTAATTAATTTGGCTGCCATATTTGCTGAAGACAGGGGCCATCTTGGAATGTTTGTCAAAGTGTGCGTGAAATCCTCTGATTCCCCCAAACATTTTGCAAACTCCATAGATATCACTGAAAATATTACGAAAGAATTCCAGCAGCAGGAGCAGGCAGTATGTTATAAGTATGTTATTCAAAAAAGTGTGAATAGTCAGGGATTCAAAATTATTTAAAAGTGAATTTAACTTTTCAAGCCAGAATAGCAGAATTTAAAAATGATCCAATTCTCCTAAGTTTTCAGTGTAGCATTTTTGTCCTAAAATTATAAATTCACTTTGAATGCCTGGAATTCTCTTGTTATTTCTACAGAATGTCCAGTTCAGTAGATAATCCCCCTATATTAGTGGCTGTCACAGTATCAATGTGCCATTAAAAGGGGACTATATGTTTGAAAATATTCAATGTCATTAGAGATCAGCTTGTTAAACCTAAATTGAAAGGTCTTCCTTTGTTTCCTTTCAAAAAGCGTTACTAAAATTAGGGAACCGGGTTGAGTAAGCAGCAGTTTGAGAAATACAGAAGTTATTAATCAGACTAGGAGTCACATGAAACAGAGGTCTGTGAAGGACACAGCAGTGAAGGTTAACGTGTTATATGAATGGCGACTAAACTCTGACACTCTACCTGTACATTCTGTTTCCCATGAAGCTGAGCCAGCCGTTATATTGTTGCTACAATGGTGCTGCAGCTGTAAGAGAGATCTGACTCTTTGCTATAACTCTTTAGAGAACAGGGGTACAAATGTAAAACCCCGGGGGGCAGGGCCGGACCGTCATGCTTGGTGGTCACACACTCGATGAGCTCCTATCAGAAACCTGCAATTAAGCTGCTAAAAAGCCAATAATCGATTCACCACATGGCTACAAGCAGTCAGCAGAGACCGGACCGGCTACTGATACCGCCGGCGGAGCTTTAGGCTGGATGTTGAGAAGCCTTGCGGGGAGTTGGTATATCCAGGGCTTGCGGCCTACTTAAGCAACTGCGGCCTTACCTACCTGCAGAACGTAACAGAACAGCTCAATGAGGCATTGCCTTCTCTGTCCCGTTTCCTCGCCCTCTGGAATGGCGGGTGGTCATCCCAGTCCACACTGGCTCAACGCACATACCTCTGTCCATCCCTGCGACAGCACCCAGACTGAGCCTTGCGGGTGGTGACAAGATGGCGGACAAGCTTCCCTCATCGGTGCACACAGCCACGAAGCCTCACGGAAATCAGCATGCGACGATGGAGCAAACACTCCAACGGCTCGATGAAACCTTCCAGCAGTTCTGGGCTTAGCTGGAGTCACGACTCTACCAGCCACTGCAAAACACGACGAAAGAGGTGAAGAGTGGAGGGGGCGAGAGGCGGGAGTGACCTCCCTTGGGTGAAGCTCATATTCCGGCATCAACTCTCCACACTGACCGTCTACCTGGGCCGAGGGTCCTGAGGAGATAGACCACAGAGCAGGAAGACCGCCCACCGCAGGCGGCGGCAGAATACTTGGATCTCTTAAAACGCCCGTCAAGGGAAAGATTCGACGTCCTGAAGCCATCAAGTCTGTGGCCTACAGATGCCACCCTCCACATGGGCCTGGGGCTGGAGGGGGTCCTTAACCCGCCCACTTCACACACTTCAGCATTAAAGGACCACTATAGTGCCAGGAAAACATACTCGTTTTCCTGGCACTATAGTGCCCTGAGGGTGCCCCCACCCTCAGGGACCCCCTCCCGCCCGGTTCTGGAAAGGGGAAAGGGGTTAAAACTTACCTTTTTCCAGCGCTGGGCGGAGAGCTCTCCTCCTCCGATCCTCCTTCTCTCCCCCCCGTCGGCTGAATGCGCACGTGCGGCAAGAGCTGCGCGCGCATTCAGCCGGTCACATAGGAAAGCATTCACAATGCTTTCCTATGGACGCTGGCGTGCTCTCACTGTGAAAATCAAGTGCCTCTAGTGGCTGTCAATGAGACAGCCACTAGAGGAAATAGGGGAAGGCTTAACCCATTCATAAATTATGTTTATGAAAAAATGGGTTAACCCTAGCTGGAACAGACACCCAGACCACCTCATTAAGCTGAAGTAGTCTGGGTGCCTAGAGTGGTCCTTTAAGCAGTCTCGCTGCCCCTGTAACTCCTCAGCTGAGAATGGGAATTTGCTGACGACGGGAAGGCTGCTGTGTGAACTCTCACTGCTCTCAACGAGCAGGTTATGCCTGACTCTGCCTATGTTACCCACCAAGGCCGCCACGGCGGGGCTAATCAATGTTTACACTTGCTTAAAGGATATGCACTATGTTCTCTATTACTTCGCCTAGAAATTACTCTGCCTAGCAACATGACTATTAGAATTGTTTAGATTACCGTCCACAACGTTATCCATGTCTACTTAGTTCAGTTAAAATCCCAGAAGCTGTCTCGTCCTCAGTTGCGACCTGTTCATAGCCAGTATCACTTGTATTTCTTTAAGTCATGGGCACAAATACCATAAAATATTATAAGCCCCTATTGAAGCAGGCGGGAGTTGGAGGGCGGCCATCGCCATCTGTTCGACGCGGCGCCGGTCAGGCGAGGTGGCAGGCCAGGATGAGGCCACACAGGAAGAGTGCCAACTGCCGTAAGGCTGGGGGGTGGGAAAGCACGAAGGACAATGGAATCCAGCATGACATGATGGCCGCCGGGCAGGGAGACGGAGGATAGAGCGGACAGAGGCTTCCTGGTGAGTCTGCCCCTAGTGGGATACCTGAGGGACAGGGGGGAATGATGCAAGGGGCCAGCAGTGTACAAGCGGTCCCACCCCCCCCCCGCCAGAGGGCAGAAGAAAGGACAAGGATGGGTGGAAATGGACGTAAGGAACAGAGGCAAGCGGGAGCCCCCTGAGGGGCGTTCTCAGGAGCAGCTGTGAGTATGGGAGGGAGCAGCACAGGGACAATGACAGGCACAGCAGCAGCAGGAGGTTGGATGAGGGATGGAGAAGGTTGCAGTGCAGCGCTTCAGCTTCATCTGGCAGGATTTCACTAGGGCAGAGGCTTGCAAGAAGGAGCAGAGATTAGGGCGACAGAACAGAGCGCAGGGAGGAAGGGCTGGTAAGGCTATATCAGAACAGACTACCCAGGTTATCTTCCCCAGCAGGTCGAGGAGTGTTACTCCTACGGGCTTGAGGCGGGTCCAGCGCGGACAGGAGTCTGCGTCCACTGGATACTCCAGAGCCTGGCAAGGTGGACAGACGGACAGCGCAGACGGGGGTTTGGGCGCTGAGTCAATAAACACACCACACTCTGGGAAGCTTTTTTAAATTGCAAAAATAATTTTAGAGTCATGATCAAGAAAAAAAGTGGCCATCCCCGCGGTGCGGAAGGGTGGGGTCACCGGAGGACGGTCGGGAGGCAGAAGTTAGGGCAGTGGTGACAGCGTGACGGGTAAGGGAAGGGGATGCGGTACCGGTGACATCTGACGGGGCAGAAGAACAGTTAGATGTGTGGCAATATTCCAGGCGCACCGCGACAAAATGGGCACGTTTCCTTCGTGGGGCCATTGGGGGATCACTTGAAGGTGGAGGATAAGATTTGATTATGGGGATTTGTAAAAAAAATTCCTGTCTTCCGCTTAAGGAGTTCCTTGGATTGTTATTTTTTTCGCTATTCCATTCAACGTTGAGGGACCAGAAAAAGTGGTGGGCGAATATCAACTCCGTGGGGGAACATCTGGATTGGTTCGCGAGTGGTCACGCGAGGAAGCCCAATTGGGGGGATGGCGGGTCCGTTACATCCGCACCATTAGCGGATCTGTGGGTGTCTCCATGGGGGGTGGTCCCCTAGAAAGGAGCGGGCAAATTCCATCTGATACAAAACTTATCGCACCCGAAAGGGTAAATGAGGACATCGACGTGAACCTGTTCTGTATCTTAGGCATCATTTGGCCTTGCCATCGAGTCGGTTCGGGGGAGCGGGACGCGTTCGATTATTGGCGACCCTTCTATCTTTTGGGTTGCATGTTTGCAGGTGCCTATTGGTAACCTCTGCTTGCCAAGGGGTGGTTCCATTTCATGTTCCTACTTCGAGAAGTTGGTTCCGTCTGGGAGTGGGTGGTGAAAAAGGAATCAGGAAGGGGTTCCTTAGTACATTATCTGGAAGATAGCTTGCAGTGTGGGCTCGGCTGGGCCAGGCCGTTGTGGAATTTCAAATTTAAGGACAGAGTAGAAGAACTTTTAAAGCATAGCTGACTTAGAGACTTTTTAAAGTTCTGCTATTTCAAAATTCACTGTGAATTCAAACTCTAGTGAAAAACCCTGAAAGTCAAAGTGACACATCACTTGGCATCTAATATACAAGCTTTAAGGGACAGATTATGATCACCTTGCTGTGTAGCGACTGTGAAGACCATGGTGATCGCCTGGGTGTGTAAACATTGTGAGGACCATAATGATTGCCTGGGTGTGTCAACATTGTGAGGACCATGGTGATCGCCTGGGTGTGTAGACATTGTGAGGACGATGGTGATCACCTGGGTGTGTAGACATTGTGAGGACCATGGTAATAGCCTAGGTGTGTAGACATTGTGAGGACCATGGTGATTTCCTGGGTGTGTAAACATTGTGAGGACCATGGTGATCGCTTGGGTGTGTAGACATTGTGAGGACCATGGTGATCGCCTGGGTGTGTAGAAATTAGGTGGAGAATGGTGGTGATCGCCTGGGTGTGTAGAAATTAGGTGGAGAATGGTGGTCGCCTGGGTGTTTAGAGAGTATGAGGACTACAGTGATCGCCTGGGTCTTACGAGAGCATGAGGACTACGGTGATAGCCTGGGCTTTAGGAAGCATGAGGACCGTGGTGATCACCTGAGTGTGCAGTGATTGTGAGGACCCAGGCTGGATGCCTTTGCTTGCCAGACTGACACCTTGCCACACCTTCTTCTCCATATACAAAAACTACTATATTCCTATAGGGTACAAGATTGCTGGCACGTGATGCATCCAGAGGAATGTGATCACACGTTCTATTCTAATCCAAATTGCACGTATTCTAGGATAGATTATTTTTCCTTCCCTACTATCACATGCTCCAACTATTGCGCTCCACACACTGACTTTGAATGAGTCTTTGAATTTGAATGAGTCTCTATTATCAGATGAGATGGTCTTGCCAGAGACGCAAGACACTCCGACTCTGTACTTTCAGGAGAACATCTCAAACCTTGTCTTGTCTTTTTTTTCCTTCACCATTGATACCATCAGTTTTTAATCGACTCTACCCACCTGGATTGGAACCCAAAGCACTTCAAACCCTCACATGCAGTCCCCCAAGTCTGTGGTATGTTATGGAGCCTACTGGCTTGGTCTTGTTATAGACAGTTGAACAGAGACCCGTCCCTACATTCATGCCACAATTTTAGTTCAATCAAATTACTGATTATCTGAAAGGCTGCCCACAGCATTTATGCCTTTTGCAAGACCTAAAAACATTAAAAATATATATATATGTCCCATATTAGGACAGAATTTAGCACAGCAGAATTTACTTTCCGATTAAAGATACTCAGCTTTGTGGGATGGCTAATAGGTATTGTTAAGATTACACATTTTTCCTTTGCTGTTTTTTTGCTTATCTTGTTGCCCCTTGTCCTTATTGAGGTATCCTGAGTTGCTTTTGTGCTTCCTATTGTTGTTGTAGTCCCCATTGTTAATACTATGGGACTCCTACTCTATCTTGTGTTGTTCATTGTTAATCTTGTGGCACAGCCGTTTCTCCTAAAGTGCCACATTTTCCTTATGTGATCAGTTCTGCCCTCCCCCATGGCATAGCGGTTGGCAAATCTCTACACTGTGTGCTCCTAAAGATCCCATTGTCGGTCCTTATTTATCTCTTTTCCAGTGGTTCCGCTAATAGGTTCCCCTATTCTTCTTGTCCATGCGTTGGCTTCCATTATGGAGCCAATCTTACCCTATATCCCCCTGTTTTTCATTAGATATCACATGCTGGAACATCTTTACCCATATTTGTTGTATGATGCCCACCAGCAGGTTACCGTGAGTAGCATCCAGGGGGCAGTGTAAGGTGAATGTATAGATCACAGATAATTGGGTAGTGGGAGTAGCAGCAAGCAGCTGGCCAATAGATTAATGAGCAACAGGAAGTGGGAACAGGAGATATAAAGGGGTGGGTTGTGAAGGTTAGAGTCGATTTATTCTCGATGGAGTCTGAAGTCAAGATTGGGTAGTGCAAGTGATGGTAGGGTTTTAGTATAAATAGTGATGGACGTAGGGTAGTGGGTAGTGGGGGCTGAGCAGTTGGAAGTGAGAGGTCTTTATCTTCTGCTGGTTTGAAATAAATTGCTTGTGTGTGCCAGGAGATTAACTGCTGTTGGTTTCTTCCACCAATAATGGTAACCACCCTCTGCCCAGTTGGCCCAGTTTGACCTTGGCCATTGTAAGGTAGCAGCAAGAAGCTAATCATTAATTTAGATTTAGAACCAAGTCTTTCATTTCGTTGCTGCACCCAGGACAATTTTATTGGTAAACCCTAATAATATCTATGTATTTGGGATCTAAAATGGGGGTTAACATGACTGCCATAACACATCGTATCCTGTGTCTCATTGCAGGGTATCTGGGGAGTATGATTAACAATAAAATGATTTAGTTCACTTAGTGCTGGGGTCTATTGCAGAGACTCAATGTGAAAGTAAATCCTTTCTAGTAAGTGGTTAACGCATCTTTCAGCAGAATGTCTCCTCTCAGTAAGTCAGGGTCTAGGTGTATTTATTGTGTATATATCAATCTCAGTGTCTGT